TAAGTTATATGATTATACTGTTTGTGTGAGAGCAAGAACTGCCACTAGTTTGTTCCTCCATTATGAATCCGCGCTCTTTAGCACAAAGGTAAGCTTCCAGGTTATTATGCTAGGTCAATTCCAGAGATTATACAAAAACTAGAGACAGAGAGAGACAATGAAGAGATTTACAAGAGCAACTTTGCACTCTTTGGTAACGATACTTAAATTCCTGTACAGCCGGCAATAATGGAAAGCGATCAGTAATTACAGTGAAACGGAGACCAAACCTTTCACACACAATCCAAACAACTGATCTCTCTTCCTTGGTCCACAACCTTTAACGTCATATATGAAAGCATGAAACAACTATGTAGTTCTAAATCACGAAACAGAATACTATAGCTTGAGCATCGAAAAATGATTATAAAAGCAAAAAAAAATAAGACATACGATTTAAATATTATTAGTTCACATACAGACAGCAATGTGAAAAATAGTTAATGCCAACGACAACCCAAGACAAAGTCTCGTTCTCAAACATTTCTGATTTACTAAAAGTAAATAGGAATCGGTCTTGACTTTTATTCTTCCAAAAACTCCTTAACAGAACTCAACCATAACCAATACTCTCGCTTCTTTTTAGTCCACATCTGACCGTGCATGTAGGACATGAATTTTGTCGTCACTCCTCTGATCTTCAGATACTTGATGAATTTCTTCTTCATAAACTTATGATCCATTCCTCTGCAAAAGATGGAAAAAAAAAAGAAACACAAAAAAACGTTATAATTAACCAACATTAATTATGCCAATTATATAATACCAAGTTTCATTTTATCCACAAAGCTTACACGACAGCATCCATGTCTCGGATCACCTTTGGAGAATGCCCCGGTAGGTATCATCATCATTTGATTCATCAGTAGAGGCATCATATTTTGCTTTATTCAGGAGAGGCATGCTTCTTCTTCTTCTTCTCAGTTCCAGGTTGCTAAGTCATTCGGTGCTGCTATAGTGGGTGCTCCACTTGTCAGGACCACCACTACTGGTGCCCTCAAGGTAAACTTCTTCTTCTTACATGTTTTCTTTAGTAGTTTCAGCTTACATAGACAATGTTTATGTTTTATCACATTTTTTGGATTTTCATCCTCTAGAGAAAGATTCCAATCAATAACCAGAGAGTAAGTTTCCTTCTTTATACCTTATTTGAGAAAAAAAAGGTAAGCTATGCATTCTTCCCCTCATTTTGTAGGCTAGGGCTCTAGAGATTGCTTTTCCTTTGATCAAGTGTTGTAATTTCGTGGGAGTGAGTCTTACATTGTTAGTGACTAGAGTGTATTTGTTGCCTTGCTTTTTGCTATGATTATGATTCAGCAAATGAGAGAAACCTTGATTAGTGTGTGTTTCGTATGTTATATGAGTACACATCACCTTGTTGTGTTATTATTTTTTGTGTCGTTATGTGTTGATTTGTTTGATAGTGGCTCTGTTTCTCAAAAAACAAAAAAAACTCTCTTCTTCTTCATCTTCTTACATTTTTTATTTCTCAGTTCCAGGTTGCTAAGTCATTCGGTGCTGCTATTGTGGATGCTCCACTTGTCAGGACCAGAACCACCACTACTGGTGCCCTCTAGGTAAACTTCTTCTTCTTCTTACATGTTTTCTTTCGTAGTTTCAGGTTACATAGATAATGTTTATGTTTTATCACATTTTTTTAGATCTTCATCCCCTGGAGAAAGATTCCAATCAATTTCCTTCTTTATACCTTATTTGAGTAAAAAAAAAAAGTAAGCTATGCATTCTTCCCCTCATTTTGTAGGCTAGGGCTCTAGAGATTGTTTTTCCTTTGATCAAGTGTTGTAATTTCGTGGGAGTGAGTCTTACATTGTTAGTGACTGGAGTGTATTTCATCAGCTCCTCAATCACGTATTTAGGTGGGCACTGGTCACAACAGAAACCGATTTGCGCAGCTAAAATTCAGTCCAATGGAAGAGAAGACCTATCTTCTACATTCACTAATACGTTCAGATAAATGCATTTTCAAGGTGTCTTTGGGATCAGTCACTTTTGACATTGGCCAGACCAAAATTTAGAGTGTATTAGGTTGATTTCCTTGGAATAATGTTGTAATCTGTTTTTCATTTCAGACTTATAATATCAAACTTTAAAGCTTGTGTCTGGTGTTTAGTGTACTTGTGTTTGGGTGTTTAGTGTCGAATAATGTTGTAATCTTGTGTTTGTGCACTTGTCTAATTTGGAGTTTGAGAGAAAGGAGATCATCGATCGAATCAAATAACATACAAAAATATATGTTTTGTCTAATTTGGACAAGTAGAAAAATACATAATGATATAATCTAAAAGATCTGTAGTTCTCTTTACATAAAATGTGTTGTTGAATTTTTTGATCATAATAGTTGCAGCGGCCTGGGAGCAATGCAATAAAGTCTTTAAATTCTATATCTCATATATATATATATATGGTTTAACCGGATTTCATATAAATATAAATAAATAAATAGTAAAATATTTGATATATTTATTTATTTGCTAAAGCAGTCAAAAATTGAAGGATTAATTTAATTGAGTACGATCGAATTGACAGTAGATCTAGATATATACTGTCTTAATTATATTTACTCAACGGTTGAATTGTGGTGGTGGTGTTTCGTCGGCCTCATCGATCTGATGCGGTCTACTTGACACAACATTTATGCGTTGTGTTTTGATTGGCAACAAAGAAAAATTCATGTTAATTATCATTTACAATATTATTCAGATTTGTCAACACGAACTCACGATAACAAACTCTTTAAAGAACCACTTACATATTCTAATTAAAATTTTAATTAATATGCATGTCTATAATTACTGTAAATCTCGTAAATTTGAATTACTCGTTCGTTTTTCTGAATATTTGAATTTGGCATTCGAGAAAGAACTACTTAATTACATTCGTAAACCTACTCTGAAAATTGTCATCCGTCTTTCTGCCGCAATTAACGAAAACAGTTTGAAAATAACCTGTAGACATTGACTATGTTTATCAAGTCAACACGACAAAATTGTAGAGAAAAGTAGTATTTAATTGTTTTATGTGCCGAATCCATGTGACATGAAATAACGAAGCAAAGCCCGATAAATTTCCAGAAACAATCTGTAATGATTACATATATTCGGCAGTGCAAGCTAGCCCAACGGTCGTATTGAGTCATATAATAATATACATATATGACCATATCGCAAAATACATAAAAAGCTAGTGGTCGATTGCATCGTGGTAGTTTTAATATTTTTCAAACAGATATATATATATATATATATATATATATGCATTTTTGTTCCATAGTCATTGTGCTGACGTAGGTCGTTACAAATGACTTTTACGCATGCATGCATCCATGCAGTATATTGTGTTTGTTGGCCAAGATTTAGACCAGTTTCTACTTCCCCAGATATCACCTACATCGATTGTTTGAATTTAGGATAATTAATCACGTAATGATAATAACAATTTTGATGACAGTATTACTAAACTGGTCCATAAACAAATAAAAGTATCATTTATATATACGCAATTGTGAGAAAGCGGCTCTAGAGTGTTATCGACGGTAAGTTGTTCTTCCTCCAAATCCAGTGGTCATTGCAGCTCTTCGTGATACGAGAGGGTTTAATTCCGCTTTAAAGGTATCATCAAAATCATTATATTATACGAAAGCACGTTTATTATATATAACCTTAAAAAATGCAAAAAGTGGGAGATTATATATACATAAATAGTCTGTTAAATTTTGAGTTTACTAATTGGCAAATGATTATATGTTCTAATTTTAAGTCGAGTATTCTGGTGCAGAAAACAAAAAACGTGTGTCACGGCGTTTACAGAATCAACTAAGAGATATTATTAAACCGGAGCATCTAACTCTGGTAGTAAAGGACCTTTAGCTAAGTTATCCGCCATCACGAGTTCGAGCCTGGCCACCACAGAATTCACATATAGGCTGCAGTGTCTCAAGAGTCGACACGTGGAGTGCTATTTGGCCGCCTACGTGGCTAGTCTGGACCCAACTCGATGGGGGCCAGGACATCTGAGTTATAAAAAAAAAAAAAAAAAAACTAAGAGATATTAATTTTGAAATTTCGTTCGCACTCTCGTCCTAGTTTCCCTTAAAAAAACAAGTCAATTCAATATCACTTAGTGTACGACACGTGCCGTATCAACGACTCCATCAACTGGCGCCAAAGACTTTCTCAAAGATTACTGACCACGCAACGTTGTTCCTTTTTTTTTTACGTAAGAAGTTAACAACAACTTTTCATTATTTATCTTCAAAGTAAGTTTCTGATTTTGTAAATTTCTGCTCGAATATAGGTCTCTGAAGTGGAGACGCGTCACGCGCCCATTCTTTGAAAAATACTACTAAATATTTTTTAAAAAAAAATATGATAAAAAAAAACTTTTAAAACATAAAATATATAGCTCGGACTTTAGGAATTTTTGTTAAAAATAAGTGGCTGCATAAGCAATTTTATAATTGTCATCCCTTGCCTACCGCACGCGGCACACCACCGTTGATCAAGCCACCAGATCAAGCATCCTCGAACCATCCGATCAACAACGTTAACGTCATCGTTCCCATCTCTACTTTAAAACATATACTTTGTCACGTTTTAAGACAAATCTAATATATCAATAAGTATTTAACTTGTAATTCCACGATTTAAACTTAATACAAAACAAGGAATAATATTAATAATAATTTATCTATAAAATTTAAGGGTTAGTTCAGAATAAGAATATCTATACCCACTAAAGAAAAGTAATTTAAAGTTGTCCCCAGCCTAACGGTCGAGTCTCGCAAAAAAAAAAAAACATTTTGAAATTTCCCAGAAACAATAATAAATTCGAAAACGAGTGGAAACCACCTGGAAAAACCCGCGCGTGTTCGTCAGTCAATTTGCCTGACCTTATATAAACAATCAGATAATTCATCGTCTCCCTCAAAATCCATAAGGAATCTCCTCTGCATATATATAGGATTGGACTTATACACAAATACATACATACACATAACATCAAAAGGTCGTGATCATGTCGTATTCAACAACGAAACGATCACTGGAGATTGAGTTAATCTCAGCGGAAGGACTCAAGGTGGATCGAAAACCGGTGAAGAGAAAGACATTCTGCGTCGTGAGAATCGATGAGAAATCTAAGAATTCGAAATTGGACGAACCGGGTGGGAGTTATCCGGTTTGGAAAGATAAAATCGAGATGGAGATGCCGGTTAACGGGAGTGTAAGGTTTATCTCCATTGAGGTATTGTATCGAACAGGTGGTGGGGTCGAGAAGAGTGTTGGGCACGCCAAGATTCCGGTGACGGATTTTATGGGAGGATTCGCTCCTCAGGGGCATTTGAATTTCTTGAGTTACAGATTGAGAGACGAGTACGGAGACAAAAGCGGAATCGTCAATGTTTCCATTATGGTTAAACCCGAGGGTCGCGATATTAAATATTCGTCGCCGTCGCCTTCGATGGTGGTTCCGGCGGATTACGCTGCGTGTTCTTCGCAGGCTGCAGCGGCGGCGAATGGTCAAATGTGGACATCTTCTTCGCAGGCTGCGACGGTTGGTTATGGCCGTCGCGTAGTCACCGGAGTCCCTGTTTGGTGTGCGTATCAACGGCCGTTTTAATTCTTTCTTCTTTTTTTTTTTTGCCAAATTGGGTGGGATTCAGGGTGAAAAATACGTTTGATTAATCGTGAAATCTTATAAATTTAATTAGAATGAAGTAAATAAAAGCTCCATTTTATATCTCAAGTCTTTTGATAAATAAAATTTGCCATAATTTTTTTTATTAATCAGCAATCATTTTTCTCATGACTCAATACCTTGCAATTTGACTCAATAGTCAACAGAGAATTTTGAAATCTGTATTATCTGGTATTTTTATAACATATTAGAGTTTACCCCGTACATTAGGCACATGTAAAATTTATTTTAAACACTAAATTTTGAAATATATAAATTAGATATTAATGACGACAAAAAAAAATATTGAAACTTTTAATATTTGTATTTTCTGAATTAAGTAATCTATTTGCAGAGATAAATTATTTTGGAGGAAAATGCAATTTTGTAATACCATTATTCACGTTTTTATTTCCTTTCATTTTAATCTTTATAAGTATCATAATAGAACTCCTAATAGTTTACCGACTGGCATATGATTTAAGAGTTCAAATCCTAGATGATCTTACAAACCCACCGAACCAAAAAAAAAATGAAATCAAAGTAGAATAATCATAAAGTATCTATCCAAAAATAAAGGATCCAAACTCGTTAAAACATATAAATTCGAAGAAACGAAACGCATATCAATGCACATATCAGATAGACGAGTGATGACAAAAAGAAAATGCAAAGTATAAAGTTCTTTTCAAATAGAATGTTACTTAATTCAGAAAATACATATCCAGACATGTTTTTTCTATCATCCATGTGACCATGTCTCAAGCATAATCATTATCCGTGTAATCCTGCAACTCCATGTTAGCTGATCTTCCATAGAACATATTAAACTCCAACGTCCCTCTCAAGTACCTTAGTACTCTCTTTGCAATCATTATGCGTTCTTCTCTCAGATCAGCCATAAAACGTGATATCATGCATACTCGCAGGTAAATACAAATTGGGTCTAAAACAAAAAAAAAAATCTTCATTAGTCAGAACTCAGAAGGATAGATCCGATATAGACAGAAAAAAAAATCCAATCAAATAATCAAATAATCAGAAAAAAAGAAAAATACTAAGGTGGCTTCCATATTACATCCTATGCTCTCTCGACGAGTAAGATTAGATTGTGTGCATATATAATATATTGCTATTAGATTGTGTTATGCCTTTACGCGGTCTATATTAGGAATAACTTATACATTATGTTTTATTACACAGATAACTGGAAAAAACTACTCTGTTGAGCCGGCTGAAACCAGAAAGCCATTCCGTGCTGCTCTTCTGGATGATAGACTTGTCAAGACCACAATCGAAGTGTTTGGTGCCCTCAAGGTACTTTTGTAAACTTTTTTGTACAGTTGTTTCTAGAGAGTAGTGAAGATCAAATTGTGTATATGGTGTGATATATTGTTATTAGATTGTGTTTTGCCACTACCATGTCTGGATTAGGGATAATTGATCCACCATGTTTTATTACACATGCAACTAAAGAATACTATTTTGTTGAACCGATTGAAACCAGAAGGTTCAAATTGTATTTTTAAGTCTTTGTTTTTTACATTTTACATTTCAGTGAAGTTTGAGTCAAATTTCATCTTTCAAATTTTTTTTTTAATTTTTTTTACCTTTTTATGGTGTGAAGATTAATCCTCTTTTGCAGCTCACAAATAAATTGAATCGAAGAAACTAGAGATCTAGTCACAACTACACATAGCCTTTATTTGTTCTTATTTCTTGTATTTTACATTGTAATCTTCTTGTTTCACAACTAATAACACTTTCTATTTTTTTTAGGATACACTATAATGACATAATAGTGCACAATAATTATTACTTTATTTTTTATAAATGTTTTTAACACAAATTTAAACTATATAATGATGAGAATATAAAATTTTAATATATATTTAAGATAATATTTGAAAGATAAATAACTTATAATATATCGATGTTAATAAATATTCATAAGTCCGTCACTAAATTATAATTACTAAATACATATGAACTGTCTACTTTTATGAGATCATCACACTATCGAAAAAGAGTCTTCAATTTCTAGGGAGTAGAGCATCTGTTTTTTTCTTTTGGGCTAAAAAGTTTCAACCTTTTTATTCTTTAATCTAGTTCTCTTAACAAAACGAATGCATTCGTCTATTTTCTTTTAGTAGCTATTTTCGTAATAGTAATGCATTCGCCTAATACGCAAGGTTGATGTTAAAAAAGACGGTAAACAAAAAAAATGGTGAATGCAAACTCTAATACACAAGGTTGCTGTTTATATACCTTTTGTTTGTCAATCGCTCTGTTCCTATGACATCCCCTAAAATCCAATCCCTCTGTTTTTGTTTTTCTTACTTGAGTATCAAGCAGCTTTTATGGTTTTAAGCCATAAACAAATGAACATATATGATATAGTTATATAACTAATTTCGTTGCAGAATCTATCAGAAGAAGGAAAATCGCTAAAGTGATGATTTACATAACTGAACGGTGATTGGGAATATCTTGAGAATCTTACTTAACTCTGCTCTCGGAATCTTGTAGGCTCTGTTTCTATCGAAACTTACTTCAAGATAATCAATCCCAAGTGAGTCAATACCCGAACCATCAAAACGGACCACCATAAAGGCTTGGTTCGTTCTTGACTCCCAAAAAAAAAAAAAAAAAAAACCCTTATATTACATGTATTTAGTAACGAGCTACTTGTCGCAACGAAGAGCGGCTCTGATTTTATGAACGGTGCACGATATGAGATTATTAACGGTCTCGATCGATTCCACGTTAAGTTTAGCCGTGGGAAGAGAGTTGACCAGGATCTGAAACGCCACCGTGAGAAGCGACTCGTTTTCTGGCATCCCTTGACCATTAGGGAGAATCGCAAACCCAGACGGGAGCAGAGCCACGTAAGCAGAATCTGCACCGTTCATCACAGAGTGCATGGCAGGGATATCGACAGGCGCGTACACAACAAACGCCCCAGATGCGTCGATGCTAGTCTCCTGCAGTATCAACATACAACTCTGATTCGCATTCATCGCCTGCTAACAAACAGTAAGTAATTCGAGGGTTAAAAATGGGGGTAAAAAGGAAAAATAAGCCAATAATGCAGAACAAAAAGTCAAAAAGGCCAGCAGAGAGGGAGAGAGAGAGTGAAAAAAGGTGCCAAATGTCTTATTGATATTGACTTTTTTTTTTTCTTCTTACGCTTGCATGGTTCCAAATTCCAGATTTGTCCTTTTCCAATCAATCAAGACATAATTCATATGACCACACACAAGCTTCATTTCAGACACATGCATACATACATAAAGACATGCACATATACTTACAGTTGAACGTAGGAGGGAGACGGAATTAGAGTGATCTTGGCCCTTGAAGATGTTGGCAATCTCCTGCATTGGTCCACCGTTGGATAAAATATCCCAGTCCGATCTCAAAAGCTCATCTCTGAGGAAATCGAAGAGCCGTCTTGGTGAAACCGGGACCCACACGGAGGTGGCGGCGCTTAAAAGAATCCCCGGCGGTTCACCGGAATCATCCTCATTCTTCCTTGTCATGATCCTAACGTCTTCATCGATGTTACCGACCTCAAGCCTGCTCCATTTTTGAGAAGAAGAAGCACACACGCCTCTACAGAAATTCTCAGTCATTCTTTGGGCTAGCTTTAGCATACTCTTCTTCCCTGTAGAGCTTATGGCTACATTTTCCCACAAACAAATCAGAGAAAAACCAATCAACCGAAAACATTATTGGGATGAGGAAGCGGTTGGAGCTCAGTGAGTGCTCACGTACGTGTGGGTTTAATGTTGCGGTTGGGGATTGTTGAGGACATGAGGATTGTGAGGCTTTCGCATTGTCGTTGCAGTGTTGATATCCACCGTTTGGAGCCGAAAGCAAGGCCGGAGCTGACTAGTGGACGATACAAGTGGTGGATTTTGGTCTCGTCGTACTCGCTGTGGTCTATCCATGTTATCTATCAGATCAATGATAAAACTTTACGTTCGATCGTGATTATAAATATTACAAACATACTATCAACATCGAAAATGTTAATTAGTACTTGAAAGTTGAAAACAAAACAAACAATTATGGAAGAAAGGAAGTAAAAGTAGACTACATATCTCGTACCTTGGAGTAGCCATTGGGCATGTCTTGCACAAGGCAACCAGAGGGTAGCCTTCTACAGCTCAGAGAAGACCGACCTGAGGCTGAACCGCCTCGATCGCTTATCTTATCGTCAGAGACATCAACGACCGCCCAAACACCTTCTGCGTGTTGTTTACAGAACCTTAAAAAGTTTACTTGACGAACCGGCACAAGAGGTGATAGCAACTGAAGCTCTGCTTGCATCTACACAAACCATATGTGTTTTATAAACCGATCAATTAATTAATTAAAAAAAAAAGCAATGATATATCGGATTGATATATATACATTGAATAAACGTAGTTACCAGATGAAGAGCACCGTTTCTTGTCCCTCCCATACCATTAGAGATAATTTCGGTAGTCGAATTTCTTGCGATCATACATGGAAACATCTCCGCCCATCGTTCCTACATAATCAACAAGATCATTAATTTACTAAAGTCAACAAAATTGTTGTTTTGTTGGTTGTTCAAAGGTGCACTAGCTAATTTAAGAAGTTACTAACCGAGTCCATTAAGGTCTCGACGAGGGCTAAGCTATTGATGATAACCATTCCAACTTCTTTAGAAGCTTCTGAGACAAAACCGTCCGGTTTAGGACCAACACTACAAGAGCTGAATTTTTTGTCGTATTCCTCTCGGTTAAGCGATTCGCGTTTGCCTTTCGAGCTCGGGATCCAAAGTGGCTCGCTTGTTTGCGCCATTTCCACAAGCTCTTCCATGGCGGAAAGGGCTAATTCCATATACAATGACTTCTGCTGGAGTCTAGTTGCTACATCCGTACCGCTACGGTTAACCGGAGCTGCTAAACCGGAGAAGAAAGGAGATGAAGAAGACATCTCAAATCCAGGAGGAGGGACGAGAGTGAATCCGTCACCACCACCGTAACCGTTTTTTGAACCGACGACGAGTCTGAGAGCGGAATTTGGTAATTGGTCGTCGGACCGGTTAATGAATTTCCCGGCTAAGGCACAGATACGGTCGAGTTCGTCTTTGAGGCGTGAGTTCTCAATCCTTAAGTGATGCTCTTCGAGAGAGATCTCGGCGAGAACGGCGGAGCCACCGCAGTGACCGCACATTGGATTCCTCATGGCTTCCCGTACAGACATGTTCTCCGCTCGGAGCTTATCGTTCTCTTGTCTTAATAAAGCGTTTTCATGGCGTTCAATTTGCGTCTATATACCACCGGAGGACAAAAAACAAAGGAATTAAGTTATGTATATAAAAAAAAGAAACAACAGTGTCGAGAAAATGAAGGTGAGGAGGATGAAGATAACCTTCATTTGTGTACGGCGGTTTTGGAACCAGAACTTGACTTGACGAGAATCCAAGTTAAGCCGATGGCTAAGGTCGAGCCGTTGCTTTTCATCGGGATGAGGACACTCCTTGAAAACCCTTTAAAGAAAATCGAGAAGACGAAGATTTATTAAAAAGTTTAATTAGTTTATTAATTAAAAGGGATTATATGTTACTACGATTCGAGTTCGTGTATTTGCTGAGGAGTATGTCGGTGGTAACGTTTCTTCTTCTTAAAAGGTCTATGATCAGAAGCGTCTACGTCATCGTCGCCGGAGAGTGCTTCGGCGTTATCGCTTCCAGATCTGCTCTCTGGACTTGTGCGACTTACACTCACCTCCAAACTCTCACCGATTCTACCCACTTCTCCTCCTCCACCGTTGTTTTCTCCATTCGTTTGCTGCCGGAGAAACAACAACAACAAAAAAAACGTTTGAGAAGAAGTATCCACTAGGATAATATATCAAATCCAGAGAATTAAAGATAAAAGAACGTACGAGACCAAGAGAGAGACGAGGAGAAGAGAAGACGGATTTAACGAGGCCATCCGCCGCGGAAGAGAAATGGTTTCCACCACCGACGGTTTCGCCGCCGGAGGATTTATCGTCGTCGTGATGAAGAAAACCGCCGAAATTCATTGATGAATCCCGGAAAACGGATAAATGTACTAATTTTATATATTAATATCCACAAATCACTACACTAAATTATTGTTTTTCTCGTAAGATGGATGAAAGTTGGTTGCTTCTGTGCATGTTCAAGAAGAGTTCGAAGAAGAAGACGAAAAGCGGTTTCAGATTTGTTCAGACAGAGAAAGAAGAGATGTGTAATGTTCGAAGCCTCACAATTAATAAACAGCCAAGCATAGTTTGGTTGACTCTTCACTCTCTCACCTTTTCTTTTCTTCTCTTCTCTTTCACATCCTTTATAAAAAGTCCACTCAAAGCTTAAATTACGGTCTTATCCTTCTCTCCGACCTTTATACTGTGTATGTTGTTTATTTATGGACCAGGACCACTGAGATTCTATATATATATGGTCCTCGAGCGAGGGTAAACTGTAATTATCAGCGTGTTATTAATAAGAAAAACTGTTCAACTCAATGACATTATTTTTTCCTGCAAAATTTTCATGACATTTACGAGAGATGTACATTTACCAGAGATGTAATCTTCAGGAAGTAAAATTGCTCATATTTTACATATGAAATGAAAGAAGCAAAAAAAAAACAAAAACGGAAAAAGAGAAAGTGAAATGTGGAAATGGATGGACTGTGGTAAAGTGAGTGATTAATTACATGGCCCATATTCGAATTCAGTACTATAGAGTTATTGCGATATAGCAGTATGATCAATAATTGAATGATTGGATAATAATGGACATGAAAAGCTGTCAAAATGAACTGCCTCAAAATGTCACCGATTTACAGAAACACAAGAGCCCGGCAGAAAGTATTATCCCTTTTCACCTGGCAGAAAAGAAAAGTATGTATTCCCATTAAATATCATCTTTTCTAGAAGATATTCAACTCTTTATCACAGTTACATTTAATGATATCGAGGAAAACCTTTCGAAATTATTAGGAAGGCTTTGTTACGAACATACGGCACTTTGAAAGGAAAAAAAAAAGTATTTCTCAGGATGTCCATTTAAGAAATGTACTAGAATCGGTGAAAACATGTTTCGCGAAACCTCGGAGAACTATAATAGTTAATCAAATTACGTGTATCCACAAACAAACACTGAGAACTAAAACTAAGAAAGTCCCTAACAAAATATATTTTGGTATCAAAATCATTGACCAAATAAAGTCTTCCAAATGGCAAATACTGATAAAAAATATGAAGACAAACAACTAATTGTATCAGTGATAGGTAGGTATCACGTGGTTAGTACGTAATAAAAATCAAAAGTTCACACTTGATTTCTTTTGTTAAAGGTCCACACTTATATACATGCAACATGTTGACAGAGAGAAAAAAAACTGCATGAAGCATCTAGTGTTAGCCGACAGCAATCTTTACTTCGCTTTCAAAACCGACTTTTTTCAACATATTACTTCAAAACTTCAATAGATAAGATCAAAGTTGTAGCAAAAAAAAAAAAAAAGAATAAGATAAGAATCATAGTCATCCAATTAATATGTACTTAAAAACCGTCAATAATAATACCGAAGACATCATCATTAACATTTAACAATTTTTAGAACATTTTAACTGAATGACTTTGATTCTTATCTTTTGAAGTATTATACGTCGTAGCATAAACTATAAGCGCAAGCTCCCATGAGAAGACATGGGATCATTGTCTGAAAGCCTGAGACTATGTTTCTATCAAACAGGATATCAAGTCTTAATTTGTTTTTGCACATGGCAAAGAATATATATAGTTTTTGTCTGCGGTATATAATACTAACCAACTAATAATAAGAAGAATGTCGAAAAAAGTTTTTAAACGGATATAGGCACCAATCGAATTCGTTAGCAATTTTGTTTTGTTTATTTCATATGTTAAGAAGATCATGACAGCCAACAATCATTTATTGTTGTATAAAAAATCAAAATGAAAAACACTGTAAAAACTTGTTTTTAAAAAAAAGAAAGAAAGAAAGAAAAAAACTCAAATCACGAGAGGGCGCTAGTATTGTTTTTATCTTCTTCAGGAGCAGGAACAGTCCAATATTGTTTCACCGCATAGTAAATCTTCACTCTTTCATGAGGACCCTTCTCGTGGTCAGCAATCCTACCTTCCCATTGTAACCCTTTGGTTAATTCCTTAACCTTAATCAAAATGTCCACGTCATCTCTTATAATCACTCCACCACCCGGTCTAAGAATCCGGTCCATCTCCAACAATATATCTTCCGGTTCACACTTATCTTGGTATAAAGAGAAAACCGAGTCAGCGTGGATAAAATCATACGTTCTTGGGTACGTCGACATCGCTTCGCACCTAACAAAAAAAAAATGAAATTAAACCCAATTAAAGTATATCCTTCCACAAGAAAATCCGGTTAAGTTCCAGTCCAGTTTAAGCTTACCAGTTTTGATACGTTCCGATTAGGCCTCGCTCGTAAATGACACCAAGAGTATTGAGCTTAGCCTCTACGGGGACAACGTTCATGACCCAGACCGGATCATCGGCTAGAGCCGCCGCGAATCCACCAAGGTAAGCGTTCATGTCTAGTAAATTCCTGTATCTCCCTGTTTCACCTAAATGGTAGTCTAATTGCTTGTAATAATTAACTCTCTGTTTCCACAGTTTCGTGTTCTCCAAGAAAGCTTCCGGTGTGATTTCCTCGAGATCTCCGCTGTTAACTCTCGGGGGAACGGCGTTTAACCTAGCCGGCCACTTCTCCACCTTCCCTCCGGCCACCGTCTTTAGATCCTCCGCCTCATCAACTTCAGGTAATGGCGTCAAACAAGAATCCATCTTCGTATACCTGATGAATCATTCCAAATGTTATATATAGCCAAATTCAATTTTTTTTCCTTTTCGCCAATATAGAATATTAGTCATTAGATATTAGAACAAAATAATTAAATTACCAAGCCATGTCAGGATCTTGATCATGACGACAAAACTCCGGATTCTTCAAAACCTGTCTGGTTTTCTTGCAGTGAATGTGGTTATAGGGCTTTTGCCAAATAGCAAGATCATCTCTCTGAAAAACTTTCTTCCAACACAAGCTTCTGGCGACACGCTCGATCTGAGTCTGCTCTGCATTCAAATCATCCATCGTCCGTTCCCATCCTTTCCACCGTTTCTGCCAATTAATCGGCGGTCCAGACAAAATCCAATACCCTCCTGGTCTTAAAACCCTGTCCACCTCCATCAAGTAAACCCCATCTGCAAAATAACCCAAAGTGTTAAAAAAATAAATCAAAATGGGTAATTTCGTGATTGATTTAAGGGTTTAGTGTCACACCGTTTTGGCCCCAAGGGATAAGGCAGCGAGAGCAATGTGCCAAGTCAAAGGCTCTAGAAGGGTACGGTAAGCGTATTGTGGCCATGATTCCGATCATAGCCGGCACGCCACGCTCGAGTGCGAATTGGACCTGAGCTTCGTGCGTGTCCCTTGGAGCAAACGACATCGTTGTGATGTTTCTTGATAACAGATACGCCCCAAAGCTAGCCACCTGAAAAACTCAAAAAGACAGTATAGGTAGGAAAAGTCAACATAAGAGATGTAAATTTCATGATTTTGACACTTTGTTTATAACTACTGGCATTTTAACTACAACTTTCCAGGGTTTAGCTGTAATGAACGAGTAGGTCAACAGTCACATTAGATCATTAGGTGACTCAGTGGGTCACAATCAGAAACCAAAAATGTTGAAAAAAAACAACATGATGTTTTCTCTTTCTATTTTTAAAATTAAGTCTACAGTTTGATGATGCACTAACTCCAAATGTAGTTATCCTTCACATACTATCAAATATATTTTAAATTATTTATGATTAGATATGGATATGCATGAATACATCTTGTCAGTTAAGTTAGATGTATTCTTGAACTAATTGTATGAAATATTCCAACAGATTATTCGATTGAACAGATAATGGTGGGGGAAAATCTTATTTCTTTTCTTTTCTTTAGGAGTATCAAGATCAAGCAGTTAAAATCAAATATTATGATAGAGATTAGGAATCATAATTAAGTTGAACCGGATGGTTCGGGTTTAAATCAGGATGGAAAAGAATTGCACGTACCCCACAACCGGTATCGATGGCTGTTCGAATAGAGCCGTCGCTGAGATCAATCAACCGTCCGATATCGTCAATATACGCATCAGCGCCACGTGGAAACATCGTACCGCCACCAGGAAACCAAAACCGATCGTTCTCGTACCGGACCCAATTCTGATTCTTTTTCTCAACCGTAAGCTCCGTGTGAGGCACATTCGCGAACCACGCCACGTCACGGCTCTCCGGCCACCGGAACGGCGTCTTGTAACCGTAAGGCGCCGGAATCCGGCATTTAAGGGTCTCGTCTCTCTCGGGGCAATGCCTTTGTCTGTACTCCAATCTTTCCCGGGGGAATTTCAGCGATCGCTTCGCGTCTTCGCACGGCGTGTTCTCGCTCAGTTCAGCGTCGCACGACGGGAAATTCACGGCGGTTTCCGTCACCGGAGGTGGATCACGAGGGTTGTGGTGCGCGTCGAAGTCGAGATCCCTCGTGGAAGTGGTGGTTTTGGAGAATTTCTCGCACGGTGCGGCGCCGGAGTCATCGAAGGCGGCGCGTGGATTTACCGCCGGATTTTGCCAAACTCCGAGGAGGTAGCTCCCGACGAGGAGGAGCGCCACTAGGGTTACGTAATAAAGATTGGACTTCTTAGTCCTCGATGATATTCTGGTGAATAAATTCATCTCTTTTTTAAAACAATGGCTGAATTTTCAAGAAACGCAATTGAAATATAGATAGATGGATCGAAGTGTGTGTGTGTGTGTGTGTGTGAGTCGCATATATACACACAACGACGATGAGAGTCGAATCGAATGTGTGACGAGTGAGAATTTTCCGGGGTTGATATGAAGTAGTTCGAGGGTAATATGAGGGAGGAGGAGCCAGGGAGGGAGCGAGTGTGGGATACGCGCATGATGGTCAACTGGTCAACGCGAATTAATAATGTGTCGTTCGTGAGGAATTAGGCTAAAACGTGCGAGCTTGTCATAGCCAACAATGGGGAATTATTTTTTTCGATTTCATTCATCAAATTATTAGTAGATTTATTTTCTTTTGTGAAATTCTGGATTGCGTATATTCATGCATTTGTATTATCAGCAAGTATTTAACATTTGGAATAGTTTCAATGCTTTGTATCGACTTTCTTAGATTATGTTATTTTACCATCTTAAAAATCAAATTGACTAAAAACTCGCTTGTTATGCGAATGTACACGTGCCAATGAAGCGCGTGAAGTTTGATAAAATGGGTGGGGTCCGTTTGGGTCCTTTGGACGCAAAGAGACGCAATCCCTCCTGCACTTTACTCCGGTATAAACCAAGTTAGCTCTAAACCGGAAGACCTTTTTGAAGAATTTCCCGGTTGAACCGAGAATATTACATATACCGCCTAAACTGAGATTCTCTTTTGCTCTGTATATACCAATTTTAGGAACGAATTAAACTTTTTTCTTGGGACCAGAGGGTTTAAACCTTACGGGGATGTGAAGAAAGCCCAAATAAGCAAAGTTTGTTTAACATTGGAGTCTACGCAAATGAGAGTTTGAATTTGGTGATTGGTTCGGTTATGTGCTAACTGTCGAATACCAGTGTAATTCTTAGAATATTGCTATATTATATGAAGGGCGCTCTCGAGCCTACTGCACATAATGTTTCTAGTCCGAGTCGCTTACTAGTTACTACCATCATCACCTTAATTTGGAGGTTTCCAATTTTGACAATCTCAGTGGCTTTTATGAGCTATTGCATTCAGATCAGTGGTGTTGCCAGTTATTTTTGAAGTATCTCTACTGGTGAATTATTTTTTATAGGTTGCTTCCAAACTCAGTCTCAGTGTATAGTTAGTTTCATGACACTTGTTATCGGATTGTGAATTTATTTCAAAATATTGTTTCCTCTTACGATTATTCCACTACAAAAAAAAACACTCACCAATGCGCAATAGCGCCGTGTAAATTTACAAATTTGTAAATGACTAAATCAAAACAAATTTAGATTTTATAAGATAACCGTTTTTCAAATCTTTTTGATGATTAACTTTTTGTTTCCCTCTCATGGATCACTTAATTTGATAGATATCTCTTTGTTTTTTTTGTCAACAGTTTGATAGATATCTTTTTTAGATAAGATACAATACGACAAGAGAATACCTAACAGAAGTGGTTTCAATTATCTTAAGAATAGTAATTTCCAATTCTCTTTTAAAATGAGAGTAGTCTTATTGGTCGATATGAGAACCGATAACTGATCTTCCTTAGTTGCATCTTAGTAGAAACTGATGTACATTAGTTCTGGATCTTCTGAACGTCTCAGAAACAAGCAACACATTCCAGGAAAGGAAGGAATTGCTAAGCCAAAGCGAGATCCACAATTTTCTTCAGTTAAGCTCAACATCTTAAAGTCACCAAGTATTTTGTATATCGATTAATTCTTCTCTTGATAAGAGAAAGTGGTCATAATCATGGGAGAACGAGCGTTCCACGATGCATGGATGACTCCCAATTAGTAAATTTGTGAGAAAACGAACCCAGAATTAATATTACTAATTTTATTAGATCCATGGAATCCTGGACAAATGGTTGAGATTTGGCTTTAGTTTTTTGTCTCCGAATCAAAAGTAAATATAAAAAAACTCATTTTCTGCTGGAGATATTACATACATTTAAACCTTTATCGCCAGTATTTGAAAAGCAAAATGAACACATCCTACATTCCTAATTTTGCAACAAGACTTTGAAGCATAAACATAATTATTATATAATCATCATTCATGCAGATAAGTATTTATACGAGGACTTATAACAGCAGCAAATTACTTAAAAGGAACCAACAGAAACTTTCTCAAATGACTTGTCTCCTGAACACCAGCTTCTTCGATAAGCTTCATGGTGTTTTGATCTTGGGGCGTGTCGGAAGCAGCTGTGTTTGTTGAGAGAAATAAGAATCACATAAGATCAGAAGAGGAAAGTTATGAACTCGGAAAGTGGGTTTGGTGTGAAGAACAAAGAAGATCATTTTTTTTTACCTGGTAACATGAGATAAGGGAGGTGGTGAATCCAAAAGCTCCAGTGACACGAGGAGTGATCTTCTTTGGAGCTAACTGAAGGAGACCAGCTGCTACAACAATGTCCATGGCTGATTTGATCAAAGCAAGAGTCCTCTCGTTAGATTTTTTAAGCTTAGCACGATACTCCTCATCCTGCATTTAACACAATTGTCAAACAGGAATTCAGTTGATATTAAGATTTCCTAGAAACAGAAGATTGAGAGAGAGAGAGTATTGTATTTTTATTATTATTTTGATAAAGAGGAGAACACTACTTGATACTTGTTGCCATTCTTGAGCCCCTTTTCGATCTTCTTCATCGATGAAGAGAGCCTTCCAATCTCACCAATCTAATAATAAAAGTGGAAACCGATAATAAGCAGCGGAAAATGTAACATAAAGAATCACATGGAAGAAAATAATAAACGGACCTCAACTAAAGTTGTACAGACAGATGATCCCATCCAGCAGAAAAGGGATATACGTCCAAGTAACTCAGCTCGCTCTTTGTTCTGTGATGAGATAAAATAACAACATTAGCCCAAACATGAAAACTTCAAATAAGCTAGTGCTGCACAGGTTTGAACTCTCTCACCTTATATATTCCTGATCTCCCAAGCCAGACAATTTGATCCAGGAACAAGAATGTAGATAAAAGTGCGTTCTTCGACTGAAAACAACAAACACCCATCAACAAAGATTGATCTATATCTGTTCTTGAGATCCTTTTCACTACTGCAGCGTTTTAAGCCTTTTTAAAACCCTCTTAGACAATTTTTCAAACAGTTTGCGTGCACAATTCACTTATTGTGGAATTTTGTATGAAAATGAGAAGAACACTGAAGCACCTTTCCAAGTAAAACAAGAGGAAGTGGAGTCCCTTTAGGCATAGGACTGATAAGACCATGTAAGTCATTAACAAACTGCAACACAAATGATTAAAACATTTATCAGTTAAGCAATAAAGTCAAAACGGAAAAAAGCGAAATCGAAACAGCTAAAAAGGCTCAACCTTGAAAAGACGGAAGACCTTCCTAGCTAAGCTAGTGGATTTGTCAACGTTTTGGGCAGTACCAGGTTGTCCACCGCTCAAGAACTTGGAACCATACTGTATAGCTCTGCATAACTTATCCCTTGCCTCGGCTTTGTTCAGATACATAACCACGAGAGCAAGCTCGGCTCTTGATACATCTAATGTAGTCGCCATGTTATCTCTGAAAAAATAAATGGTCGCATATTAGTTAAGAGACACAGAGACCTTCGAAAGCCTAGTCAAATTGCTACTCTAGAAGCCAACAAATTTCAATCATCACAAGCTAGGTTGTAACAATTTCGACGTTCTTGATCGAAGAAACCCAAGAACGATTAACACACGAGGACGATCAGATGGTAGAATCCCAGAATTCAAATAAAAAATAGAAACAATCAAATAAATCAAAGTTTTCGATTCGAAATACCTTTGGAGATGATACGGAGGCGATCTCTATCAACACCCACAAGAGATGTGTGAAGAGAGAAAGGATAAACAAAAAAAGAAAAAGAAAAATGGAAAAAAAGAAAAGAGATTTTCAGTGCCTCTGTTTTTGGAACGTCAGCTATTTGTTTTGTCTTGATCTTCTTTGCTTTGTTGTGATCGGAGATAGGGCTTGTTTGGTCATCTTCGTTCCCCGATAAACAAACAAAACATCGCCGTTGGTCAACGCACTGATCTCCTCTATCGTTCATTTTCAGCCGTCGATTGTGTTGACTCTTTATACAAACCAACGATTTGACACGCTGTGTGTACCAATGCCTTCTCCCACACTTGATTATCTCTTACTCTGCTTGCTGGAAGTTGAGGATATCCCGCGCGTCTGAACCACGTGGCACACATATCTAGGAAAGGAAAAGTCCACGTGGTATTGTAGACATTCATTCTTTCCGGCGAATAGCACTCTCGAATCTGTTCACAAGCCCATTAAAGACCCAATAATGTTTTCACCTTGACGGCTGATCCTTAAACAGTTAAAGTCGTCCCGCAACTAATTTTAGAGGTAAAATAGGTAATTTTTATCTTTTGACCTCTTGGAACTATTTTTTCTACCACTTTTCTTTTGTCCCGCTTTGACCTTGTCGTTAAGAATTGGTAAATACTAGAAGTGGTAAATCCTTATTGGATAGTTTGTTTATTCCAAAAGGTGATCTTATTAGGATTATTTCCTTTTTTTTAATTGAGGACCCTAACCTTCAAATAGTCTCTCTTGCTATAAAAACATTAAAACAACTAAATTGGTATTCCTTGCACATCCAATTTCTCTCAACCTTCACCGGTCGTTCTATACACTGTAAGTCAATTATTTATGCAACGTAAGCATGATCGACATGTGTAATTTACAAAACATGTTTGACTATGATATAAATCTTATACAAAAACTTACATGTATCCAATCACATACATTCCATCATAGGTATTTGCTGATGAACCATAATTCTTCTTTCTCAATTGTTGTTATTTAGCGAGCGTGATTGTCCATATAGATTGTCCATATAGATTACAATTCAAATAAGCTAGTTGTGGAAAGAGATTGTGTTGTTTTTGGATTTTCTTCATTGCTATTGTTTACCGATAGATTGGACGAAGTATATAGCTAATGAAAAGAATCGGTTATCTTCGGTTTTGTGTGGTTCTGAAATTCCTTCACAAATTAGTAAGTGGTTCAAAATCCTCAATGAATATACTCTTGCAGTTTTTGCTATCTATTAGAAACTAGAACGGCCCGTGGCTAATTAAAAACCCAATGAGCTTTGACTTTGGCCCGATTTAACATAAAACCCGCTCTTCTTTAACCGACAAAACATTGTCGTTAGGGTTTTACTTAATCGTTGTTCACTTGTCTCTGAACTGAACTAAAACAAAACAAAACAAAACAACACTGCAGTGTTTTTTTTTCTTTTCCTGAAATAAAAGATGGAGCTCAATAAGGATCAGGCAACCATGTCGGAGAATAATAAGCCTCAAGATCCAGATCCCAGATTTGCTTGCGAAGGTTGCAGCGTTTTGCTCGACGTCAACGATGGCGATCGTCTCGTCTTTGCTCGTCTCTCTGGTGGCGCGTGAGTCTTCAGATTAATTCTCATCCTCAAAATTATATTGATCGGATTTGGTTTTGATTTCTTTCTCTCTTTTTTCACAGTATATTAAAAATTGGGAATAAAAATTACTCTTTAAAGCCAATGATCGGAGCTCCGTTTGGATCTCTGTTCCAAGTCGAAAGCGGAGATGAAGGCTCTTTCCTCTCTCGCATTCTACCCGTTAAACAAGGTTTGTCTTTCTCCCATGAACACTCTTTAATCCTTTTTTGCTGAATTCAAAGAACCTGTTTTTATTTTTGTATAATTACAATGTTCAGCTTTTGATGTTTGGTTATACTATACATAGATTGAATTTGGTCTAATTGATGTTTGCTAATCCCAGAAAATAAAAGTAATAATGTTATCGACGATTCGAGAGATAATCGGGAACTTGTCGACAACAATGAAGCCCAAAACCTTACTGGTGAAGAAATTGAAGCTATGCGGAGGTTAGAAGCAGACTTATCTCTCTCTGTGTGTATTATATTAGATGCATACATTGGAAGATTTGCCAAATTTTTCGGTTTTAATGTGTAGAGAGGGTGCAAAAGGGGATGAAATCATTGAAGCTCTAATTGCAAACAGCAAAACATTTGAAAAGAAGTTTCAGTTGTCTCAGGTATGTATTTACAGTTGATCTCTCTGCTTCTACTTCAAAATATAATAGACACATTTCTCGTTTAATCTTTTTAATTATTTTTTTAGGAAAAATATCTGCTTAAGAAGCAGAAGAAATATGCGCCAAAGGTGCTTCTTAGACGGCCTTTTGCTCGAAGGTATTTCTTCGGGTTTTTTTTTTTTTTTTGTCTCCTTTTTTGTTTGTGACTTCTTTCGTTTCACTTATTTTCGGATCTGTTTATGTGTACCAGTATATGTGAGGCTTATTTCAAGAAATACCCAGAAAGAATCGGGTAAGTGTACTTGTTTCTTTCTTGAATAGTATTCTGAAGATATTAAGTCCCTGCTTCCCTCTGTTGGGATATAAATTCTCTCGCTCTTTTCGATAACAACCGATATTGGTTTAGTATTGATTGGTATTGTATCTTGTTTTCATGTGTTGTAGATTCTTACGAGTAGACGCGTTATCTCTTTTGTTAACAATGGCTAATGTCACCGCATACTCGGATGTGCTTGTGGTGGATATGGTTGGTGGCCTTGTCACTGGAGCAGTGGCCGAACGATTAGGAGGTATAGATATTTTCTTGATACAATCTCTGCTGCATATATGATTCGCTGCTGATTATTTCTGTAACAATGTCCCCTGCTTTTGTGTGTCTTATATGTATATTCATTTTTAACAGGCACTGGTTATGTTTGCAATACATACAAGGGAAATTCTCCTTCTTCTGTGGAGATGGTTAGGATGTTCAACTTTAGTGACAAGGTTATAAAGAGGTGTGTTCGATTTTCTCCTAGTCTTTTTTGCTCTGTAGATTGTGATTAGAGCCGTCATGTGTGTAAAATATATTTGTAATTGACCCTTTCTGTGTGCAGGATCGTGCAGTCATCTATAAACGAGCTCTCATCAGCCAAAACTGTATCTCCTGAAGAAAACAATCAACAAGAAAGAGTTTGTAACGCTGAGATTAATATCAATGCAAGTTGCCAACCTGTACCGTTTCACTTGAGTCTTTTTTTGAGAACTCTTTTGGTTATAACAGAAGTTTTTATTTGAAAAAATGCAGGAACCATCTACATCTGATATTGTAGAAGAAACATCTGTGACAGCTGAGGCTATGGTAGTAGATATTGTTGCCCCAGAGAGCAAAATCATCAAGGCTCCAAAAGCTGGAGCCAAGGCTTCGAAAGAAGCAATAGAAATGTGGCAAGAAAACGGTTTCTCTAGGTAAGTAAACGTAAGTGTTTCTATGAATTAGATTTGGTTTCAGTTCATAAATGCCTGAAACTTGTCTGTTTGATTTGCAGTCTAATCATGGCTGCACAGGACCAAGACCCATGGAGCTTAGCTAAAGATGTATTGCCACTGCTCTCCTGCTCTGCTCCTTTTGCAATATATCATCAGTATTTACAGGTATGTCCATAAGAAGAAAGCTTTTTTTGTTTTTTCAGTGTGTTTGGTAATAATTTTGCAGTCAGAACAAAATCTCATATGATGAAAATTCACAGCCGCTGGCGACATGTATGCACAACCTTCAGCAGGGGAAGATGGCGATCAATCTGCAAATAACAGAACCATGGCTACGTGAATATCAGGTCTGATCAAATTCTCTTTTCTTTTGTTTCCCGATATATTATTCGATCAATAGGTGCCTGATATATTAAAATGCAGGTGCTTCCTTCAAGAACTCACCCTCACATGCAAATGAGTTCTTTTGGAGGCTATGTTCTGAGCGGCATCAGAATCTCTACTACTTGATTCTTGTTTTCGAACCTCATGATTCTTATCATTTTCAATAACTGAGGTTTGATGTTTGATCTTTCCTTTCAGAAAGGTCTTTGTATTCGTATGTTGTTAAGATATAGGGCTGAGATTATAGGAAAACTTTCATGTTGATCTTTTCAATCTAATCGTTATGGTTTATTGCAAATTGCACAGAATCTTAGAAAGTAGAAATCTTTTTGATATGCACTAACTTAACAGAAAATATCATTATCATTACCATTTGCTCAGTTTCATATAGATTATGAAACATTAAAATTACACAGTATATATACCACCACATTAAATATATTTTATTAATACAAGATCTGCTTCGTTTTCTCCTACTTCCTCTTCTTGTTCTTCCCCTCTCTACTTCCTACTAAAGAAACTTCTGACTTTCCCTTTCTCAATCCTTTCAAGAAGCTTCTTCGAACCAGGAACCTCCAATTCCGACAACTTCTTCAGATAACCAACAGCTCCGTACGAAACCATTAGCTTCTTACACTTCCTGCTCGAACAAAGAGCCGCCAAACCCGAAACCGCATACTTCTTCGCCGAATTGCTCGGACTCGGCTCAAGCAACATCACAAGACTCGTCACGCTCTTCTCATCTCTCTTCACTTCTCTGCAATTCCTTGGAACCGTTACAAGAGACGCTATAGCTTGAGCAGCAACCTCTCTAGCTCCACTCGCTTTCGCCTCCAGCATTCTTATCAACAAAGGGATACAACCCGATTCACCGATCATTCTCTTAGTCTCATTCGATGTAGCAACCCTGCAAATCGTCGACGCAGCCGCTTGTTGCGCTCCGGTTGATCCTGATTTAAGAACATGGACTAAACTTGGGATTATCTTGAAGTGAGTCTCGACAGAAACAGAGCCAACCAGATTCCGAATCGCTGCAACTCCTGATTCTTGAGGGAGAGGTCCGTCTAAGTAAGCGAGCAAAGTTTGAATCCCGTTCTCTGATATAACCGATCTTCGAAGAGCTTCGTTGCTACAAGTGAGATTCTGAAGACATTCTGCTGCGTATTCTTTAGATCCCAGCAGAATTCCGCAGCTAAGTATGTTAATCATCACTTTAACGATTCCTTCTTCCGCTAGACTCTGTCTTACTTCAGGGACAGCGGAAATGTTCTTCAAAGTAGAAGCAGAAGCGGCTTGAGAAACAGAGTCCCCTGTTTTGCAAATCTCGATCAACGGACTCACACCTCCGTGACCAACAATCGAACGCGACGTCTCCGATGAAATCGACATTCTCTGCAACGAAATCACCGCTTTCTCTTTCGCAACGGGGCTTCCGGATTCTAGCAGCCTTATCAATGGAGGCAATGCGTTCTCGGAGACGAGCCAGTTTTCGCATCCGCCTGATTCTGCTAAAGAGCAGATCACAGTCACAGCGTTTTCCCTAACGCTAGGCGATGTGGCAGTCAAAAGCTGCACCAAAGACGCGACATTGGTCCGACCCAAAGCGGTGATAACCGCTTTTTCGTCATCTTTCATTACCTCGACGAGCTGCTCAAGCGCTCTGCGTTTGGACTCCAAGTGACCTATTTGAAGCCGAGCAAGCGATTCTCTAACGCTAAACGTTTCCAAGTCTTGAATCGAAGAAGATAAAGGTTGCGTTACTTCACCGAGAACGCCTGTCTTCATTAGCAATCCACAATCTTTTAAGCTAAGATCGATTTTTGCGGATAGAGAGTCAAGATCACTCTGCATCTTCAATTTCCCTTTTTGCTTCTCCTCTGTACATACAATTGCGAGCTCGATGGCTTCTTTCAAGGTTCCTAAGACCGCTTGAAGTTGCTCTTTGCAGAGAGTGTGTTTAGAGAAGCAAGGGTGGCTAGACAAATCCGATAAACATGTGGGAATCTTCTCTAATCTTGAAATTATCACTCTCCATCTGCTTGAGAAACCTGTCACTGTTCTTGCTTTGTCCAAAGCAATCGGGACAAGCTCTTGTGCCTGTAATAACAAATCTTCAACTTTTGGATCAACCAGAGTTTCGTTTCCGGTTTTCTCTTCCACCATGATCACACACAATCCTTTAGCTCTGGTTCACAGAAGAAGGAGAAAAAAAAGAAGAGTCTTTAGCTGCTTTCAGGAAGAGAAAAAAAAAAAAAATAACCAGAAACGATCAAATAAGCCTTGATGATGAGATACACTGGCAAAGAATTTGATCTTTATTGTTGTAATAGAAAAATTAAAAGTGGGGAACGAAAAGTAATGAAGGGAGTAGTTGAATGAGTGATGAACAAGTTGGTAGATTTGTTTTAAATAAAGACACGGATTTAAAGAAACAAAAAGGAAGAAGCCATCAAAAGAGTTTTGAGAATCTTGAAATGATCTCAGAAAAGCTTTCAATATTTGCTGGAGAACAAAACCCTACCAGACAAAATTTAACAAGTCATTTCCCAATTTCCTTTACTTCGTCGGTGTGAACATTAATTGCTATAAAAGCTAATGATAAGATAATAAATAAATAGAAGCATCATTCTATTGTATGAGAAATATTTTAAACGAAAGGCTCAAACAGTCCTGGAAGATCAAGGCAAAAAGACAAGAATACCCTTCTGAAGAACAATACTTGAGAGCGCTTCAAACACAGATTAAAACCAAAGACTGAATGCTTAAGCTGGTTTAGAGGGAAAAGCAATAGAGGAAACTTTGTTTCAAAGAGAAGATGTGAGTCTCTTTCAACAAATCGTATGCTTAAAAATGTCATAAGAGTTCGAACCAAACTCCACTTACACTACACATAAGTTTGGTGACAGATCCACAACTTGTCTTTACTGCAAGAAATGAAAGAAAAACAAAAACTTTTTTTTTGGTTTAATGTTAGGAAAAACAAAAACTTATTCCTTAAAACCTTGTGTAAATTGCCAGAGAGTCAAACAGAACAGGAAGGAAAAAAAATTAAAAACCCAGAACAATCATTGAGATTAAAAACGATCTGTATTCTGGTTTGAATTTCTGGTTTGAATCATTGAGAAGAAAAGAATTACCTTTGGGACTGGAAAGAAAGAACTACGGTTGAGCTTCTGGTTTCGCTGTCCGAAACTAAAATGCTGTGTAACGAATGTGTTGCAGAACTTTGAATTTCGAAACTGAATCCAAACAAAAAGAAGAAAGTGGAAACCTTTCCTTCTCGAAATATTCAAGCTATAGCGAGTCTTCAGAGACTCTCTCTCTCACACAGAAAGAGCTTTGTGTCAGAGTTGTTTAGTCAGCTTTAGATTTGTTCCGTCAGAACCGTAACGCACGATTTTTTTTTAATCTTTTTATCGTATCGAGAGAAATTTCAAATTTCGGTGATCGAACAGCTCCAGTTTTATATCTTGGGGAACCAAATCGAACGGTTGGGATACACCAATCGAAATTTGAATTGGCTTGGTGATTAACCGACGTGGACATCTATCTGGTCTTCTCGGGAGCGTCACGTGTGCGGGAAGTATTGCAAAATTGCCCTTGTGTGTTAATTAAATTAACGAAAACACCATTGGCTTTAGCATCGACTTTTGAGGCCCAGAAAGGAGAAACTGTCGAGGGGACCGGGGCGCGTGAGGCCTTGTGGGCCTAAATTACTTGCAAGAAACGGTGCGCTCTTGTCTTGTCTGCTAATGCTAGTGTTAAGAGTGTAGGCTTTTGTGATTAATTAAATTAATCTCGTAGGCAAACATAAATACGAAGTATTAGAATTAGCAAAGATAATTCTGTGAAGCAAATATAAAATTTACTCTAATAAAACATTAGAGATGCTCTTATTAACTCAAAAATGGTCCAAAATTTTAATTAAAAGAAAATTACTTAAGAAGAAACTAAAGGAAAAGACGTGACTGAGAGAAAAAAGAGTGGAGTCATCTTGTGTTTTTTTTTTTGGGTCTAAAGTGGAGACATTCGTCACTAAACGAGCGGCTTTTTCCTAAAAGCGCATCCTTCAGTGAGCAATGCCTTTCCTCCTGTTGGTTGGCACAACACCGTCTGGCACTTTCCACACAACACAATCGTCTGTGAATGGCTGAACACCGTTGTGCTGCAAAATTCCACAAACCATAACCCAAACCCATTCATAAATTATCAAGCAAAAAACATAGATAAAAGACTTCCAAAGTTAAGGATATTACATGTTAAAGCAGCCTTGGTGCTTTACATCCTACATCAACCACATAACATAAAAAAATGAAAAAAATATATAATCAGTACACAAAAGAAGTTTACTGATAAAAATAATGATGAGAATCAAACTAAAAAAAAAAAAAACTCAATTCATAATAGCTCTAAAACATCTGAAACTAAGAGTGAACATATTTGGATATTATTATGCAACTGGATGATGATAAGCAGCAAATAAAAGTTTTCAAGTTTCAACGAAAGAAGAAAAAATTACCATGTAATATGAATTGGGAGACTGAACAAGGCGCTTGAGCTTGTGCTTCCTCTTCTCAAGCTCAGCAGGTGGGTTAAGCAGATCAATATCGTTTTGAAGAACCTGAGGTTTTATTCCAATATATACAGATAATCTAACTATCCTTGTGCTCAATCAATCAAATCATGATACCCTAATTCAAAATCTCTCAAAGCCTAAGAATTGTATTCAGACACAAGACACGATATATTTAACAACGGAGTGCATCAAAACTAGACGCAAATTAATTAAGGATTCGTTTGTTCTTTGTTCTTATCCACAGAAACTAAAAAAAAACCGAAGAGATTAAAGATCGAGAACTAACCATCCCTCTTCGTTAGATTCTAAAGATGACAAGCCTTGGGAGAGAACACAATCAGCCGAGAAAATGGTTTTGTAAGTTATTAGCCCTAATTAGATCACACATAACAACGCCTTATAAACTCAATTCAATATATGGTTGACAAAAGATTATTGGGCTTAATATAATGGACTAAATCTCTATTAATATGGGCCAATTTAAAAAAAAAAAGAGAAACATATCCAACAAAATTTTAAATGCCTTCATTGCTCGGACAAGTCGCAATTTTTCCAGTCGAAACGTCGTCTCTTTCTCTCTTCTGTACTGTTGAGTAACGCTCACTCACACGATACAGTCTCTCTCTCCCTCTTCGGCCTCGCCGGAAATTATGCAGAACACCGAGGGAGATGACGATGACGACTTCCAGATCCCTCCTTCCACTCAGCTTTCTATTCGAAAACCCCTCCACCCAACCAACGCTTACATCTCTCACCGGCGCCCTCCCAAGAAGAAGCCCAGACTAAGCCTTAATCCTGGAAAGGAGAATGTTGCTCCGCCTCCTGAATTTAGCTCCGACCCGGATTTCTCTTCTGGGAATTATGCTCTGACTTCGGATCTTCTCGGCTCGTCTTCTACTCCAGACTGTAGCTTATTAGACTGTATTCCATCGAGTGTTGATTGTTCGGGAGGAGATGTAAGTGAGCCTATTTTTGTGGAAACAGAAGACGAGCATCTTTTGGCTGATGAAAAGGTGAGGGATGACTGTTTCAAGGCGAATCGTGAGGGTTATTTGTGCAATTCGATGGAGGCTAGGTTATCGAAGTCGAGAATTCGTCTCAGGTTTGATGGTGGAATCCACGAGGAAGATGAAGTGTTTGTTGAGCCCGACACTGAGCTCGACGTGTTGATAAAGCTTTGCTCTGAGGGTAACAGTGGAGAGTGTAGTTTAGGCAAGAACGATTTGATTCAGTGCCCACTGTGTTCAATGGATATCTCAGATTTGAGTGAGGAACAGAGACAATTTCACAGCAGTGAGTGTCTTGACAAGTCGCATAATCATGCTCTTCAGCAAGTAAGCTTCTTTGTTATCTGATCACTTTTTTTCGCTTTCCTTGATTTTGATATTGAATTTAGTTCAATTTTTTGCTTCATTTTCGACATTTGATTTTTAGGGTTCCCCGAGGAAATGCGAGAATTCGTCTTCTTGTATTGAGGAATCTGTTGATGATCCAGTTCGGCATCCACAGCTAGTTAATGATCTCTCTCCGGTGCTTAAATGGCTTAGGAGTCTAGGTTTAGCTAAATATGAAGATGTTTTCCTTCGCGAAGAGATCGACTGGGATACCCTTCAGTCACTCACGGAGGAGGTAATGGAATACCTTAATTTTACATGGAACAAAAGCTTTGATTAGTATCTTCACCAAAATCTGGAAAATACAAACTATTTATGTTCATGTATGAATGGCTTACTTGTTTACACAAACAAACTGGATTGAGAATTGACGAGGTTATAATTCCACAGGATCTCCTGAGCATAGGTATTTCGTCACTTGGTCCCAGAAAGAAGATTGTGAATGCACTTAGCGCACTTAGAGAAGAAGCCTGTGCATCTTCAGCTCAAGGGCAGGCACATTCTCTTATTAGCCATGTTACAGAGAGACTGAGGGAGAAGTCAACCAATCGTAAGGCAAGTGAGCCCAAAAAACCAACTGCCAACAAGTTGATTACAGAATTTTTCCCTGGTCAGGCTACTGATAGCACGAAGATCCGGAAGCCCCCTAAAGAACCTTCCACAGAGAAGAGCCCTTCAGATTCTGGCGGGAGACGTGCTGTGAGAAGAAATAGCAACAGTGGAAAATCTAAAGTTATTCCACATTGGAATTGCATTCCGGGGACACCCTTTCGAGTGGTAATTCTCCGTAACAAGCCAGACCGTGGTTTCACTTCTTTGTCCAAGTTAGAACTTTTTAAATGCAACCTTGTTACATATTTCTCCTTCCCATTCAATGCAAATATGCACAGGAAATTATACTTCATATTTTCTGCTGAGTGCTGAGTATTTATGTTTGGTGACTTTCTTGTTTAATATGTGTATGCAGGACGCATTCAAGTACCTCACACGCAATTGTTGCCATTGGTTTCTTACACACTTTCATCTTGATCGTAAGTAGTCTAGTGTTTGCCTATATTACACAGAAGAATCATGCACATCATGAAACAATGCTCACTGTCTCTGGATCCTCATTTACAGATTATCAAGGTCTGACAAAGTCATTTACGCATGGGAAGATATACTGTTCCTTAGTTACCGCAAAGCTGGTAAATATGAAGATTGGGATCCCTTGGGAGAGACTGCATGTCCTGCACCTTGGCCAGAAGGTGAGTATTGCGGGCATTGATGTGACATGCTTTGATGCAAACCACTGCCCGGGATCCATCATGATACTCTTTGAACCAGCTAACGGTAAGGTGCGTTTTTAAATTAGACATTTCCAATCCAATGTGTATTCATAAGCATGTTTAGAACTTTCCAGTTGCAAAATAATTTTCCCTGGACTATGTTGATTTGTATAGGCTGTTCTACATACGGGTGACTTCCGGTATGGTGAAGAGATGTCAAACTGGCTGATGGGTTCGCATATCCACTCTCTTATCCTTGATACTACTTACTGTAACCCCCAGGTTAGTCATGCATCAATATTATATTGTATTGTAGCATTAAGAAAGCAATAAGTTTTTCGATTAACATTCATCCGGTTGATATATGAAATCCATTTTTACCTCAAGTTTCTCGGCATGATTCCTCTCATTTTACGATTCCTTCATTTTAGATTTATAGTGAATAAAGAAGCACCGTAGAGTTCTATTACCATTTTTTGTTCCTTCCGGAGAGGGAAAGAGAACTTCATATGATTGCTTTCATATAAATGTCATCATTTGTTGCAGTATGACTTTCCAAAGCAAGAGACTGTAATACAGTTTGTTGTTGAGGCTATTCAAGCGGAAGCCTTTAATCCCAAGACCCTTTTCTTAATAGGAAGTTACACCATCGGTAATATGTTCTCTCTTCTTTTCTGAATCGATATATCATGTTGAGAGCGGCTTTTCATGTATTGAAATTCTATTATCTCTTCTCTTTTGAAGGTAAGGAGAGGCTGTTCTTGGAAGTTGCACGCGTGCTACGTGAAAAGATCTACATCAATCCTTCAAAACTAAAACTTCTGGAGTGCTTGGGATTCTCGAAGGAAGATATGCAGTGGTTTACAGTGAAGGAAGAGGAGAGCCACATTCACGTTGTGCCCTTGTGGACGCTTGCCAGTTTCAAACGGCTGAAGCATATAGCTAACCGATACACAGTAAGAAACGCATCGATTCAGTTTGACTCAAAGAAAATCTGTTTTTTTTCTTTTTCTTTTTCTGCTGGTTTCTGTAAAAGATGAGTTCTTAGGCGATTTTTCTGCCCTGCAGAACCGATACAGCCTTATCGTTGCATTCTCTCCCACTGGCTGGACATCGGGTAAGACCAAAAAGAAGTCTCCAGGAAGAAGGTTACAACAGGGTACAATAATAAGGTAATTGATTCGCCTTATTCAAGTCATGTGGTGCATTGAGCTCAAAATCATGAGAATCTTAATATATCTTTCAGGTACGAGGTTCCTTACAGTGAGCATAGCAGCTTCACTGAGCTGAAAGAGTTTGTGCAACAAGTGTCGCCTGAAGTTATCATACCGAGTGTTAACAACGATGTACCTGACTCTGCAGCTGCAATGGTGTCAATGTTGGTTACTTGATCGCTGTTTTACATTTGCGATTAAGCTGATTGGCTGCTCAGGTTTGCAACAAAGGGAAGCCTCCTTGGCTACCAATTTGAGCAGAGTGTCAAAGATCGATGAAGGAAATAGATAGTATCATGTTCTAGTTAAAGGTAGCAATGTAACCACGTGATTATGTATTGTTTATAACTCGCGAACTCCGAAGGATTGCTGTCATGAAATGTTTTCTATATATCAACTTCTTTTGTCTGATTTCTTCAGAAGAACTACTATTAGTAGTAGATCAAAAGATTTCGAATTTAGCTCTTACCAGAGATCAACAACATTTTTCAGCTTTCATTCATAAGAAAGATGCAAAAAAAGCATTTCAAAATACCCAAATAGATGCAAATAATAGATGTTCCATAACTCACGACCAGGCTCGTAGAGTTGTTGATTTTGTAGCGGTTCAACGAAGAGTAAACAGATATACAAATTTGGATAGATATTAGTTTAGACAGTATGTGAAGAAAGGTTCTTATAATAAGATAAATCTACTATCAATATTTTTTTTCAAGTAAAACAGATACATTAGGTTCAGTAATTGCTGACACTACAAACAGCAAGTATCAAAAGGCGAGTCTGATTCTTCATCCACCGTGCAAGGTCGAAATGAAAACAATAACATCTTTGTCTTCGATTGTTGTATCGAGCTGACCGCTTAGCTCCCAATCACAGTCATTCACTAGCACAAGAACCCCAGGTCTTCTGCACAACATTTGATTTTCCATGTTAGATAAATAAAACACTTAAACCTTAAACTTGAGCTGATAAAGAAGAAGAAAGGCATACTAACACAGTATCTCCCTTCATGAACATTTCAGGCCTCTCTTTGATTAGATTTGTACGAACCCAAGAAAGCAAATGCTTCATTGTTAACTGATTTATGATTTGAAAAGAAAGTTATTACTGTGAGCTTTAGATAATCATAATGACCCAAAAACCTTAAGAATTGTGAGCTTACATCATCTGCTCCATTAGGCAAATCGACGTTTACTTTATGGATTTTTTCAGAATCACAGAGTAGCTCTAAACCACCCCTACAGATCACATGCAAATTTTTACCATTCAAAGTTTAATCAGTGAACAAGAACTAAACACGTATATGATATATTCATCGTCCATCTTCTTCGATTCCAGCACTACATAGAAACAATCGGCAAAAGAATAGCAAAAACAACAACAAACCATCCCTATTTGATGATCTAGCAACTAAAATGAAAAGTTGACGAATTGTAAAGCTCTCAAAAGACACAATTAGAAGTAAAGAGAAGCAAAAACGTTACCAAAAAGTAAAATGCCAAAAAAGAACACAGATTCCTTGACCACATTACTTTCACACTAATCAAAGAAGCAAAAAGAGCCGAGAGTTGGGAAATTTTCGAATAGGTCAAAGTAAATTCACAGAGAAAGAAAGGGATTGTCGCACCCGAATTCAAGAGTTAATTGCATCCTCGTCGATGTTGATCAACAAACCCCAGCTCTTCTAGGGTTCTTTCTCTCTTTCAGCTTCGTCGTCACTGCGCAAGAAAACGTTGAATCAAGTCATCATCGTTCTAGTTTAGGACATGGTGGGCTCTTTTAATTGGGCCTCAAATATTCGTTCTAGTTTAGGATATGTGGGCTCCTTAATTGGGCCTCAAATATTCGTTCTAGTTTAGGACATGTGGGCTCTTCTTTAATTGGGCCTCAAATCTAGTACGACTAGATAAGTTTTATTACTTTTCCCGATGAATAATCCTGTGCTACGCACACGTTAAAAAGTGGCTCATCTAATCGTAATCGTTAATTGTATAGAACTGTGCATATATTTGACGGACAGGATTGGGTTCTAGCTCTCACTTCAGAATAATGGACGCTCAATAACATACCCAGCAACCGGCAAAATTGCTGCAACCAAGGAACGGAAAATTCAGAGATTCAACGTGAATGGGATTTTCTTGTTTCGGAATTTCTTCTGTGAGATAGAAATTCAATTTTTCCGAATTTTGAAGCTCCATGGAAGCTTATAAGCAATGGGTTTGCAGAAATAGAGAGTATGTACATTCCTTAGGATCTCTTGCCAACGTAAGATTCATTCCTCTTCTGCTCAATTCCTGTAATCCAGTTTTTTTGTTTGTTTTTTGATTCTCTATCTATCTGGGTTTACTTTCGTGTTCCCGTTCGTGCCAAATTTAAAGTTTCATCGTCTGGTTGTTTGAGTTTTTGCTTGACTAGTAGAGCTTATAGAGAGTGCAAATTTGAGATCGAAGCGTTTCCTTTATTGAGTTTAAGAAAAGTGAAACCCTTACAGAAGCTCAAAACTGGAATTAGTTCGTGGATTTGATGCGATTGTGATCTTAATCGCTTGCCGAAATCGTTGGAATTGTGAATTTCATTAGGCTATATTCTATACTATTAACTCTTCAGTTATCAAAACTTTACTCAGATATTGAGTGTGATTATTTGGTTGCAGGGATTGACATGGCTGCTTCCTGAGAAATTTTCAGCTTCAGAGATTGGACCAGAAGCAGGTTTTGTGAAACTTTGGTAACATTTTACTGCTTTCGTGAAACTTTGGTAACACTTTACTGCTTTCAATCTTAGAAACAAAAAACTACTTCTATTGTCCCTGTTTAGCTCCTTAAGTCTCTTGTTGGAATGGAACTTGTGTTCTGAATCTCCTATACTCGTTTTATCGGTTATCAAATCATACCTTGTTCCTCACATGTTTACCGTCCTCAGTTTTTGATAATTTCATTAGAACCCTTGACTTTGGAAGAATGTTTTTTCCCCCTTTTACGTATCTCTCTCGTGCTTTTGAATCGCAAATTGTGATGAAAGTTTCTGTAATCTACTCTGTAGTAACGGCTTTTCTGGGCATATTCACAACTATCAATGAACACATAATTGAAAATGCTCCAACCACCCCTGGTCATGTTGGATCTCCCGGGACTGATTCATCCCTATCTTATCCGTTACTCATCGCCATCCTAAAGGACTTCGAAACCGTTGTGGAAGTGGCGGCTGAACACTTCTATGGGGACAAAAAATGGAACTACATTATTGGCACTGAAGCTATGAAGTAAGTTTGCTTCTTCTTTTTTTTTCTTGATCACTTACAACATTCTTGGTCGGCTTTTTTGATATCCGGAGAATGTTAATTTGCAGGGCTCTCATTAGGTTAGCCTTGTTTCGGAATAGCGGATATAAGATGCTTCTTCAAGGAGGGGAAACACCTAATGATGGGAAAGATTCTAACCAATCGGAGTTGCAAAATAGAGCTGGTAATTCAGATAGGAATCCTCATAGTTTTGGAAACCAAAATCATCATAATCCATGGAACTTGGAAGGACGGGCGATGTCAGCTTTAAGTTCATTTGGTCAGAATGCAAGAACAAGAACTACAACACATTATAACTCGGGTTGGTCTCGAAGGATTCAACATCAGCAAGCAGTTATAGAGCCAGCAATGATCAAGGAGAGGCGAACAACGCTCTCCGAGCTATTATCTGAAAAGGGTGTTAAGGGAGCGTTATTTGTAATAGGTGAGGTTCTGTTCATAACGAGACCGCTCATCTACGTTCTTTTCATCAGAAGATATGGAGTCAGGTCTTGGATTCCTTGGGCTATATCGCTTTCCGTGGACACACTGGGAATGGGGATTCTTTCAAATTTGAAGTTGTGTGGGGAGAAGAGCAAGCAAATCCATTTCTCTCAACCTGAAAGGGACGAGGTTAGGACATTTCTAGGACAATCAATTGCATTTTAATGTTGAAACAGTTTAACTGAAAATTCCTTGTTTTCGATTCAGCTCAGGAGACGGAAGCTGCTTTGGGCATTGTACCTAATGAGAGATCCTTTCTTCACCAAGTATACCAGGTGAGTGCGTTTTTCTGTTTAAAAACCCAAGGGAAGTAAATATGTATTTTTTTTTCTGTTGCTTTGGGTTTGTTCTGATATGGAAAAGAAAAGAAGGAAAAAAAAAACGAATTGGGTATGGCTTATGCTATCGCGGTTAATAGTAGACCAATATGTTTGTGTGACGGTGATTGCAGGCAGAAGCTGGAAAGCTCTCAGAAGACGGTGGAACCAGTTCCATTGATCGGTTTCCTCACAGGTTTGCTTTTAGATGTCATGTCATTACATTCTACAGATATCGTTGATCGTCGATTCCTCGTGCGTTCTTGACTTTAGTTCGATTTTGCAGAGAAAATTGTGGAGCTTTTGGTGGGAGCTCAGTCACGGTACACTTACATATCAGGGTCGTGAGTATAACCAGCCCGTGCCCATGTTAAGAAAAAAGAAACACTCGCCTGCGTGACTTTGTGAATATAGTTTTGTTATTTATTTTGGGATATATTTTGATATTGAAATTTAGTTATAGTGATAAACTTATTCTAAATTATTAGACATAAATCCAATTCAACATAGTTAAAACATACTTTTGTTTTTTATACTTTGTTTTTTTTTTATGTCTCTTTTAAATAATTTTAGTTAAGTAGAAGATATTTATGACTTTTTATTTGAAGTTTATTATCATAATTCATTTTAATATATCAAAATCTAAACAGAAATGTTTACTTTATATAAATTCAAAATGTATTTTTTTAAAAAAAAATTGTTTTATCAATTGAACAAAATATTGTATTGATAAGACATATTATGATAAATGTCTAATAAACTCTTTTAAAAGAGAATGAAACTTAATCCTTTATTTTTTTGTGTCTTAATAATTTGTTTTTATACAACATTAGATATTACTTGTTTCATTTCCAGAATTTTAGACAAATAAAACAAAGCCGTTTTCATGGGTAGAAGTGGAACATCAGAACACTTTTTTATTTATGTTCATATATCAATACGAGAGAATCTTTGATAAGTTAACTTTATAGGTTAACAGAGAGAAAGAATTGCTGAATGATGAAATTGTTCATCATAGATTGATAACATCAGTTCTGTGTAAAATTGTGTAAATCCGACACCTCAAAATTGTATCTTTACATCAGTTCAGCCTGACATAAATTATGCTGACGTAATGGTATGCTTTTATCTATGGTAAGCAAAACTTTGGTGGGCATCAAAAATTACGATATTATCCTACGGTGGTGGACCCGAATCTCTTACCGAGAATGTGGAGCCCATTGGATTTAAAGCCCGAAGAAGATTACTGGCTAAACCGGTATTATGTCTGTATGCGAGTCGGGTTTAATACTGATCTGATCCGTTCGTTTATTGATCAAAGTGTGCAGAGAGAGAGTGGTGGGGCCAAATAAATGGGCCTTGCCTCTCAACATTGTGTGGTGTGACCGGCACTGGAAGGTAGGGTCCATTCAGACCCACTTTAACCCGTTTTCGTTTTGTAGCCTTTTCTTTCTTTTCTTTTTTTTGGTGGTAGGCCCGCTTTCTGTTCACATGGTTTAATCAAATTGAAAGAGAAGCTAGTTAGATATACTAGTTACTGTTTTAACTCTTGTTTTTCTATCATCATATCTTAAAAAATACTCCCTCTGTTCAGAATTATTTGATGTTTTAGAAGGTTTTTTTTGTTCAGAATTATTTGATGTTCTCACTTTTCAATGCAAAATTTAATGAATTTTTATAGTTTTTGATCTTTTATATTTTGAAGATTGTTTTCTTATTGGCTGAATGATATTTAAATGAATTATAAATAATATTTTTAGTATAGGAAAAATAAAAATTAAATGAATCATTAAACTGTGTGCAAAAACCTTAAACATCAAATAATTCTGAACAGAGGGAGTAATAAGTAACTATTTCTTTATATACAAAAGGTGAACCAATTAACTTCCTCAAACTAAGAATTAAGCTGATTAGTGTTATATTTTGTATTGAATCTTTATGATATCCGGATTGAACATTGTCTAATTAGAAGTATGTGTTTGTGTAATGGGTTCACCGGTTTAGTACAAGGACAATAGGATTTTGGAATCCAGGAAAGGATTATTCCCGAAACACTAATTAGCTTTCTGGTGGCGCAGCCCTTGTGACCTACATAAATGGGGTCCAATCCCAAGTATGGGCGTTTTGAAAGAAATCTTTATTTTCCTACCCGAAAAATTATTATTCAGATCTTTTCAAGGGTTAGGAAAAATAAACTTGACAAGCTGAGGGAATTATTGTGTGATTGTTACACTGTCTGGTCGGTTTATATAGTAACCAATGTTTATTTATATTGGTTTTGATGAAGTTTTGCTTCGGTTTGGGATTGAAACGAACTTCCATTCTGCAAGATTTATATCACATCGAACTTTTTTCAACAAATATAAATTTTGAGAGAAATTTTGCATTACGTTGCACATTAGTAACAGCTTGTATATAAACTCAATAATTGCTCCTCTTCTAAAGATCAAATTGTAAGAAAGTCTTTTATAAAGAGGAAATAAAATTTTCTGGAACCCACTGAACCGATGGTCCAACAGAAGATGGAAACCATAGGAGGGGAAGGATCCAGGTGGTAAAATCCTAATGGCTCTCAAAAGCTAATCCAATATATCAAAAACCGTTGATTTTTCCCGGATCAAAAAAGCGTCAGTATTCTCACTGCCTACTTGCTATATATATATAGACAAGTCACAGTTAATATCTCCCCCGACGTGTAACGCCGTTAAAACGATTCTTTTCCAGAGTATCCGCTTCTCTGTTCCGCTTTTACATCTCTCGTCGTCGTCATCTCCACCGTCCGTTATAGTTTAATGACGACGATTAAGAAGCAAGAAATTGGAGGCAAAGATGAACGCCTAAGATCCGTTGATCAAAGCATCATCAACGGCATCAGAAACGTGGAAACTTCTAAACCTTTAAAGGCAAATCCCACGGCGAGCCTCGAGCCCAAGGCGGAACCGTCGTTAGAGGCGGCGACTCCGTCGATTTCAATGTCTTTAGCTCCACCATCGACGATGGGACCGCCATTGAAGAGAGCGTCAACTAAAGACCGTCACACCAAAGTTGAAGGAAGAGGGAGGAGAATACGGATGCCTGCCACGTGTGCGGCTAGGATTTTTCAGTTGACTCGGGAGCTAGGACACAAATCCGACGGCGAGACGATTCGGTGGTTATTGGAGAACGCCGAGCCGGCGATTATCGCGGCAACGGGTACGGGAACGGTTCCAGCCATCGCTATGTCGGTAAACGGAACCCTAAAAATCCCAACCACCACGAACACTGATTCCGATTTGGGGGAGAATCCGGCGAAGAAGAGACGCAAACGACCTTCTAACAGTGAGTATATAGACATAAACGACGCAGTTTCGGTTTGTTCCGGTTTAGCTCCAATTTCCACGGCAACAATCCAGCCTCTGCAAGCTCCGGCATCCACCGTGGCTCAACAAACTCTGCCGCAAGGGATGATCCCGATGTGGGCGATTCCTTCGAACGCAGTGATTCCGGCGGTAGGAGCTTTCTTCTTCGTTCCACAGGTCGCTGGTCCGTCGAATCAGCCGCAGATGCTTGCTTTTCCAGCTGCCGCTTCGCCGTCGTCTTATGTCGCCGCCGTTCAACAGGCTTCCTCGATGGCTAGACCCCCACCTGTTCATGTTGTTCCCAGCAACGGAGTGATAACCGGTTCGAAGCCATCGAATACGACGTCGATTATGGCTCCGAGCTCGAGCTCCGACATAAGAATCGGAGGTTCGTCGTCAACGACGCATATGCTTAGAGACTTCTCGCTAGAGATTTACGATAAACAAGAGCTTCACCAGTTCATGACCACCACGACACGGTCATCGAACCACTGAACGGCGTGCGTATCACCGGAGGAGGAAACGGTCACGTGGGCACGTGAGGAAGGGAGTAAAGACGCGCACGTGTTAAGTGGGCCTAGTTTTTAGGCAGATGTGGGGTCCATTTCGCTGGTGGGTCAACACGCACCCAAAAAAAACGAAAAAACAAAGAAAAGCAGAGAGAGGCTCTGGCGAGTGGGAGAAAGAGGGAGGGGCCACACAGTCCCCCCACCTTACGCATAGCTTCCGAGGCGGCCAGGTTGGGTGTGGTCCCCATTTCGGTAGGGTTACTGTGGTCCGTGCCTGTGGGACCCTATTTAAGCATAACTTCGAAACGTTTCGTTTTATTTGGTGGGCCTCACCACTTTGTCTTCAGTTTTTGGACTTTGGTTTTTGGTTTGTAAAAGTATACCAAAATTTGCCACAATAAGATTTACTGAAGCCCTCTTATAATTAAAAAAATCCGAAGTCATGGTCCACCCAACAACAATTGTGATATTGATGTTTGAAAATTTTTTAATCTATACGAAAATAATAATTTAACTCTGATGATTTTTTACTAAAATTGTCATAGCATTACTTTTTAGATAATTCCTTTTTTTAAGAAGTGTTAAAAAGCATTACTTTATTGTTCCTTTTGATTTTCGTAAAGTCTAAGTCCGTGTATGATTTTCTTTGGCGGGGCCTAGTAGCTTGCTTGTACCACTAATACGACTTTGTTTCGTGGGGCCTGTGAACACGCATGAACAGACTGGCGTGGGCTCTGCTTCTTATCCATTAAATCTCTACCGTTCATTCTATCATCTCGTCCTAACCGTTAATTCTATCTCCTTTTATTCAACACTTTCAGTGGTAGATATTTTGCTTTTGCTCACGTCTCTACGCCAGACACGATTTACTACTAGATATTAGATAATTTATTAATGCCTGTTATGAAGTGTGGTTGTTATACCATTATTCTCAGTTACTCACCGTTAACAGTAAATGTGGTTTAGCTAATTATGAAACTAGTACTTTAAACAAACTCTATAAAAGACACAGACACGGGATAAAGGAATTATTGGAGGCCCAAATCAAATTGGCGAATGGGAAAAAAGTTCCAGAAGAGTTGGCTATAGGAGTCCACGTGGACTTGACATGACATGTCGCTCTCTTTCTTTTGTTGTGGACCTCTTTTCTCTTTTATAGGCTTAGCCTATAAATTTCAATGTTCATGGATAAGAATATGAAACCAAATGTAAACCATAACGATAAGAAAACCTATGCTTGATGACATCAAAGAGCTAAGCCTAAAGAGAGACAAGTATGTGCTTACATAACATTTAGGGCCAAAATATTTAAGGCCTACTATTTTGCAGGCCTGACTTATACACTGAACAACCCAAGCTTAGCGTATTATCTTTTGACACACGTTTCAAGTCAATGATAATAGTAGATATTAATTCTTAACAACCCGCATTTACAAATTGGTATGTCGGCCGAATATGTCAAACCCCTGGGACTGGACATGGATTTACTAATTTTAAAATTCCAGATATTAACTTCTTTTTTTAACATTTCCAGATATTAACTATGTTAGCAAAATCGGCCTTAAGTCCTTTAATTTGACGACGACAACCAGAACTAAATACCCGTCGCCTTTTTCCATTTGAGATTTGTTATTTTTTTGGTCTTGAAACTCCATTTGAGATTATTTATGAGTTGTTATGACAGTCCATGTGCAATCATAATCCTTATATAAATTATCTGCTTGCGTTGACGAAAACTTTATCGTGCCCCCTTGTAATTATATTGTTTATTCCGTAATCGCTTTGCTAAACTCCAGCTGCAATATAAACATTTGGTAGTTCTTAAAGAAACACTTGTTCAACAACAGAGCGAAAACTAATTCAATTTTATTGTTCATAAAACAAAACAGAGCGAACTTTTAAGCATCGAAGAATAATAGGTAATTAGTTACAAAAACAAGAATAATAGATAATTAATTAGTTTAACCATAAATAAAAAAAAGATAATGGAAAGAAACAAATGACATTCCACCACAAGCGTGTACCAATCTCTCCCGCTCTCTCCTCTTTTCTTTTCTCTTTCTCTCTCTGTGTTCTTACAGTCACCGAGAATGGCGGATCCTGATTTGGCGTCTCCCCTGATCCAGCACCAAACATCCGATCAACAAGAGGTCGTTATCTCAATCGATGTCGACGGCGACGACTCAGGGCTCGATCTTCCCGCCGTAGGAAAACCCGTCTGTGAAGAAAATCATGACTCTCGTGTTTCACGTGGTTTTGAATTTGACCATCTCAATCCAAGTAATCCTTTCGGGTTTCTCAGCGAGGCCGAGCCTCCGGTTCTCGGTCCGACGACGGTGGATCCATTTCGGAACGATACGCCTGGGGTTTGCGGACTCTACGAAGCGATTAAGATCGTGATTTGCCTCCCGATTGCTTTGGTTAGACTTGTTCTGTTTGGGGCTAGCTTAGCTGTTGGTTACTTGGCTACGAAATTGGCACTTGCTGGCTGGAAGGATAAACACAACCCTATGCCTCAATGGAGATGCAGAATCATGTGGATTACTCGGATCTGTACCAGATGTATCCTCTTCTCTTTCGGGTGAGTTTTGCTCCCTCTCTCTCTCTCTCTCTGATTTCATCATTTACCCGAATCGCCAGAACTTAGTGATTGCTATAATCCCTACGATTTAAGCGAGCTCGGTGTTTTTAGTCGTAGATTTGAACTTAGTGTTTGCCGATTATTGATTGAATCCAATCAAGGATTGTTAGTTTGTTTATAGATTTTCCAATGTTCATAATCTTCCTTGGTCCTGCAGTTATCAGTGGATACGACGGAAAGGGAAACCTGCTCGGAGGGAGATTGCTCCCATCGTTGTATCAAACCATGTATCTTATATTGAACCAATCTTCTACTTCTATGAATTATCACCGACCATTGTTGCATCGGAGTCGCATGATTCACTTCCCTTTGTTGGAACTATTATCAGGGCAATGCAGGTAGGCAACCAGCCCCTTTTATAGAAGTATTTCTTTTAGCAAATTTTGTAAGCACATAGTGGTATAAGATGCTGGTGCCTAGTTTTGTACTAAAGGTTCCGTTTTTTGAAAATTCTAGGTGATATATGTTAATAGATTCTCACAGACATCAAGGAAGGACGCTGTGCATGAGATAAAGGTATAGAGTTTCTGTGGCATGTCTATTGATGTCTAGTAGTTTTTTTTGTTCTTTTTCTTAAGTTGAGTAAATTTATCAAAGAGATTGGCTCATACACCATGTTCATGACTTATAAACCATTTTGTGGTTGAAACGGATTCAAATGGTTTTTTGTATTTGATACGCAATGTGCTTTCAAGGATGTAAATACAGAGAAAAGCTTCCTGCGACAGATTTCCCCGCCTGCTGTTATTCCCGGAAGGAACGACGACTAATGGGAAAGTTCTTATTTCCTTCCAACTAGGCGCCTTCATCCCTGGTTACCCCATTCAACCTGTAGTAGTTCGGTATCCCCATGTACATTTTGATCAATCCTGGTGAGTTGAGACCTTTTTTCGTGTCTGTATTTTGTTTTTAATACCTTCTCCTAAAAAAAAAGAAAAATATTCCTTACTGATGTTAACGAAGCTTTCAGGGGAAATATTTCTTTGTTGATGCTCATGTTTAGAATGTTCACCCAATTTCACAATTTCATGGAGGTAGGCAATGTTCATATCGCTTAAGCTTAGTTGACTCTGTGTTTCAAAATTTCACGTATTTGGATCTTTTTTCCGGGAATCAAACAGGTTGAATACCTTCCAGTAATCTATCCCAGTGACAATCAAAAACAGAATGCTGTGCGTTTATCGCAGAAGGTGTGTATTTGGTTGAGATTGAGATTACTTTTCTGCATTTTTCGTGTTCTTATGTTGAAATATAGTCCTCATGGTATACTTATGAATACAGACCAGTCATGCAATTGCAACATCTTTGAATGTCGTACAAACATCTCATTCTTATGGGGACTTGATGCTACTCAACAGAGCAACTGAGTTAAAGCTGGTATGTGCAGCTCATGAATGTTCTTGCTCTCTTGAATAGATCCATATGTTGTTTCTTATCTATGTCTGGAAGTGTCTTCGGAATTAATCTAACTCACAGTTGAGCCACAAGTTTGTGCAGTTCATCTTATTGATCATTTATTTCTTCCCTAATGTTCTGTTGCAGCAAAACCCCTCAAATTACATGGTTGAAATGGCAAGGGTTGAGTCGGTAAGTTTATCATCTAGCGTTACTAGTTTAATGCTTCTCATTTACACATATGAGACATTTATCTTTGATTGTGGTATTATCGAGTACACAAAACCGTGGAAAAAATATGTTTGAACCTCATTATTCAATGTCCTGTATTTAATAATACCAAGAGAAAAAAGTCCATTAGTCGTGCCTTTTTTGTCTCCCTAGTGATTGCATTGTTCTGTCTTTGTTCTTTTCAGCTATTTCATGTAAGCAGCGTAGAAGCAGTGCGGTTTTTGGATACGTTTTCTTCCATGAATCCGGACTCGAGGTAAGGACTATAGTCTTCTTATAAGTAAATAGAAAAGAGTATAGACCTCTTTTTGGCGTTCCAGTTCTCGAAGTATCAAATTTCCCTACAACCTCAAGAACGTTATCCTTTCTGCAGTGGACGTGTCAGACTGGTTGACTTTCTTCGGGTTTTTAAACTGAAGCCTTGCCCTCTTTCAAAAGGGGTCAGTTAATGATAATAAATTATTTCCTTGCCTTCATTTTTACCGTCGTTTATGGCTCGGGAAACTTACTTATACAAAGCATATTGCTGTAGATATTTGGGTTCATCGATGTGGACAAGGCCGGATCAATCACTTTCAGACAGGTAATTTTAGGCCTAACATTATATATGATTCAAGCGGCTTCATTTGTAGAAATTTTTAGCATACAATCCATAATATACTTCTTCTGCTGATTGCTCTGCAGTTCTTGTTTGCCTCGGCTCATGTATCGACACAGCCACTTTTTCAGCAAATATGCGAGCTATCCTTTTCCCACTGTGACGCAGATGGAGATGGCTATATCTCCATTCAAGAAGTAGATTCAATTCTTCACCTCTCTTTTTTTTTTTTTTTATCATATTTGCTTTTGGCTTCTTATGACTTACTCGTTTCCTTGTCTTTGGCTCAGCTTGGAGACGCGCTCAAACACAAAATCCCAAACTGGAACAAGGACGAGGTTAAGTGTACATACAAATCCAAATCTCTAAATTTGGGAAAGATCAATCGCCTAACGGTTGGGTTTATCTCATGTTTCAGATTCAAGGGATGTATAGTTTGCTTGACGACGACAAAGATCAAAAAATCAGCAAGAACGACTTCTTGTCCTGCTTAAGAAGAATTCCTCTGCTCATAGCCATCTTTGCACCTAACATTGTTCCAACATAACACAGACTGACAAAAAGATGGCTGAGATTTGCGATCGGTGCGATGATCTAAACTTGTCTTTGTGGTATTATTATTACTTTATTGTTCTTCTAAATTCTTTTCAGATAATGAAAAGAAAGAATGTCAAAAGAGAAGGGCTGCTAAGTTTTTGGCCTATATCCCCACCAGGGCCATGCCCATGTTAAGAAAATGAAAACATTCGCCTACGGGCCTTTTGTGAATATAATTTGTTTATTGGGATATTTTGAAATTGAAATTTTGTTATAGTGATAAACTTATTTTAAACAATTATACATAAATCCATTTTTTTACTCATACATAAATCCAATTAAACACATTTAAAACATACTTTGTTTTTTATACTTTTGTGTTTTATAATATTTCTTTTGAAAAAAGTTTAGTTAATTAGAACATTTGTGAATTTATATGTGAAACTAATAAATCATTAGTTTAATTTTATTGACATCTGAAATCGGATTAATTGAATACCCAGGTAAGAATAAAAAGCCCAGGTTGGGAAAAGCTGACGCAAACATATATTTACGGGATTGAAGAAAGGGCAAACGAGGATCTGCAGATGCAATAAGAACCGTCGGATTGAAAGAGAGCATAGGGCGGTGCACAGCACGCTCTGTGGTCCCCTCCACAGAGGATGTGAATATTTCCTACCCCATGTGCCCGACATGTGTCGGTACCTCAACTGGGAAGTGCGAACTCTCTCCCCAATGGCCAAATCAAATCTCTCTCTTCACAGTCTCCAATTAACTTATTTTTAATAACCCTCTTTATCCGACATTTTAAATCCTAATCTCAATCCGTTGATCATGTATCTTTAGTTACTTTACATTAAATAATTTTTTTGAAAAAAAAAACAAACGTTCTACTTGGCTGTTGAAAAAAATTTATGTAATTTTATTTTATGTGCTTATATATATATATATATATGTATACATAATTTTATGTGCTTATATTTTCATATATATATATATATATATATAATACGCTTGAAGAGTGAGGCTAGATCATCAGTGGACACTGTACAGAGGGATATCATTGGATTCAAATGAAGTGCTATTTAATACATGTGCAAATGTATTGAGACAAATAATTCCCCAAATCACGCGTTTACAGAAAGTTAAGCAACTAATAATGATTTCTTTAGTTGTTATTTATCTTTTGAAACTAATAATAATTTGTATTTTGTTTTGGTTATTAAATGAATAATTTTATATGTAAAGTTATCATTGGAGGGAAATTCGGTATATGCGTTATGTCCACTAGGAGAGCAAATCTTTTGCAAATGAGAAACATGACGTATGGTAGTTTTGGAATTTCAGTTTGGTTGTTTCTGAGGGCTTAATACAGACTTGGGGATGAAAAACTATAAGGAATCGGAAAACATATGAAAGACGGTGCACATAGTAGAATACCGAGTTATGTTAGTTAGATCGATTTTATAATTTTCTGACATGTGCGAAAGATATAAAATCAATACAAATATTGAAAAATATAAAAATTTCACGGGGTGGCTACATGTGAATTCTTAAAACATGAGACCAAAGACGACGTGTTATGTGGTTTCTTGATCAAGAATCAATTGTCTGATTAGATGGACTTTTGTAGACCTTATGACAACTTGATAACTTATCCACGTGTGTTTTCTGTACCGGATAAATTAGTTACCCTCTATGGTTGTCTAAAGAGATGAAGAATTGAAACACAGAATTATAGTTTTACAAAAAAAAAAAATTAAACCTTTTTTTCATAACTAAACAAAAAGGACAAAATGTTCTAATATATTATAAAATACAGTTTCAATCTAATAGATTTTTACAAAAAAAAAACGTCAAATCTAAAACATTTAGATCCCTCGATTTGAATTTGCCTACAATTTTACTTTAAGAGTTAAGAGACCATAGATTTATACGTTTGGATAAATTCTGTAACTCCAAACTTTGTTAGTATAAAATTAATTCAAAAAAGATGTATATTCAATTCTTTTTTTGGATTCATTCAAATTTTCAAACCCCCCCCCCCAAAAAAAAAAACTGAATATTCGTTCTCATAAGATTAAGTGATGAATTAAACCTTGTTTGAAAGTTGTATATCTTTTTCTTTGTCAAAAAAGTTGTATACATTCTATATATATATACGAATATCCAGTTAACTTATCCAAGGAATCACCAATAATGTTGTTCTTTTTTTTTATGCAATCACCAATTGTTTATATCTAATATATAAATTTCTTGAAAAAAAATTCAAAAAAGCATGAGCCGATGAGCGTCAGAGATTCACCGAACCTAAGAAACCAAACTGAAATCACAAGATTGTTAGAAACAGTAGAAAATGAAAGGAGTAGGTGGACAGTAAAGGAATCTGTCCTTTTTCTGGGGGCGCTTTAACAAATTACAAATAAATACAAATTTCTCAATAGTATAAATATGAATCCTAATTTCAACACCTTAAATAGGTGAATTTATGTATATATAGAAAGTGAATATGATTTAACCTAAAAGAGGAAGTGACCAGATTAAAATAGGTATGAAAAAGTAGGACCATCCATATTTAGTTGCTATATTGTAGAATTTATTACTTGGAGATATGCATCTTTTTGTGGGTCCCATCATGACCAAAGTGTGGAGCACGATTTATCTTTGGAGTTAATAAATAATAATTATATTTTTGTCTGGGGATTTTTCGATTGGAGCATGAGAAAAAGTAAGAGGTGCGTTTTCGAATTATCATTGGCTACGTGACTGTACGGACGATGTTGATATATTTCTAATATTGTACGCTCCTTTTTTTTTCCTTATTCTAACTCTTATCATTTAACCCAATATAATTTTACAACCGAAATTTTATCATGGCTCCCGTTGGTCGATAATGAATTTATCAAAATTATTAAAAAGGTCAAAAAATCATAATAATTAGTAAAGGATGAATAAAAAAGTATACAAAATAGAATCATATAAATTTGATTGAATATAAATATTTTAGATCAACGAATTTTTATAAATTTCTAACAGTTTGCAAGTTCATAATTAAAAAAAAAAAATTCAAATCATTCTGAAACATTATACACCCATTCTAATACACTTGTGAGTTGTGACTAACATTCTCGATTTTAGCGATGTTTTAACTTTAGGTCTATACTAGAAAACGATATATCTAATGGTTGGAAAAACTGGAAGATTCCAAACAGAACTTTATTCTATTTATGAGACGATCATAATGGAGAAACTTGAACCATAGTCTCTTCCTTTATATGATAAAACTTTTAATTAGTGTATTTTGGTTAGACCGTGTTTTTGACTATCATTTTAATTTTTATATCTGACGACCAGTCAGAAGTACTCGTATTTACTAGTCCCGATAATGTTTCTATAATCTGAATTGGTTTGGAAAAAATGCTCAACCGTGAATTCAACCGGGTTACACATGAGTAAACTAATGCAAACGCCAAACACAATAAAAACAGAGATATATTAGAGACAATTAACTCAAACATATAATTTGGTTAACATATGAAGTCACCAGCGAAAAAGATGTTCATGTTTTTGAAATAAATAGTCTGTGTGGTCCTCCCCTATATACGTATATATAAATCATTAGATTTCGATTAACCATTTTCTCTCAAATGGTGCCACTAGCTAGGTAGACAAAACAAACCGATAAGCTGAATTATTATTACTTTATTAGTTTTCTAAGTTACGTTCAGTCTTGGGTGGTTGTGGATTTATCTGATAAAAAAATTCATCATTTTTTTTTTTTACTCATTTCATTAACAAGAAAATTAGTTTTAGTTCGCTACCATCCTCTAAAAAATATTGGTTTTTATGGTACTTGTATCTCTCAATTCAATATCTCCGTTCACAGGTTTTTTGTTGGTTTTTAATTTTCGTTTCCATTATCTACTCTATATATAGACTTATGTCGTTCTCGTAAGAATTTCTGGGTTTTAGTCTGTTTTCTGGCAACTTTTCTAACTACCGGAGGTTTTAATTTTTTTAACCGGGTTTGTATCCTTCAGAGTTCAGAACTTTTAATAAAATTTGAAGCGACAAAAAAAAGTTGCGTTTAGAAAAGTTTATGACTGTAGGAAAATATTGTCCGAGCGACAAAATTTTGCAAATGCCTCATAATTAGACACATCGCTACTACACGCCATTGCCTCATTGTCTTTGAAACTCCAATTATTTGATCGGTGGTAACTTAGGGTCAATGGTGAAAACCGTGAAACTGTATCTTGCGTATGTGATTTTGTGAATTAAAAATACCATCCATGTCAATTGTCAAACAATAGAACTGCCATAGCAAGTTACTAATCATCCAAGCAGAGCTGTAAGATTCCGTATAAAACTTAAAACACGTAATTTTCACAAAAACTTTGTAAACGTGTTTAACATTCGAACTATTGGCACAACAATAGAGCTTTTTGTTGGAGTGAGATAAACGTATTTGTTGAAAGGGGAAATAAACACACATATAAACACACATTAAACCAAAAAAAGTAATATTTTGAGTATGATATTTAGTTGCGTTATCAATAAATCCCAAAATCTTATCATGTTAAAAATAATTAAATAATTCCCAAAGTTAAGGATGAACTTTGGACACGTCGTAAATATATTTAAAAGCTGGTTCTGGATTTAAAGACAACATGGACTAATAAGTGCAAATTACATACATATTAACGGATTGTAAAACATCCAATTTTTACCGGTTATATTAGAACTAAATATTTGATATCCTTATTTTCAGATTAATTACATGTGGGGCCTATAGGTAGTACGAGAGAGTATTTGTGTCCACACTTAAACAAAAAGATTTTTCTTTATAAATTTATATATTAAATAATTTGACAGCCAATTCCATCAATCTAGATATTTTTGAAGGGGAAAATGATGTGTATGTAAATATTTCCATATGTATCAAAATATGCTATTTTTGGGCGTTCTTAAGGCTTTTTTCCAAAATAAGTAAAGATGAGGTTTCAAGCGACCATCATATTTGCGACACATATTACTATTTGGCTATTTGCTCCTCCTTTTTTTGCTATTATTTTAATGTCTTTTAAATCTTTCTCTAAGAAAGAAAAGAAAATTTTGTTCCGCACCATTACCATAACTACAACGAGAAGAGGATCTTTTTAAGGAGAAAGCAGAGAGAGAGAGAGAGAGAAGAGACGAGAGAGTGTGAGTTTTGTCTTTTGTTTCTTTTATTACACACAAATAGATGAAACGAGGAAAGCTACTCCTTTTGCTACTTCCATAAAAAGGTCCTTCCTTTCGCAGAGAATCAAGTTTGATCATCTTCTTCTCTCATCGCCCTCCATTAATAAATCATATAGTCTCTTCTATCTATATATCTATACACAATCGTGCTTCTTAGTTTCCTTTTGTGTTTGCCTTCTTCTTCTTCTTCTCCACAAGCTTCTTAAATAGGTATTCCTCTTTTAACCCTTTTGGCCGTCGGTAAGATCTCTTTTTCATGATATTTTGAATTTTTTTTTTTTTGCTTTGTAGTCTTCGATTAGTTTGATTGATCTAAAACATTAGATGGGTTTACTTTCATTTTGTTCGATTTGATGTTTTGTTTCTCGGTTTTTGTTTTGTTTCGCCTAAATCTCATGAAAGGTTGCATCTTTGAATTAACCCCCAAAAAACAAAATAAAAGTGAAGGTTGCATCTTTCATTCATATTCAAGCAATCCATGTCACAAACTTAGAGATCAGCTATATAAATTCGTAATTTAGATTGTTTTGCTTTTTGGGTACTCAATCATCTTCATCCCTCGTTGACTTCATCAGTCTCTTCCCACCCAAAAAAAAAAACCAGGAAAATAAAAAGTCTTATTTCGATCACCTCCTTTTTAATTTTTTTTTTTTTTTTGAAAGCTACTCCCTTTGATTCGTATATACGAATGGGTTGTTATATGTGTATGACTAATCTTCTTATTGAGGTGGTTGCACCATTGATGATCATATATATTTTTTTTTTCCTGTGAAGGGAAATTAAACAAGAAGTTAGATATGGTGAGGGGAAAAACTCAGATGAAGCGAATAGAGAATGCAACAAGCAGACAAGTGACTTTCTCTAAGCGAAGGAATGGTTTGTTGAAGAAAGCCTTTGAGCTCTCAGTGCTTTGTGATGCTGAAGTTTCTCTGATCATCTTCTCTCCTAAGGGAAAACTTTATGAATTCGCCAGCTCCAAGTACGTTCCTTTTTTTCTTTCTTTCTCTTTTTAATAAATCCTCTACAGAGAGAACGAGAAAGAGAGAGAGAGAAAGATATCTCATTAATCTCTCTAATATTATTTTAATTTTTATATCCCTTGGTTTCTATTTGGAATTGTTGGCTGTTTATGGAACCACTTCTCTTTGACGACGTTTGCTTAGAGAAGGTGGTTTTAAATAATTTTCTTGGTTTCTACAATTTTAGGGCTATTATTAAAGTAGAATCAAGTACATCATCTTGTTTAATCGTCTGAGATGTATCTCTCTCTCTCTCATTTAGTGTCTGAAGTTATGATAAAAGCTATTTAAAAATTTTATCAAACGAACTCTCTGACAGGCACTGTGCACTTGTTATATATAAGATCATCTAGATGGTCACACACACGTATAACTCGTTGAGTTTTGTATTGAATTTCCTCTTTCTTGGGTCCATTCAAAAGATCATATTTATGTTGCAATTAGCATTCTTTTTGGTTTGAGATGATACACAATCTGGTTAAATTAATCTTTGTTTTGTTATTTCATTAAGAAAAATAGGTTGCTCTAACTGATGATTAGGAAGTTGTTTCATCACTCATGCTTCATTTCATGCTCATTCCTAATTTAGTTCAATTATATTGCACATTTCATTCCTTTTTGTTTCTTAACCTGGTTTTACATCGGAACTCAAGCCAGAAGCTAAATGTAGATTGTTTTGAGAATGAGGAAGAAGTATCTGGTACTGTTAGGTAGATGGGAAACCAAACTTACTTTTGATATATCATTACTTCTGTAAGTGGAAAAAGCCAGCTTTTGATCAGATGTTTAGTTCAGACATTTTGATCATTTGGGAAAGTACTTCTTTCTCTCAACCTACTTAAATATAAAGAAAATAGCTCAAATGTTTTTGGTTTCCAAAATGGGGGGAAAAAACAAAAAAGTACTCGACTTTCCAAGTTATGTCCTTACAGTTTTGATATTACTTCGGTTAAGAAATATTTTGATGTTCATATATTGTCTGTTTTTGAGTTAGGCAACAATTGAGTTGGTTTCTTACACTGTGCTAACTTAATATGTTTATTTTAATGTTTTTAATAGTATGCAAGATACGATAGATCGTTATCTGAGGCATACCAAGGATCGAATCAGCAGCAAACCGGTTTCTGAGGAAAATATGCAGGTTAATTATGATCTTGCGTACCGAATTTTTAATATATTAACTGTAGTACAAAATTGAAATGGTTTAAGAAGTAATAATCATAGTCTGTATATAATCTCAATGTCACATATCGGTATCTCAATGTCACTTTTATTAAGTCACATATTGAAAATAATCACATGCAATAACATTTTAATATGTGATATAACCAACAGCATTTGAAACATGAAGCAGCAAACATGATGAAGAAAATCGAACAACTTGAAGCTTCCAAACGGTTTGTGATCCAATACAGACACATAATACACTCGAATATAAATCATGTAGTAAGAGTTTGATCGTATAGAGCGTTGTTGTTGTTTAGTAAACTCTTGGGAGAAGGCATAGGATCATGCTCGATTGAGGAGCTGCAGCAAATTGAGCAACAACTTGAGAAAAGTGTCAAATGCATTCGAGCAAGAAAGGTATATATGTATATTATATGTCCCTACATTATTTTTCTTGGAATTATCTCGTAAAAGCACCCATAATTCTAACTTATTTGCTCTTTTCTATCAGACTCAAGTATTTAAGGAACAAATTGAGCAGCTCAAGCAAAAGGTAAAGTAGTTTTGATGAGCGTATATATGGGTAGAATATTCCAACTTAATTAATAATCTTCTTGTGCTTGCTTTTTACAATTGGAATAAAAAAACTTTGCAGGAGAAAGCTCTAGCTGCGGAAAACGAGAAGCTCACTGAAAAGGTACAATATATTCTTTAAACCAATTTCTCCTACGGGCCTCAAGTTAGGGTTGCAAATTCCTTTTATTTATTCCGTTAAGATAGTAGTAAAAGTTTTGTTCTTTTATTATTTGGGTTATTCGGTTAAGGCAGTCTTTATAGTAGTTCTTCTAATTGGTTCGTCCGTGTGTTGTTCTATATATTTTCTTTGCATGTATTAATTTTGTATGTGTCTATATATTAATAATAATAATTTTTTTTATTGCAGTGGGGATCTCATGAAATCGAAGTTTGGTCGAATAAGAATCAAGAAAGTGGAAGAGGTGACGAAGAGAGTAGTCCAAGTTCTGAAGTAGAGACACAATTATTCATTGGGTTACCTTGTTCTACAAGAAAGTGAAGAAACTACTCTTCCAACAACCACATCAAAAAAAAAAAAAAACTTAGTAAAAACAAGTTTAGCGGTGAGTGTATAAGGACATGTAACAAAACTCTAAAGCTGCTTCTCTTGCTGTCTTTTTTTCTCTCTCACTCTCTTCTTCACCATGTTCTGTTAAAACTGAACTGCCTGTGTTATGCATCTATGTTCTTACACTTGCCTCTGTAGAATCGAATTATGTTTATTGTTCATTGTCAATTTTGTTTTGATGTATCAATTTAGCCTTTTTCACAATACCTATAAATAACTTATTGGTTGAAAGTTATATCAACTACTTTAGCACAATAGAAAGAAAAAACTAGTATATAATAATGAATATATATATTGTTGGGCTGAAAGAGTTTTTATAGCGTTGTCTCCCTAGTCCAGAGCATTTACACACACAAAAAGAAGAACCACATTTTGTCCTTATAGTTAGTCCCAAGCATTAATTAACACACCTAGAAAAAACTGACTTCAACTAGACAATCTCTTGCGGCTAGCGTTCTCTTTACCCGCCTCTACTAATAATCTGCGCCGCCATAAGTTCTCTTTCAGCTAGCCTTAACACCTTTTTTTCTATTCGTTTCTCTACCTCCAATCAAATGCGGACTTTGAACGGACGAACAGTCTCAATCCATGTTGTTCATTCAGAGCCTCTGTTTCCTCAAAGTCCTTCCAACAGGCAATTTAACTTAAAATTCTTTTGCTACAAAAAGAAAAACATGTTAGATCAGTTTTTACGTGTGGCAATAAACATGGAGTAAGACAATAGAATCCACTTCTACAGAAGATTAGTCTCATGGAGTAAGATAACAGGATAAGGAAGATGCCTCGGTGGAAAAAAAAAACTAATTTTCGAGAATTTGTTTTATTTTTTAGAAATTTTTTGGAACCATAGTCTTCCAAAGACAACTTAATTTAGAGCACTCCCCCTAGATCAAAATTCCAACTTCAAAAAAACATTGAAATTCATATTTTTAGACCCGTTTCATATTTGCACAAAAAAGAGAGAGACTCGTTTCATTTGGAAGATCCGTTGATATACACTAATACACATTGTTTTCCGTCCGTTTTGTATGTTTCGAAATTGTAATAATATAGAGATAATACTCTCAGCGTTAAAAAAAAAAAAACGTATAATCTACGAAAAAAGTAGTATCGGCCTAGTCAGCCTGAATATACACGTATATACATCATTTGCTTCCAAGAGAGATTAGGGCCGGCCTACTAATAAAAAGGGCTTGCTTTGCGATAGTAGCCCATTAAACAGAAGTAATTAGGGGGATTACATAAAAGAAAAACTTTTCTCGTCAAAAACTAAAAATCAGTACTACGAAGGCTTTTGGAAAAGACAGATCAGTGAGGTCCGTTTGCCAAACAAACTAGAGGAGCTCCTCAACAATATGGGTCCCGCTACATCATTGCGGATTATTTCAAGGATACTACGTGGCATTTTATGATTCGCTCATAATTAGTTACGATTCACCTTACTGATTTTTTTTGTTTTTTTTTATTAAAAAATTCACCGACCAAAAGCATGTTTATCGGGCATTTTTTAGTGGATTTCTAAGATTTTTTGGGCCCAAAAAAAAAACAAAAATGGCATTGTACATGGCGTTTCTTAGTAAGTACGTGGTGGGCCATGATTGGATTGTGTTTTGATGACCCAATTTTTTTTTGAAATAATTAGAAATTTAGGACAATTTCCCAAACCATTTGTCCTTTTTAGACATTGTCTCTCTAATATTTACTTTTATTAAAATCCAAAATTACCCTTAAAATTTCATTCTAGTATTTTTTAAAAAAATATTTTGATATTCACTTTAAATATAAAACAATTAAAAATAAAAAAAACTAACAAAAGATAAAAAAAAATTCTCGTCTCCACAACAACAAAAGAAACAGCAAAAAATATTTCAACTACTTTATTTTATGAAGATACATATCACACATCAGAAGTTTGGCTATCTTTGAAGGAGTTTCCACTGATGGATCAATCTCAAATTTAGACACCAAATATATAAATGGACTAGCTTTCATTTGAAAGTGGTTTGAGGTAATTCTAACGGTGCGATCAAAAATTATGCCAATTTTTATAAAAACAATCCAATTTGGCAAGCAAATGAAGCAAGTGCAGAAAAAGCAAAAAAAAAAAAAATAGAAGAAGACAAGAGGTCTCGAACTCGGAGGTTTGAGTTAATGGAAAGCGATAAAAATCCATTGTTGCTCAGCACATTATTCGATTTTATTATAACGGTTTTAATACTTAATCTCAAAATTAGAAAAATATAAAAAAAAAATTCAAAAAAAGAAAAGTGAATATTTTGAAAATATTCAGTTGGATGGATAAGCATATGAATCCTAGATTTTCTCAGATTCTGTAACGATTTACTAGAATACATATTCTATATTACATAGAACAAAGAATGATTGCTAGAATTCACATTCTATTAAAATGTAGAATGTAGTAAAAAATGTAGAACAAGTATTCTAGTAGTTGTAGAACTCTAAAGAGTTTGTAGAATACATATTCTATACGACTAACAGAATGAAGAAGAACATATAGAATACCAATTCTATGTTTCGTAGATTGTAGAAGAATATGTAGAAAACATATTCTAAAAAATCGTAGAATTAGAATACGTCTTCTACATATTGTGGAAAATAATTTTTAAAAATTTAAAACTTTCCATAATTGAATTTCGGTAATTAATTTATTTCCATTTTTGGTATTTTCAATTTTTTTTTTAAAAAACGAGACATTAAATTCAAATTTCTTAAATTAATTTCAACATTAATTAAAGGGTACTTAAGTCTAAAAGTGACAAAAGTCCAAAAAGTCTTATAAGGACAATTGTATGCAAAATGTGTCCTAAATTTACAATTCTCTTTCCTTTTTTTCTTTTCATTTCCTTTTCCCAATTTTTTTTCCTCTTTCCCTAGTTTTTCTAATGTATTCTATATTAATCAACATTTCTTAATAGGTCTCTTAACTAAACAATACTACTTAAGTAATATTTAAGAAATCTATGTGGGTCTCTGTAATAAACATGGTCTAACATCGCAATTTTTTTTAAGAACTCCGTTCATAAAGGAAATATCCGAGAATTTTATTAATGCCCATTGATCTATTTATTTCATTAATTTTAGGATATAATATTTCGTCATATTATATCTATTACACATGGTGTTATTGTTATATGATGATGAACTATGATATTCTACTTTAACCAAAAAAAAAACTATGATATTCTACGATGATGGGCATGAATAATGGGAAATTTCAAATAATTAAAAAAAAATGTTCATTCATCTATTTATTTCGTTAATTAATGTCGACCAATGAAAATCTATTTATTTCATTAAATTTATTATATCATCATAATTCATCATATAAACACATGGTATGTATAATGTATATATAGGTTGCACACAAAAAGGCAGTTGTTTATAGTTCGCTGAAAATGAGTGTCAGTAAACCTAAAAAAAATTAGATCACGTTGAGAATTATTTAAAGAGTCCAATACATGCGAATAGGTTCACACGAGCTGGAAATTATATATCGCACGGCAATATGACAAAAATCTAGAACATGATTTTTTTTTTCTTTTTCCTTTTTAAAAAAATACAATATTTTTTTCTTTCATACTTTAGAGATGAAATTGGCCAGACCGTGGTATCGTGGTCTAGTCAACAAAGGTCAAAGAACCCAACCTTGGACGAAATTGGTCTCACAAGCCACATTCCTCTTTGATACCGAAGACCCTTCACCTTGCACGTAGTACTGTTGTTGTTGTTGGAACCTAATTCAAATACCAAACTAGTCTTTTAATCAAAATAACTTCTATCCATTTTACCAAAACGAAGACAAAATGATAAACTGTATACCCTATTTGTAAAAATGGCTCAGTATTGCAATCCATTGAATTAGGATGAGAAGACTGAACCGGAAATTCAGAATTGTTAGGATCGCCGGCCACTGATGCCAACGAACTTGGCCATAAGTCTTGAAATGTCTTGAAAGCATGGCCTTCGGTCTCAAACTATTGTCACGCAGAAGTATTTAGATATAAACAATATATATTTCTACATTTTTTTTTTTTTTTGTGTGATCTAAAGTGAAAACCTTTATCTTGAGTTGTTTGTTTATGTCTCCGAGTTGCCTCTCCTGCCATTTCAACAGCAGATTGATGAATATGTACATATGTGTATCAATTTGGTATGTTATATTTAGTAGAACTTGCCTTTTTCCGAAGATCTTCCATTTCTTCCATCATAACTTGTGTCTGCATATATATATATATATATATATATACATATTATATTAAATTATGGTTAGCGATATACATTTTTTGTTGGTAAACAAACATATGATTGGAAATGAAACAAGACCAGTTTATATATCATACAACCTTGCGCTGTCGAGTCGCGGTAAGAGCGGCTTCGAGCTGTCTCTCGAGCGCTTGCAGTTCCTTCACACTCATTTCTCCAAGATCTTCTCCAAGCAAATGCCTTAATATAGCAATCAACAGAAGATGATAATTTAGACCCAAAACAAAACAAAAAAAGCAGAAGATGATAATTACCATATAATTTAAAGGGTTTATAAAACTATTACTAGACCTATTAGTGCGAACAAGAGATTCGTATTTGGATTTAAGCTTTGTCACCTCTTGACACCAGTTCTGCACCATATAGATTTTATAATTAAATGCATATATAGTAACAAGAGAATTTGAAGGAAGATAATCATATATTTAATCAGAATCATTTATTGTATAAACGGAAGTACATATATAGACATGCCTGGGTAGACTCTTCAGGTCTATTATTGCCCACGGAACAGTTGTAGCAACGATGATACCGTTCAATTGTTCTTTCAACTCTGCAAATTTAATAGAAAAAGGTTATTACAGGAGAGATAATTGGCACAATTATGTATAAAAATTCTTCGTAAACTCTAGATAGATCTTAGTAAAGAAAGAAACCCTAATGTCGTTCTTTTAATTTAAAAAATAAACCCCATTTGGATTTTGACATCTTTCAGACTAAATAATCAAAGGAATTCAAATTAAAATATAAATCATACAACAAATTAATTAAAGCGTACGGACGGACCCATTTGCTTATAATAATGGATCCGAGAGAGAGAGAGATGATATAACCATGAACCCTAGTTACCTTAGGATAAAAGACACAACCTTTAAGAATACCCACAAGATAAAAAAAAAGTTGATCAGATTCTTGATTCGTACGATATAGCTAGAAATAAAGGAACCAATTTAATTCAATTCTATAAGAAAACCTAACTTTATCGAATGTAAACGAAGATCGTACGACGGAGCATAAATACTATACCCAACACTACCGAACTCGTAGAGCTTGCCACGGCTAGAAAAGACGATGAGAGCAACTTCAGCATCGCAGAGAACAGAGAGCTCATAAGCTTTCTTCAACAAACCGTTTCTTCTTTTTGAGAAGGTCACTTGTCTATTGATTTTGTTCTCTATCCTCTTCATCTCCACTCTCCCTCTTCCCATATTTCTCTCTCCTTTTTTTATATTCTTATTTTCTTCTTCGTCTTAAGAACTGCTAACCTTTTAAGTACAGATCAACGGACTATGTGTATCGTACACGATAACGTGTTTTTTTTTTTGGTAATATGTAAATACTTTTTTTATTTACTTACATCCTTGTTGTTGGGTTAATATGGTCAATAACTAAATATCTTTTTATCAATCAATCTTCGTTTTTTCGACTGTCCTAAGTATGTTATGTGTGATACCAAGAAATGAGATATTTTGTTATTGTTGTAAAATAAAATAGAGGTAAATAAACAATTAAATGGCGTCAATTCTGATGCAACAAACTGGTAACTCTGTCCTCGTAATTATAGCTTGATACCTTAGAATGGAAAACTGCTTGTAAAAGTCGGACCATTAGAAATTTCCATTGTTTTCTCTTTTCAGTTATTAGATTTCTTATTTTATTTTTTCAAAGAGGTCGGTATTTCAAATTCAAATGAGTTCATTTTGTCAATTCTTATGGCTCATATCCATGATTACTAGTTGTATTTTTTTAAAAATGATTACTATTTAAGTAAATATAATTATAATTAAACAGACAAAATGGTTTGTCTATTATGGTGATGCAATGATCTCTTAATTTCCGTAAAAATATATTCCTTGATAAAATAACCGTGAATTCATTTAAAATGTCAACATAACCTAAAATTGAAAGAAGCTGATTAGTGATTACGTGTGAAACTAATGCTGATTAGTATTTACTATTTTTTTGAAATTTAATTGGTCAAAACGAGTGCAGAAATTTCATCATTGTTCTTGGAGGTCTCACATATTTGGTAAAAAATAGTAAGATGCTTGGTAAAAAATGTCTATACGTAACTCACGCTATTTTTTTCACTGGCAATGATTCGAATTTTGTTTCTGTACGCATACATGGATTCAATATGTAGGCAACTACATATTTTATTTAAACTTTAGATGCTATTGGCTGAAGGATTATTTTTAAACAAAATATTCATGTTTTTGTTTCCAATTTAATTCATCGTAACGGTAAGGGAATTAATTAAATTTTGGTTTTTAACTTGTATATTTTTTTTCTAATTCTTTTTTCTCAACTGGTAGTTTTTTGTTGTTGTTGTTGAAGACGCTCTCGACTAATAACTTAATACGGTAATTGACACATGAAATCATTTGATATGTCAGTCGACGACCAGTCTCTTGTGGTCATACGAAGAAAAAAAATACTCTGACCTCATCATCTCTACATGTTAAATATTATCGCTTTCGTCCGAGGTTCACAGTTAAAGTTGTATCAATGCAATAAAAAGCTTTTCACTTCTATTAAATTTAATTATTTGACGAATACCGCTCATTTGTTAGAGGAATAGCAAACTATTTTCTTTATTTTTACATCTTTGATCATAAAACACATAAGTTGATATATATATATAGAGAGAGAGGTTAAAACATATATGTATTGATCTACCATGAGCTGTAATCGAGTAGTTTAGTCTAACATTTAACATTATATATTCGAATCATAATAGAAACATGCATTGCTTTTGTCCAAAAAAAAAAATGCATTGCCTACTGCAAAAGTAACATATCTGTTTTAAATATTAGGATTTCTTATAGAAAACGCCAGCTTGTGACTATATTTGCAAAGAAATAATTGCTTTTCACTGGACTATATATATTTTCTACATTTAAAAAAGAACTGGAATATACATGCGAAACAAAAATCAATAACTAGATCGGACACTGACCAAACCATCCTTGTTGTGTCCAATCCATGAAAATAAATAAGGAAAAAGTCGTACGCTGATGACATAAAACCATTTTTGTTCGGAAGAGTTTCATAGAAAATGGTACACAAAGTTACAGCATTCTACTATTTAGTATTTTCTTTTAAAAAACAGAAAGTATTATAGACCACATTACTTTACAGATATTTTCAAATAGAAACAAGAAATAGTGAGTATTAAATTTATTTGATTATTTTTATAAAGAAGTGAGGGAGGAGGTTGTGGTGGTGGTTAGGGGCATTCCAAATACGGAAAGGGAAGCAATGAAGATCGGGTAGTCTTTATAATTTCATACTTTTCACTTTATAGTAATATCTCTACTTTTTTTTCCCCTCCCTTTTTATTTTCTTCTTTACCAATATCTCTTTGTTAAAAAGTAATACCCTCACATTCTCGTGGAAATGGCACTGCATATTCATGTGAGGTGTGGGGTCATTGCGCCTTAACGTCTGAATGCTACGCTCTTGACAAATCAAAATTCAATGACCCCATTTTCTTCTTTTCATAATTTTTTATTCTTCTTATTTTCTATAATTTTTCTAATTAAAAGTGAAGCAAAAGGAATTGGTACCAACAGCATATATCTATTGTTGTTTTGGGATCCTAAGAGGGCGTTTGAAGTTATTATGCATTAAATGTGGATTTTTATATGTTTTCCCCATATTGTTTATGTTAGCTATTCGATGTGTGTGTTTCAATATTGAGGATAAGATAATCAAGGAAAACAAAATAAATAATAAATAATTATATTTCTTTTTATCAGAAAAGAAGAAGACATGTTTGTGTAGTAAAAATTCGTACACATCCATATGTATTTTTGTTTCTAGTTTGAAAAATGATATGCCTACGTCGGAGCTAATGAGCCATAATTAAATGCTAATCAACAACTCAACCCTTATAATAAAAAAAAAAAAGAAGAAAAAGCCTCAAGCCTTTATCATTTTAAGTTTATGTAAATAAAAAGGCCCTTGACAAAGAAATCTTATTAAAAGGCCCAATATCATGTCCAAAAGGCAATTAATATGGGCTTAAAGCAATCCGATTACGACCTGCGACATTACCTTCATCGGAGAGATTTCTTGATACAGAGAAGAGAGAGATGGCTGAAGCAGCGAGAAGACAAGGTGGTGGGAGGCCATTGCCGCCTCCGCCGAGAGGCGCTAACCATCCTCCTCGCTCAAAATCCGAACCTGTTGATCGTGAAAAGGTTTGTGTTCGATTCATATGCGCTTATCGGTGAAAAGTCTTCTAACTTTAATTCTAGGGTTTTACCTCTTTCTATTCGGAAGGCAATCTCTCGGTTTCTAATTGTTTTATCTGCACTCACTGATCTCTTTTTCTTTGCAGACATGTCCCCTGCTTCTTCGTGTTTTCACCAAGGTACGGACTTCTTCGATTTTGTTCCCTTTTTCTTGTCTAAATTGTAGATAATTTTAAATTGATCAGAAGTCACATAAACCCTGTTGCGTTTGGTGATCGATTGTCGTTGTTTGATCCTTTTGGCTGCTGTTGTCGTGTGGTTTCAGAGTATTGTTGTATTCTACTAAGTTCTCGAAAAGCAATGGCTTTCTTCTTTCCTTTGATTTTACGAGTGCATTGTCGATGTTTGTTTCTGTCATGGTCATGAATGCCATTGATGTGCCATTTGTTCCTTTTTTATTTGTGCGTGTGGTTCTTTCTGAATTATACTGCAAATTAGGAGTAACTGGAGTTTTTTGCAGACTGGTGGTCATCATAGCAAGGAAGATTATGCTGTTAGAGGCAAAGAACCGAAGGATGAAGTTCAAATCTACACATGGAAAGATGCCAGTCTCCGCGAGTTAACAGAATTGGTATGTAATTGAGAGACAGGATGTTACCATCAAGCTGCTTGCGTTAGAGATTTTATAGTGTATATCAGTACATGTTTGAAACGAGATAGATTTCAGCTAAAGGCCTCACTTTTGTCTAGCTGCTGATTAAAAATTGACATCTTTTTAGGCCATACAAAGGGAATGATTCGACAAAAACCACTGAGTAATATCGCGTTTTCATTTCAGGTCAAAGAAGTTTCTGTAGCAGCTAGGAGAAGGGATGCAAGATTATCTTTTGCGTTTGTTTATCCACTCAAGAACGGTCGCTTTGCCGTGAGACAGGTGAGATACTTTCCTTCCCAATCTTAATATGATAGGATATAACCATAACCACAGATGATCATTGAAGCATTCTAGTGTTTCTGTGTGCTTCCCCACATCTCTTAGTCGCACATTTAGCTACCAATCATATTCAGAGTTCTATCGCCAGTGTGTTTATACTAGTTCGACCTTGTCTTTTGTTATTTTATGAAACATGTTAAAATCATAAGCATGACTTCACTCATCTTTTCATGCTTATGATTTTATAACACTATAGCTAGTCACTATGAAGTGTATATTAGTTTGGTGCTTTCGGATTCAATCTTTACTTGTTCTTTGTGATATTTGCTTATGAATCCAAGAATCCATGAGAAGATACTGATCTTGTGATTGTTTTTGTTAATTGATATAGGTTGGTCAGACGATGTCTTATCCAAACCGAAAACAACCAGACGACAGTAAAACTCTCGCTGACCTTGATTTCGAGGTAAGAGTTACACCCTGAGAAGATAATGGTAAATTTTTTTGATAAATCTTTTGCCCAAGTAGAGTTATAACTGCAATTATTCATCTTTTTGTAGATTGGTGATTATCTGGATGTGGCAATCTACTAGGAGGAGGAGGTTTCTGTATCTCGTTAAGTGAGATTTTTAGGTGTGTGCGCACAAGGGAAGAAACACATGAATTTTATGGTTGTTCGCATTTCAAACTTTGTTTAGACATGTTATGTATCTTGGGATCTGGTCTGCTCTAATGGTTTAGTAAAAATACCCCTACTTTTTTGTTAACCATTTTTCTGTCATAAAGAACCAAAAACAACAGTTTATAAACTCATCCCGCCAATTTTCTATTATTAAACAAATATACAAACTTGTATGTACAGTAATTATTGTGGGTCAATTAATAATGCTTGTGATAAAGAGGATAGAAGTAAAAGTCATCCGTCAAGAATGATAAAGCAATGGAAGAAATTTCAAATACTCTTAAGAATAAGGAAATATATAATCAAAATAATAGCAAAGATAAATGAATCACTAATTTATTTGAGACGCGCGTGCGTTTTACTAATCCCTTGTTTCTCGTAATGGTCCAACGTTTTGATTTGACTTGAGAGTAGGAAAATATGAACGTTGTGGAACGGTAATATTTTTCGACCGTTTGAAATTTATTTTATTGAAAAAATAAACACAATGCTCTATAAGTACTCGGTTCTTGGGTAATCCTTCTTCGCTCAATTCACTCAGTTTATTTTTACTCTCTTTTAGTTATATTCCTCCACTTGAGTTCTCACTAAAACTTTCTCTGTTTCTCATTTCTTCACTCAGTTCACTCAGTATATTTTTACACTCTTAGTTCTTTTCCTCCACTTAAGTTCTCACTCAAACTTGCTCTGTTTCTCATTAAAGCGAGAGCAGCAAACATAACCTCATCTTTTTACAAGGTATCACTCTGGTCTAATTCCTGTAGTTTCTCCAGCTTTATAATATTTTTGTAGTCGCTTTGAATTCCCGTGTTCGTCATCTTTTAAACATTTGTTTTATGGAGTTACACAAACATTTCAGAAGCTCTGTTTTAAAACTCTTTTTTTTTTGTTATATCTTGATGTCTTGATTTCATTGATGTGTTTCTTTAATCTGTTTTAAAGACTTTTTTTTATTATATCTTGCTGTCTATTTTTGTCTCCAGCTTTCATATTCTTGTAGTCGCTTTACATTCTCGTGTTCGTCATCTTTTAAACATTTGTTTTATGGAGTTGCACAAACATTTCAGAAACTCTGTTTTAAAAACTCTTTTTTTTGTTGCTAAAAACTCTGTTTTAAAAACATTTCATTGATGTGTTTCTTTAATCTGTTTTAAAGACTCTTTATTGTTGTTAAAAACTCTTTTTTTTTGTTTTGAAAAACTCTGTTTTAAAAACATTTCATTGATGTGTGTTTCTTTAATCTGTTTTAAAGACTCTTTATTTTTTGTTATATCTTGCTGAGTTGCTGTCTATATATTTTTGTCTCCAGCTTTAATATTCTTGTAGTCGCTTTATATTCCCGTTTTCGTCATCTTTTAAACATTTGTTTTATGGAGTTACACAAACATTTCAGAAGCTCTGTTTTAAAAACTCTTTTTTTTTTGTTACATCTTGCTGTCTTGATTTCATTGATGTGTTTCTTTTAATAAACTGATATTTAGCCATATATGCCCTTCCAATTAAAGCTTAGGAATACGAGTTATATTACATGTTCCTCCTTTTTCGCTCTCTATGTCAGTCAATCTATGTACGTTTAGTTGTTCTGTCTAAGAAAAATAGAACGGTTTCTTTAATTTTTATGAAATAATAGAAAGAACGAGTTTGGTCTGAACTTTTTTGTTTGATGTTTGGATGAATATGTAATATGAATGTACCAAGATTGTAACCAAGATTGATTTTCATCAATTTTGCAGCGATAGAAGAGATGCTGAGATTGTGCCCAGATTCCAGAGTTTCCATCTTCTCCTTCATCCTTGCCAGCCCTATGACGTTGACGAGATGTATTATGTGTGTATGATGTTAAAATAGATCATAAACACGTGGATAGATGTATGTATGTGTGAGTGATATATGCATAGATGTATGTATAGGCTGTATAGATGAGTGTGTGTATGTATATAGGGTGTGAGTATCAGAGTACACATGCACAGGCATAGATAGCGTAGATACGCATGTGTAAAGATGTATGTATAAGGTGTGGGGATTCATATATGCATATATGTATGTATAGGGTGTGAGGATAGATAGGGTGTATAGGCATAGATGGTATGTATAGGGTGTATAGGCATATAGGCATGTTGATAATAGGATGTGTTTAGATGGATTTGAGGATATATGCATATATGTATATAAGATAGCGAGTGATATATGCATAGATATAGATAGCGTAAAAACGCATGTTGATAATAGGAACGTATGTTGATAATAGGAAATGTAATTTGCATAGATGCGTGTAATAGATATTTGTATAGGTGTGTTAGCTAAAATCGTGTCTATAAACGCTAAAGACCAAACGATCTGTTGGGAATCAATCCAAAGTTGTTTATATTATACTATAAATAATGTTCTAAAACTACTAAATCCGTACGGGCTCAGTACTGGTAGCTAAGAAAAAGTGGATTTGGAGAAATAGGATTGAATGTTCGGTGTAGGAAAGAAACCTTCAATATTACTTTGCGATTAAGAAGTACAAGATAATACTAAATATCGTTGTAGGTTAGAGATCAAGAGTTATAGGGTTTTTTGGTTTGAGGGGGAGATTGTTGAGCTTTATGGGAAGGAACCAAAAACCAAATCCAAATCCGTGCGGACTTTGCTAGTTGAGGATTTTACTAGTTGAACCCAAAACGGACAATATCATATTAATTGAGAAATCTAACTTAGTCGCTAGTCGAAACACGTAAAACACAAACCATCTGCACAAAATGCAAAAACGATGAAAAATAGCGGCAACTTTAAAGCTAAAAAGGATCCGCACAACTTTTGAACATAGTACGATATTTACGGTGGTACTTCAAAATAAATACACGATATACACTTTTCATCGCGATTAACACGATATCTAAGCTTCTTTCAAGGCGCAAGAAACGTAATACAAAAAAAAAGTGAGGAATTACATTAAAAAAAAAATAGCTTATTGGACGATGATGAAATTGACAGGAGTTAAAAGAGGATTATTGGAGAATGTAAAATGAAAGTTATGTACATTAATGCCGAACAAAATTTTCAAGAGTTTCCAGTGTTTTATCCAACTCAAAAAGTGGCTCACCATTTCCTTCTCAACATTAACAATGCTTTCCAAGCTAACCTATCACTATTAAGCTGCCATCCATCGTAAATCTATGTGCACTAACGATATGAAACAGATGGTTTTTTGGCTTCTTGCTTAGATTTAACCTTGAAACCCACAAATTAGGAATATTGCTCATTCTTCTACCTACATCTGAATCTGATGCTTCCTATGCAACCAGAGATACCACGAAGACGATGGCGATATTGGCGGAGACTTAGATTCGCCGAGAGAATTCCGGAAGACGAAGCGGAGAGCCGGAGACTCCAAAGGATTTCAACACAGCCATTTTTCTTTTTGTTTGCATTATGATAAATAATATTATTCCAACTATATTAACTTATTTATTTTTGTTCCAAATTTCATTTAGCGTTTTTTTTTCCCTTGGTCACACAATAAAAGACAGGTTTATTAATCAATCTGATAAAACACTTTATTTTCTTTTTAATGAATTTCACTTAACAATATATATATATATAATATTTTTTTTTTCTGGTCACACAAGATGAGATATGTTTAATCAACCCATTACGCTTCAACATAAAAGACTTACTTCTTTGTTGGGTCACAAGCAAGAATCCAAAACACCCAAAAAAAGAAACGGAGAGAGCGAACCTAACCATGAATATATACAAGCCACACGAATTCAGATTCAATCTTTTCAAAGCTAATTGTGGGCTTGGCCATTATTATCACCAGGGAGATATGGTTCGAAAAGCTTGGCAGATGGGTTAGGATCTTCATGCATAACCTCTGCAGCTCGTTCGAACTCTTCTCTCAACACTCGGATACTAAACTTATCCACGACTCGACCCAGATCATGGCTCGTCTCAAACGGATCCTCTATGCATATCAGGTGCCTATCGTTCCCCACCCTTCTGGTCCAGTTCTTCTCTCGCTTCCTGCAACCAACACATATTGATTTCATTTTTTCATCTCTGAGATTGCTTCACATAAAGTAGAAGATTAGAGTGTTTTGATTTTTTTACCCAAGTATGGAACCGGTGCGGACAGATACAACGGTGTTCGCATAGTCGTGACCGTATGCCCAGTAACTGAAAAATCCCCACACCAGCTCAGCTATGGTCTCCTTGTTACTCGATCTGCCGAGTGTTTCAACATTATCAAAGTATGCGCAACGGATATTATCTACCCGAACTAAGTATGTCGGCTCCATTTTCTGCACAGAGGAAAAGCCTTTTTCAATAAAAGAACAACATTCATAACATTACACATACAGATATTATTAGTATACACACCTGTAAGCAAGGAAGAATTGGCGGCCTACGCTGTTGTAAGAAATGAATGCACATCAAAACATACCTGTAAGAGTTTCATCATATATATAAGAAAGAACTCTTTTTATTATTTAGTTTTGTGCAATCGAAAGTTACTACATTTAGAAGTCTTTAAGAGAGCTTACGCGTAGCTGGAAAGTGTTCCTTGATAAGTTTCATTAACCCTTCTTGATTTTGCCCAATGTTTCACAATGAAAGCCAACTGCCTTAAACGTCCATCTATCCGAGCATAATCTCGCAGGAGCTTTGTGTTCACAACAGCCAACACATTGTTGATGCAGATATCACAAGATATGCCAGTAACCGGATCCATAAGTTTAACTATAGGAACCCTAGCTCGTGTCAGTGCCTACACAAAAATATAGCAATAAGATTCAATAGCCAGAAAAAGAAGTATTAAGCACTTGATCAACATTTTTCTTTGTATTAGCAAAAGCATTTATTTCACCTGCACGTTTTGGAGATTATCTGATTCCAAAATATCCGCCAGCTTTAACAACATCTCAGATTTGTTGATATCATCATCTTCGATTGCAAGGCAAACATCGATGTCACTCTTTGGGAAACCAAAAGAGTTAGCACAAGAACCGTACAGATAAAGCTTTGCATGAGGCCATTCTTTGCCAACTAAATGCTCTAGCCGGGCCATTAGCTGTTTCTGCTTCTCTAATTCCTCTTCTGCAGGAATAAGAGACTCGTACACTGCGATGAAAGGAGCATCATACATGTGGATGTCATATCGACATGCCATATACCTCCATCTATGAATTCTTGAGCTTTGACGAAGCAGGCGCTGACCCCGAGTGTCCATTCTCGATTCCTGAAAACAAAACCCCCACTTAGATCATCTTCCTAACCTCAAGAAAAAGCATCATTTCTTAATTTGGAAATATTTCCAATGAGTCGTTAGTGCTCAAATAGAACTGGTGATTTCAACTACTGTATACAAGATCACAAGCTGACCCTAGAAAAAACTGAAATATACCTTTTCGCGAGAAGTCCGGCTATTATTCTTCCCATCTTTGGCATTCTTATCGTCAGTTTCATCTTCAAGCAATAAAGACTCAACAATATCTTCCCCAAAACCCTCAATGTCGTCATCACCAGGGCCACACTCCCCATTGCCCTCCCTCTTTCCTTTACTGAACTGCCCCAATTCCTCTTTACGTCCAACTCCACCACCACGAGCTTCTTTATTCAGCATCGAAATGGAATCCTCAGCATCAGCTGCTGAAACAGAATATAGATTTGTACCCATAGGTGGTCCTGGTTGATCAATCTGTTGACTAAGATCGAATCTGCCCTCATTCTGGATAGATAATCTCCTTAATCTATCAACCTCAGCAATAAAATCAACACTTTTATGATCCCATAAATTAGAATGCTCGCCTTTTTCTTTATCATGATTATTCCCCTGGAAACTACCCATCCCTTTACTTCCTAAATCCATATCCCAACCTCGTTGGTTACTCGAGAATCCAGGAGGAGGAGGAGGAGGAAGAGTAGACTTGGAGCCCCTGCCGTTACTCCCAATAGGACCCCAGTTTCCTCTTCTGCTGTTGTGTTCATGGAAATCGTGAGACAAGTTTGGATCCGAATTAGGATTCGGGCCAACGGATCGGGGATGATGATTGGCAGAACCAATATTGGAATCGAGCTTCAAGTTCCCGTTGAGTAACCCATTAAGGCTCTGAGCAGCATCTCCGGAGAAAGAACCAAAAACAAGCTTTTGCGGCGGCGGCGGCTGCTGCTGCTGCACCATCGACTGAATTCCAGCTCCAGTCAACCCTAATCTATAAGCATCTTCTGCTGATACTCTTTGATTACCGTCGAATTGGTTCGCAGGAAAAGGGTTAAGCGGAAATTGAGAAAACCCTAACAAATTGGGCGAGTGATTAGGAGGAGGTGCCCAGGGAGAAGCATGTGTACCGGGTCGATCACGACCGTTCGAGGACCAATTCGACGGAGGAAAAGCATTCACGGTGGGGCCAACGGCTGCAATGGCCGGATCGAGAGCGAACGACTGATGCTGGGGACCGGCTGATCTGGTCAAAGGATTGTTGTTGTTGTTGTTGTTGTTCTGCTGGTAAGGTCTTCTGTGCAAAAGCGACAGTAGAAATTCTCCGCCGTTTTCCGATGGTGGAGCTGGAGAGTCAGCACCACCGTCCGCCATGGAGGCGAGAGAGAGAGAGAGAGGGAAAGATGTTTTGAGCGAAGTGGAACACTTTTTTTGCGACACTTCGGGAAGTCGGAAGATCTTTCAATGTAGAACAATGACTCGATCGTTCGTGTGTGTGCCTTTTAAGATAGTCAAGGTATGACCCCACGCATATAATATCTTCTTCACCGTCCGATGTTTAGGATTTCTAAATCTGTATCACAAGTTGTACTTAAAATTGAACTAGGTTTAACTAAACCCAAGTTTTAATAATTATACACGTTGCAATAATTAATAGAGTTATTCGTGCGGATTATCTGGCAATAAATATACCTAATATGAGATTATTTTCTTCCATATAGGCAATTTGGTCTCAATACACTGTTTACTGAATAGAGTATTTAATAAAAATAAATAGAAAACGATAGAAAAAGTTGAATGGAATGGTGAAATTTTTGTAATTAACAATGTCAAATAACAGAATTATGGAATAGTGACATTATTTAAGCGAAGACGTCAATGTTCACTTAAAAATATACAATTTCAAGTATGCCAATATTTGATGAGACAATATCTCTATGTAATTGCTATATGTATGTATGAAGAAGAGAAAAACTAACGAGTGACGACTCGCGACGAATGGAACTTTGGATTGAATAATTAATTAATAAAGTCTCTGATCATATTAAGAAGAGCGACGGCTCGACGTGGATCAACGAGCTCGATTGCATGGAAGCCGGCATCGTCAAATCTTGCTTCAACCCTAACCCCAGACTTAACCAGCAAAGTCACAAATTCTTGTTGCCAATCAACCGCCGTGTCTCCGCCGTATCCGATCACCAAACACCGTCCCAAACGCCCCACTTTCTCCTTCTGCGGCAAATAACCCATCGGATTACAGTACCTGTGATCCCGATCAACTCCTTCCGGCAAAGTTAGTTCCCACAAGGCGTCAATCGCCGGAACCGGCATCAGCGGATCGGCGAAGTTCACCAGCTCCGATTTCGTCCTCGTTTTCCCGCCGAAAAACGGTTGGTAAAACACGCATCCGTCTATTTTTAACGGCGTTAAATCGTGGTCTAACGATCTGAGCGCTAATTGGAAACCGATGTTAGCGCCGTTACTCGAACCGCAGATGTAGCACCTCGAGAAATCGGCGTAGTCTCTAAGCCAAGGCTCGCCGTTAGTTGGGTCAACGGCTTGTTGTTTGACCCAAAGCAGAGCGTCTAATGCGTCGTCGTATTGAGCTGGGAGTCTATGCTCAGGAGCTAAACGGTAGTTAACGGAGACGATGATCACCGTTAACTCGCTCGCCATCTGAGAGCAACCACGGTTGTTCGCGGGGGAAGTGGCTGGGTAAAGGATCCAACCAGAGCCGTGGAGATGGAGGATGATTGGGAGACGAGCGACGGCGTTATCGTTGGAAGGGATATTTGTTGGTCGGAAAATCCGTACGGTCACGCCGGTTTCGTGGTTGATGGTGACGTCTTTGGAGGCGGTGAGCTTTCCCGGCGATGGGTCCGGGTCGGGATTGACCATCGGAAAGACGAAGTGGCGCGTGCAAGAGCCATCGGGGTTGATTGAGATGTTGAGGTGTTTGTACGGATCAAATGCGGGACGAGAGACACGTGACATGGTTTTATTTTTTAATTACGTGATTAAGAGGAGATTAATTACGGTAAACTTTGATTAGGAAGAAATGTTTGGAGTTTTTTGTTTTTTGTTTGTTCTTTTTTTGTGTGTGATTAGGATGAATGCACGGATTAATTTGTGGTCATGCTTTTGCTCAGTTTAACGTCATTGACCAATTCAACAATGATTTGATAATTTTGTCTAAATGAGGAATCAGTATATAAAATGATTTGTGCATTTGAATGGGAAACATATCCCTCAAAACTAAATTAGATGGAATTAGTAGCATAAATACGGTCAAAATTTCCAAGTTTATTATATTCGCTCCTCTATAAAACTTATAGTTGCATGGTAATAGTTTGATTAAAAATTGCATGTATCTCCTTAATTCTATATGTCTAATGCATGCTTTTTAATTTGATATCCTAAAAATTGCATGTATCTCCTTAATGCAATATCCTAATTAAACAACTGTGTAAATCGCACTAATCATAATTTGATAATTGAAACCAGAGCTACTGCCTCTCTCTTTAATTCTATATGTCTACTCCATGCTTTTCCATTCCTCGTAATGCCGTTGTTTGGCTGATGCTTTAGCAAAACATGTATTTTGCTTTGTAAATTGTAAGTGTAATATTTTCGATTCTTGACCCCTCTTTTTTTACTGGCCGAAATCATAATTTGAAATTTTGATAAGCATAGACAGTTCACCTATGAATGATTCCAAGTGTTTAAGCGTTAAGCGGCACTCGAACATCCGATCCATTTTGAACAGCACATAATTAAAACTGTAGCAGAATGCGAATCATTAGGTTACGTTCACCATTATTATTCCCCCGGTTATGGATTATATAACAATCGCTGAGATAATTGATTACAATTCATAATAAGACATTTATTATTAGAACGGAGTAACACTACATGTTGGACGGTGGAGCAGTGAATGAACAACTCTTCATAAAAGCCTCAACGGTGTCGTATAAAGCCTTGGCTTTGTTCGCATCAAACAACTCACACGCATGAAACCCATCTTCATCGAACCTCGTCTCCACGTGCACCCCACGCGCCTTCAGCATTTCCGCCACGTGTTTTTGCCGATCCACCAACGGATCCCCACCGTAACCGTTAATCAGAGTCGACGGAAAGCGTCCCATTTTATCCTTTTCTTGGGGCCCACTGCTCTTGATCGGGTTACTGTACACGTGGTCGCGATCTACACCGTCGGGTAAACAAAGCGACCATAGCAAGTGAGTCGCTGTTAACGGGCAGATTCGATCGTCTTTAAGACGTAACTCGGAATCCGACGGCTCAACGCCACCGAAGAAAGCTTGGTTCATTATCAGCCCTTGGATCTTAACCGGAGAGAGATCCGTGTCCACAACACGCAACGCTACGCTGTAGACGATCCTCCAGAGCTCGAACCCATCACGAAGCATTTGGAGAAATCTACGCCGTCTTTCAACCACGTGTCGCAATCACCGCCGTTGATTGCGCCGCGAGCTTGATCCCGGAGCCATAAGACTGCTTCGACGGCGTCGTTGTACGCCGCCGGGAGACGGTGTTCTGGAGCTAGACGGTAGTCGACAGAGAGGATCAGGGTTTGAAGACGATCAGCCATCTTGCTGCATGATTCGTGGAAAGGAGCGGAGGCGGCGCCGTAGAGGATAAATCCGCCGCCGTGGAAGTAAATGAGTATTGGGAGTTTGGTTTCCCGCGAAATATTCCGGGGTTTGAAGATTCGGATAAATGTTTTGTTGTTTGGGTTTAAAGGGATGTCTTTGGATTGCTCCGTCGGGGGCAATTTGGGGAAATCACGGTGTCTGGTCAGAGACCCATCTGAATTAAGTGAAATGTTGAGGAACTTGAATGGATCACTTGAAGGTGGAGGAGCTTCCATGGATGCTTCAGAGAAAGAGAGAAGGAGAAATATATTTTTGTGGTAAAATGTGTTATAATGAAGAAGAAATGGGAAATTAAGGATCTGAGAGGTTGAAAAGATCAACCTTCTCAGTAAAGAGGGGGACTTTTTCATTCAAAGTTGCAGCTAGATTTGCCTAGAGATTAGTGTGGAATTTGCAAAATATCTCTCCATTAAAAGTGGCTCAGATTAGACTGTGTACAATGTACTACTAACGATTACATTGTCACCAATCTTAAAAGCAAACCTAATATAACAGCTAAATATCTTTGTGTACCATAAAATAAACGGCCCAGAAATTAAATGTGTGCAGACTTCTGTTTTCCCTCATCCAATGAACTCGTGTTCTTTATGGTGTCTGATGTATAGTTTAAAATTTTGTTTGACTAAAAGACTTGTTTTAGAGTTTAGAATAAAAATTCAGGATTGAGGAGGACTGTTATATTTGTTTAAGACAATGCATTTTGATTTTGAATTTGAATGATGGGAACACTTGCAGAGAAGTATATTCTGCTAAAGTCACAACCTTTGGATGTGAAGTACCACTTCCATGAAAATTAAGAGCACTACAAGAGAGAGAACAAAAAAGGTAAATTGTGCCATACGCTATATACCCTTCGTTTCAGACACGGGAGACAAGGTGGCAAACATGTTTAGATCTGGGTCCATCTAGTCTTGAGCATAGATTTTAGCAAATAAAAAAGGCAGTTAAACTCTAATCATGATCATGTTCTTAATGTCAATTGGAAACTTTTTATTGTCTAACTAAAATGTCAAGCAACTAGATCCTCAAAAATACTTAAAATCTAATCTTATGGAATCAAACAGTTTCTACAACTCGCATTTGGTTTAAAGGTTATGAACCGAACAAATCTACACTTGGCTGAGCTCAAAACCAACTTCACCGTGCTTTCTTTCTTGACTTAAACGGAAAACCCATAGGCGGCGAAGGCGAGAACTCAAACGGCAAATGAGGTGGCTCAGCCCCACCCGAAAGCATCTGAACAATCTCCTTCATCGTCGGTCTCTTAACCGGAGATCTTTGCAAACACAACAATGCAATAGTAATACAAAGAACCGCTTGGTCTTTCTCCAAAGAATGTATGGATTTATCAACTAACTCCAGCAATTTACCGTTGCAAGCCAATTGCTTAGCCCATGATATCAAATTAGCCCTCTCAAACTCCGACATGGGCGATGCAGTCACCTGCAATGGCCGTCTCCCTGAGACAAGAACCAAAAGCAGAACCCCAAAACTGTAGACATCACATTTCTCAGACAACACACCCCCACCGCCACATTCTGGTGCAATATAACACACCGTACCTCTCATACTCGGTGTGCTGCTTACTCCACCGCTCTTCTGAACATTAACATCACACCATAAACCTGAATCTTGACTGTTTTTTTTGCCCATGACCGATTTTAGATCTCCGCTTAACCCATCTACCCACCAATCTACGCTATTTCTCTTCTTTCTCTTGGTAGGGTTATAATTCTGCTCATGAACAGAGGCAGAGTCATCCTCTCTATGAAACCAAGAGTCAATGCTTGAGATTGAGCTTAACCCTCTTTTCTTCTTCTTTTTCTTTTTCCTCTTCTTTTTAGTTAGCTCTTCACAAAACTCTTCCTTCCACCACTCTCTAGGCTTTCTCTTATTCTCTTTCTTTTTCTTCTTAGACACTGATGATGATCCATCACCATTTTTGACCCACTCTTTGTTGTTGTTACTCTCTTTCTTAATCTCACTCCCAATCCATTCCATCACGTAATCCTTCACACTCCCTGATTCAATCCTTTCACCATTGTTGTCATGTTTCCACCACCAGTCTCTCTTCGAAACCACTTTTTGCTTACTACTCTCCACACTCATTTGTTCCAAACAGCTCTCTGAAACACTCTCTTTCTCCAAACCCACCTCCGGTGATAATCCCGATTCTGCTCCGGGAGATGCCGTCAAGATGCTAACTGTATAATTCTCCGGCGACGGTATCAATGCCGGCCCCGGAGATGCTCCGGCCTCCGCCGTCAAGACGCTGATTCCACAATTCTCCGGTGAAAGTACCGATGCAGACCCCGGAGACACTCCAGTCTCCGGTGACATATTAGCAACATTACTTTCTTCAAACACAGTAATCACACTTTCAGCTTCCTCCAGAATCGACCCATTATCTTCAGCAACATCCTTTCTCCTCTCTTCTTCCTCAATCTGAATCCTAGTATCGAAATCCTCAGACTTTACCCTCGCGAGACCGAAATCTCCAATTTTGGCCTTGAAATCAGAATCGAGAAGGATATTACTCGGCTTAATATCTCCATGGATGATGGCTGGTTCACAATAGTGGTGAAGAAACTCGATCCCCTTTGCGATATCAGTCGCAATCTCAAATCGCTTGTTCCAATCCATAAGCTGCTCACATTTGCGATCCAAAAGCGCGTCCTGTAAACTACGATTAGCCATGAGCTCGTAGACGAGTATAAGCCGCCGGCCACGACGATCGGAGGAGAATCCAAGGAGAGAGACGACGTGAGGCGAGCTGATAAGGTGAGAGGAGAGAGAAAGCTCGTTATGAAACTCACGCTCGCCTTGCAGAGACCCAGTGGAGGAGTCCATGACTTTGACGGCGAGTGAGTTGCCACTCGGGAGATCAGCTTTGTAGACGGAGCCGAATCCGCCATGGCCGAGCTGAGTCGACTCGGAGAAAGAGTTTGTTGCGCGGCGGAGCTGAGTGTAAGAGAAGCGACGACATTGGTAGTGTTGAGGAGACTTGGAGATCAGATCAGATGGAGCCGTACGGTTTCGGTAGAGTCTCCTGTAGAGAAGTATAGTGAAGAGGATAAGTAGAGCTCCGATTAAGGTTAGAGAACCGGGAATGATAAGCGGAAGGGTCTGGAAACGGTGGTGACCGTCGCTAACCATCGTCGGCAGCGGCGAGACATCCGGCGGAGAGTGGCGAGATGGCATTTACGTAAATAAAGAAGTAAAGACGTCTCATTTAAACCAAAGGATCCATGGAAGAAAGAAAGAAAGGTGATAAGTTTCCCAACTGACAAAATTAACAATTTCTCCAGCTACTCGCGAGTCGCGAGCTCGCTAAAGGTAAATTAAATTCAGAGAATGACTTAATTTTTTTATTTAAAATTGTTATAAGTGAGGATAATAGAGAGAGAGAGAGAGGTGCTTGTGTGACAGGAGTGACTGGAGTGTATATGGTGACGTGTCGGAGAATAAATGGGGGATTGTGACTGTATAATTGTGACTGTATAATTGTGACAGTCATGTGAGCAGATATTAATTGGGCTTTGTCGTTTAGCGATGACCGGTGAGATAATCGCCGAGTCGTGAGATTTTAAGGCGCGTGAGGTGAGACTCACGAGGGTTTCGGGGTTTTGGTTTGAAACGGTCCATGAGATTTTTTTAATTGCGAAGCGACGGTGAAGTCAACCTTCGCCTTATATGTGAGTGTGTGTTGGAGCTAAGCCGTATGCGTAGTTATAATCGATTCACTAAGCCGTCTACTTATAACATTGGTTAAACAACAAAACGTCTGATTATACCTCTACTTATAATCGATTCACTAAGCCGTATGCGTAGTTAATCGGCAATTTAGATCTGATTTTGTTATGACTATACCTCTAATTGTAATTGGTTAGATTGTAGCTAGTGTTATTAGATCTCTATTAAAAAAATTCTAAATTTATACTATTTATAGCTATATGCATGCGATTTGTAAAATTTATATAATATCTATTTTTCTTATTTTCTTTTATTATTATTAGGAGACGTGTTGGTGACGTCAGGGCAAGGAGGCATTGTTCAGGTCGCCTTTCCGGGTGATGGGATTTTGACCTTTTCAATTTCACCCTTTATCGCTTTGGGTTGACTCTTATTGGATTTTGGTTTGGTTTGTTTTTTTTTTTTTTTTTTGCGAACTTTTTTTGGTTTGTTTTGGTTTTACTATTGGACCAAAACACACGCACGAGTTATACAAAATCATGAGAAACAATCGCAAATCCCCTTTGATAGTTAGGTCAACCGAAGCGAATGAATATTTTTGTTTGTTATAGAGTAAGGTTAATTTAATTAAGTAGTTGGGGTAAACGTGTAATTATAGGTTTGACTTCAGTAACATCGTTGGAAACTTGAAAAGGGAATCTATGGAAAATATAAAAAGGCAAAAAGAAAAGCGATAAACACAAAGCCTTTTTTAGGTTTAGTGCAGATTCAGATGTACTTTTAACGTATTTTTAAATGGAGATTGGAGAAGAAACAGAAGAAGTGATAGAAATGCTCATGTGAGTTCCACTATTCAACCTCCTTTTAATACCCTTTTTATAAAACGAAAATTTTGTAACTATCAACTACTACTGTTTACTATACGGAACGTTATAAACCAACAATTGTCGGGTTTTGTGACCGTGATCCCCAACTTTCCAGCACCGTTACATAAATTAAAAGTTATATTGTTCTATTGTTTTTTACATACCTATAATTGTTCCACAATCATCGAAGAATAAGCACTAACAGTTGATAATAGGGTTACTTACTAGATAACCAATCCTTATTTTATATGTCAAATGTCACGGATGCAAAAGCGGAAATGTACTTACGTGTGATTTCATATGTTCTCTGGTCAGACTACTTCAGCAAACTCTTCATTTAAGTTTTATATTTCAATGACTAGAGAAATAATCACACAAAAATGAAGAAAAGTAACTTGTTCGAAGGCGGTATCGATAATAACTGTGGAAAATCATGACAATTTATTTTCAGATCGTCTCTGCTAAGTGAAGTCATATCAAACTGCATGTTGGAAGAAAAAGAGATGATTTTCCAATAATTTCCATTACACATAATATTGATCGAAACACTTTTAATTAATAGTCTCATTAATTAGCAAATATCAAGAGATACACATTAAATGGCAAACAGATTCAGCAGCTTAACCTAACAATGGAACAAACAAAAGCTAACACTAAATGAAGAGAGCAACGTACACCTAAACACGTGGTTAAGCTGCCAAATAGTAATCAATGTGAAAAATGTGGGGATCGATAGACTAACAGCACATTACAGTATAATAATTCAAAAGCAAGCAGCACTAATTGTTATAGCATTTCAATATTTCATCAACCCGACATAATCGATTATGTATGTTCTATCGGCCATCAGCAATTAGGGTGAGTACTTATTAATTAACTTTACAACTTTCCATAACTGTGCATGACAAGAATCAAACTCTTACAATTAGTTAGTTCTATGTGTTATAAGCAAAAATGGATACATTACACCTAACAACCAGTACCATAATGACAGTTTTGCGAGCTTTCTTCTCCAAATTAGATAATATGAAATAAATGTATATAAAAAATTGAAAAATACGAATATAAAAATGCATGATGGTGTTATATTTTTTTTATCTATTCAATATATTCAAGTAAGAAAAGGAGAGCGAACAAGAAAACGGTCTTGGAATGGACCCCTCACTAATTCCGACCATGACTCTGGTCCTCTGTTTTCTCTTAACGTTCTTCTTTTTCTTCCTCTCCACCGCAAAAACGCGGAGGAGAACAGGCAGCGTCCGAGGCTCACTTCCGCCGGGTCCTCCGGGACTCCCATTAGTCGGAAACATATTCCAACTCGGCTTTAATCCTCACCGTTCACTTGCTGTCTTTTCGAAAACTTATGGTCCTATAATGAGTTTGAAGCTTGGAAGGTTAAACGCAGTGGTTATATCATCACCAGAAGCAGCTAAAGAAGCACTTAAAACACACGACCATGACTTGTCCGCTCGAACCTTCAACGACCCGATTCGAGCCTTTGATCACCATAAACATTCCGTTGTTTGGATTCTTCCGTCCGCTCGTTGGAGGAACTAAACTCTGTCTAAGATCAAGATTTCGTTTTTTCTTCTTTTCTGTTTGAACTTTGAAGTAATTTGTATAAACCAGACAAAAAGTTAATTCGGTTAAAATGATTTTTGTTTTTTTTTTTGTTTTTATCCAAGAATTAAGAAATCCAAATTAAAGAGATATTTCTATACAGAAAAAGCCCAAACTGAAATAAAAACAATACCAATAAAAAATAAAACAAAATTGTAGTCCTACTTTGAAGTTTTGAAAACATGCACACACGTGAATTAGCCACAAGTCTGATGAAGTTCTGTTTGTATACATGTTCAGGTTTCTGAGGAAAACAATAGTGAAAAATTTGTTATCGCCGCAGAAACTAGACGCTGTTCAAGCTATAAGGACGAAAAAAGTGGAGGAACTTGTGAGCTTAGTAAACAAATATTGCGAGAGAGGAGAAGCTATTGACATGGCTCGTGCTTCCTTCGTCACAGCTTTCAACATCATCTCAAATGCTCTGTTTTCTGTAGATTTGGCCACGTATGACTCTAACTCGTCCTCTTGCGAATTCCACGACACGGTGGTTCACCTGATGGAGATCTCCGGGAAACCCAACGCAGGAGACTATTTCCGGTTTCTGAGGTTTCTTGATTTGCAAGGTAGCCGAAAAGAGGCGGCGCTTTGCATAGAGACGTTATTTAGGGTTTTCCAAGAATTTATCGATGCTCGGATGGTGGCCAAAAGATTTTCTCAAACAGAGGCTTCGAGTATCGATATGTTAGATTCCCTTCTGGATCTTACACAGCAAAACGAAGAAGAATTCAGCATGAATGATATGAAACACTTGCTTCTCGTAAGTCTTGCATAAAACACCAATTGATGGCAAAGTTAATAGGATATACAATATCATCGATTGAGCTCTTTTTATTTTGTGTGACAGGACTTGTTTGTTGCGGGGACGGATACAAACTCGAGTACAATGGAGTGGGCGATGACGGAGTTAATCCGTAACCCGGAGAAGATGGTCAAAGCTCAGAGTGAGATACGGCAAGTGATTGGTGAAAACGGTGCCGTTCAAGAATCTGATATCCCGAGGCTCCCTTACTTGCAGGCAATTGTGAAAGAGACTCTTCGTTTGCATCCTCCAGCTCCTTTGATCCCTCGAAAATCAGAATCCGATGTCCAAATCTTCGGTTTTCTCGTTCCTAAACACACTCAGGTTTATTTCAGTACTCAATGATTGTTATAAACTAGTAAAAATCGATATTATTCATTATTAGATTTTAACGAATCTGGAATGCTTTATATAGTTAAAAATACAAAAACTCAAATTCCAAATAGACCTTAATCATTTCAAAATACACATCTAATTTCTTTCTTTTTTGGGTCAAGAATACACATATCTAATTTTAAATTCAGCAAAGATGTCCAAAGTTCATATAGATTTATAAATCACGTAACATCTATGAAGTGAAAAAAGCTACACTAATAGAGTCATATTTAGTAGAGTCATGTTACTTTTTTTGTTCAATTAATGTACAAGTAGAGTCATATTTGGTTTACTTTGAGATTTAATGTGAGTTGTTTGGTTTAGTTTAGATAGATAGGACTTTTGGTTCGATTCGGTTAGATAATAACTCATATCCCTAGCCCATTTTTCATATATTAGGTTTTCGTGAACGTGTGGGCGATGGGAAGAGACTCGAGCGTGTGGGAGAATCCAATGACGTTCGAGCCAGAGAGGTTCTTGGTACGAGAAATCGATGTAAAAGGCAAAGATTTCAAGCTGATACCATTTGGATCAGGCAGAAGGATGTGTCCTGGAATCTCGATGGCTCTTAAGACAATGTGTATGGTGCTTGCCTCTCTCCTCTATTGCTTTGACTGGAAACTTCAAAACGGCGTCGTCCCTCAAAACATGGACATGAGCGAGGTCTTCGGTCTTACCTTACACAAGGCAAAATCTTTATATGTCGTCCCAATCAGAAAACCTACAATATCGTCTTAAAATTACAAACAGGGGTCCTTATGGGTCATGTTAATAATTAAAGACGATGGGAAAAAAAAATACTATAATCTTATGTTCATTATCAAACATACTTTTTAAGTAAAAAATAAATAAATAAGCATGACTATTTTTTTTTTACATAAGATAGAAGAATATTTGTCTCAACCGAATTCACAATGATTGATAATATGTAGACTACTTTTTTTTCTTGAACACCCAACACGGTCATGGGTCTTAAAACAATATTTAACTTAAAACTTGAGAATTGAGAAACTACATAAATTATAATTTTTTTCTTAATGAAAAGTATCACTAAATAAAAGTAAAAGTAATCCAATTAAGAAAAACACGCACGGACGCACCATAGAGCATATATGATATATATACTGTAAATGGTTACAAAATATTACAGAAAACAAAATTTGTCTATATTTTTTCAAAAAAAAAAAACAAAAAAAAACATTTAAAATGACAAGCTACTCAATGCAAGGAAAGGAGTAGGTGTTACTATTCCGATAGGAATCCGGCTTCTTCCAGTCTTGTTGAAAAAAGCCATACAATGAATAAGGTAAGCACCCGTTCTCAAATATATTATAATATGGAGTACAAGGAACATGGAAAGGAACTTAAAGAGAGTAAGAGTGTGTGATTAGGAAAGAAGTTGATCGTATCAGAGATTGAGTTGCTTAGCTTGAAACATTTTGCGACTTGATAACGACCGTTTACACTGAGAGCCCATCCACGTATACGTATCATGTGATTTGGTCGCCGATCGTTAAGTTTTCAAGAAAAGACTTATTGACTTTTTGGGACAAAGGGCGCCCACTTGTATCAAGTCAGATCACATCACCGGTACGATGGATTTTGGACCATAAATTGTAATAAATCTTCTTTTTTTTTTGTTGAATTTTTTTGCTTTTTACACTAATATATAACAAGATTGGCCTGAGGCATGGTGAATCTCATTTATCACTTGAGAAAAAAGGATGGACATTATCTTAGGACAAGTAATGTTCCTCATCGTTTGCTTTATGTTATCATGTTTCTTTATCATTTCCACCACAAGATCCAGACCGAAATCTCTTGGGGCTACGGCGACGCCTCCGGGACCTCCACGGCTACCTATCATCGGAAATATTCACTTAGTCGGAAAGAACCCCCACCATTCATTCGCCGACCTCTCAAAAACGTATGGACCAATCATGAGTCTGAAGTTTGGAAGTTTAAACACAGTGGTCATATCTTCACCAGAAGCTGCAAGAGAGGTTTTAAGAACACACGACCAAATCTTGTCTTGCCGTTGCTCTACTAACTCTATTAGGTCCATCAATCACCACGAGGTTTCTGTTGTCTGGCTTCATCCATCGTCGGCTCGTTGGAGGTATAATTAATATCGATTTTTATTTTTCTCTGTTTTTGATTTGCTCACAAACGGGCAGAACAGATATGAAGATTCTGCAAAGTTTATAACAATCACATAGTCTATGGAATCGCTATTTATGTTTAGCCATTCCTCGATTTAATAAGTTTAATAACTAGAATAATATAATAATTGTTATATTACTCTGTATTTTAGGTTTTCTATGTATGTGAACATATTTTGCTGTTTCTAAGTCAAATACACCTAAATTAATTCCGCATATATATTAACTTTTTCATTTTATGCGATTTCGTATTAAGCCAAAACTTGTTGACTAATGTGTGGTTGTCTATCTTTATGCTTGTGATCTGTCTAAGGCTGTTGAGAAAACTGTCGGTGACTCTATTGTTCTCTCCGCAGCGAATAGAAGCCACGAAAGCCTTGAGGGGGAACAAAGTGAAGGAACTTGTGAGCTTCATCAATGAAAGCTGCGAGAGAGAAGAAGCAGTTGATATTTCTCGTGCATCCTTCATCACAGCTCTTAATATCATATCAAACATCCTGTTTTCCGTCGATCTCGGTAGCTACGACTTGGAAAAGTCCAATGATTTTCAGGACACGGTGATTGGTGTCATGGAAGCTGTCGGGAATCCAGATGTCGCTAATTACTTCCCGTTTCTAGGGTTTCTTGATCTGCAAGGTAATAAGAGGGCTATGAAGGCTTGCACGGATAAGTTGTTTAGGGTTTTCCGTGGGTTCATCGATGCTAAACTAGCGGAAAAATCATCTCGGAATAACCCTAAAAATGCTTCGAGCACTGATTTCTTGGATGGGGTTCTCGAGCTCACTGAAGGAGATGAAGCAGAGCTCAAGACGAGATCAATCGTGTAATTGGTCAAAAAGGCTCTGTTGAAGAGTCTGATATCTCGGAACTTCCCTATTTACAAGCGGTTGTGAAGGAAACTTTCCGGCTACATCCTGCTGCTCCATTACTCGTCCCACGAAAAGCGGATTCCGATGTTGAGGTTCTTGAGTACATGGTGGCTAAAGACTCTCAGGTTTTGGTGAACGTGTGGGCGATTGGAAGAGATCCGAGTGTGTGGGAGAATCCGACCTCGTTCGAGCCAGAGAGGTTTTTGGGGAAAGAGATTGATGTGAAAGGTAGAGACTATGAGCTTACACCGTTTGGTGCGGGACGGAGAATCTGTCCGGGATTGCCTTTGGCTTTGAAGACAGTGCCTCTCATGCTTGCTTCTCTTCTCTATTCCTTTGACTGGAAGCTTCCAAACGGCGTCGTTCCTGAGGATTTAGACATGGACGAGAGCTTCGGTCTCACATTGCATAAGACCAACCCTTTACATGCCGTTCCCGTCAAGAAACGCGCCATTCATTAATTAGCCATTGTAGTAGTATATGTTTTTTTTATAAGTACGTTCGAATTGTTTTGACCTTATGATTTTAAATAAACAAAGAAACCTCTTTTCTTGGTTGCATAAACTTTTTCTCGTGAGGTGTCAGGGTTTGAAGAAATCAAAGGAATCCTTATTATTACTGCCCTGGGTTATATCTTTAGCTCTATTATTGAATTTTCATAATCGATTGATTTTTTTCTTGTCTACACCATTTGAGTTTTGTTAATGCACATACATTTACACTCATTTGCTCCCATCAATTCATGATCACGACCTCTTGTTGACTTATAGAAACTATTTTTGACTAAACCTTTATATTAAAATAAGAAATCTTCATATTCTTTGAAACTAATTAATCATTTGGGTTCCTTTAAACGAACCGGTGGCCATGAGAAATGTGTGGAAAAATAGTTAGGATCAAATTAAAGGAGGAAAATAACAATGAATTGGATGGTGCAGAACATTTCAAAGACAAGGACAAGAAGTTTTTCGAAATTTGTAATTTATTTTCTTCAGTCGTAAGTAACTTGATTTCTAAATATCTTTGTTTATCAATAAAGACGAGTATACGTATCCAACACTTCCACGAAGATGACGTGCCTGATTATGACATATCTATAAATCGATTTGTCGTTTGGTATCAATGGGGTTTACACTATTAGCAACAACAAAGCTAAGAGGATACTAACGGCGTAGTCCGAAAATATGGACCAAGGCTTCGTTTTACGTTGCACAAGACCAAACCAGTATGCCTTCCCATTTAAATTGCTTGTGTCCGACATAAAGAAATTATACTTTTTTATAAAGAAATGATACTTGTTTCTACAAATTTTTAGTTATTCTTAATTATAATTAGTTGGATACGAATATATACACTAGGTAATTGTTTTGTCATTATACAACAAATGTGAGTTTACAATAAAATAAGCTTTGAATTTTAGGTTAAAAAAAACATATAACAAGTTCATAACGAATTGTTTGCGCCTTTACGTCTACGTATCTATCTAGTGTGTGATCACTGACCAGTCGGTCACAAATGATTTTTTTTTTTTCTTGACTTTTTGTTGTATTATCGACAAGCGAGGTCCACTAGTAAGAATTTGAATCCCATCAGCGGTAGGTAGATTTTGGACCTGCAAGATAAATAAATAAATAAATATTTATAAAATTTCCTTTTTTGCCAACTTTAATGATTCTTATATATATCTATCTATCTTATATTATATAAATCTAGTGACTTTTTTTTAATCAATCAAGAAACACAAATGGACATCATCACAGGACAAGCTCTGTTCTTTTTCTTATGCTTTATCTTATCATTTATCCTTATCTTCTTCACCACCTTAAGATCCCGACGGAGTTCTCGGGGTGCCTCCACACTGCCTCCGGGACCTCCACGTTTACCCATCATCGGAAACATACACCTAGTCGGAAAGAACCCACACCGCTCATTCGCCGACCTCTCAAAAACATATGGACCTGTCATGAGTCTTAAGCTTGGATTTTTGAACGCAGTGGTCATAGCTTCACCAGACGCTGCAAGAGAGGTTCTTAGCACACACGACCAAATCTTGTCTGGTCGCTACTTCAATGAAGCGATACGATCCATCAACCATCATGATTTTTCCGTTGCCTGGCTTCATCCTTCGTCTCCTCGTTGGAGGTAATTGAATATGATTTCTTTTTTCTATGATTCCTAGCTAGAAATTTCTAGACCATGAAAATAAAAGCATGCCTCCCAAACGTAGCACTGGACTTGAGCTCAAATCGGGTAACACTGAGGGAAAAACATTCTATAAGTGGTTTGAGCTAACCGTGTTTGAGTTTTGTTTTTTTGGTTTCTAATAGTAAGGAGTCATCATCATAATCCTTCTATTTATGTTATGTTTTCAGGCTGTTGAGGAAACTATCAGTGACTCAGCTGTTCTCACCACAGCGTATTGAGGCCACCAAAGCTCTCCGGATGAAGAAAGTGCAAGAACTTATCAACTTCATGAGTGAAGCAAGTGAGAGAGAAGAAGCTGTTGACATTTCTCGTGTATCCTTCGTCACAGCCCTGAATATCATTTCGAATCTTCTGTTTTCTGTCGACTTGGGCAACTACGACTCGAAAAACTCCAGTGTCTTTCAAGAGATGGTGACCGGTGTCATGGAATCTATCGGAAATCCAGACTTTGCTAACTTCTTCCCATTTTTGAGGTTTCTTGACCTGCAAGGTAATGGAAAGCAGATTAAGGACTGCTCGGAGAGGTTGTTTAGGGTTTTCAGGGAGTTTTACAAGGCGAGAATCGCGGAAAACTCATCGCGGGCGGACAATAAGGATGTTTCGAGAAGCGATTTTCTGGATGCGCTTATTGATCTCAGCCAAGAAGAAGATGAAGCAGAACTCAACATTGAGAACGAACACCTTCTCCTCGTAAGTCTTAGCTTCTATTGCATAATTTATGATCATATGAATGAACTTTGCAAAACAATCAGACATATAATCATAATCAAGATTCAAGATAATATGTGCTTGTATGTGTCAGGATCTGTTTGCAGCTGGCACGGACACAAACTCAAGTACCGTGGAATGGGCAATGGCAGAATTACTCCGAAACCCGAAAACAATGAGGAAAGTTCAAAACGAGATCGATCGAGTGATAGGCCAAAACGGTGTCGTGCAAGAGTCCGATATCCCACTATTGCCGTATTTACAGGCTGTCGTTAAAGAAACTTTCCGTCTGCATCCAGCTGCTCCCCTTCTCCTCCCGCGAAGAGCAGAGACCAATGTAGAGATTCTTGGATTTCTTGTTCCTAAAGATACTCAGGTTTTGGTTAACGTGTGGGCCGTTGGAAGAGACCCGAGCGTGTGGGAGAATCCGACCCGGTTCGAGCCAGAGAGGTTTTTAGGGAAAGAGATCGATGTGAAAGGTAGAGATTATGAGTTAACACCGTTTGGTGCGGGGCGGAGAATTTGTCCGGGATTGCCTTTGGCTTTGAAGACAGTGCCTCTCATGCTTGCTTCTCTTCTCTATTCCTTTGACTGGAAGCTTCCAAACGGCGTCGTTCCTGAGGACTTGGACATGGACGAGAGCTTCGGTCTCACATTGCATAAGACCAATCCGTTGCACGCCTTGCCTGTCAAGAAACGCACCATGAATTAGTTAGTAATTGCTATATTACTTTTTTGTTTAGTAATGATTTTACAAATCGATAAAGCATGTAATTCAGGAGACTATAATTTAAATAAAAAATTATAAATCACAGGATGTGCCGGAAAAAAAGTATAAATCACAGGATGTACGAATTTTAGTTGGTTGACGAACTTATTAGATATTTACAGATAATATGCATTTATTTAAACGGTGTAGCTAAGGGTATCAACTTAAGTTTTAAGCTTGCTACATTATTTCAATATTTTGAATTGTTTGGTTAGAAAAGAAAGTCATCGGATTTAACCCAAAATTTTCTTCTCTGATCATTTGGATGAAAACTCCAAAATGGCGTCGTATACTTAAGTGTTACCTAGGCACATTCACTGTGTCTGTTAAGCCGTCCCAAACAAGAAAGATGTTGTTTAACTGAATAATGATCTTCGAATATTGAAATTTACACTATACCAACCATTTATTTCCGTAATTAATTATTATTTGACATACTTTTAGTGTAGTTGAATAAACTCATGAAAGTCATACGACTACGATAAAATAACAAAACATTTCTTAATACAGTAATGTTGAGTACTAACTTGGTTTATCAGCATAGCGACTGTTTACCGTCGCTTAACTATGTAGATCGTTGTCGTATCTGTTGTAATTAATTGATTAGTATATCGCCTATTAACTGAAAACATATATTTCTTTGACTTTCTATATTCAAGCGGGGCCCTTAGAAACATATGCCAACGGTACAGTGTTTTTTTTTTCTTTCTTTTTTTGTGTGTACAAAGTAGGTCCCATTAGTTGGAATTCGGAACCTATCATTGGTGGATTTTGGAACTAATGCATATAAAAAAAATCACCTATAATACCATTTTCTTTGGTCAACTACGAATAGTAGAAACTAGCTAGAAATATGATATATATGGATAGTTTTGTGTAGTTTTCTATCACTTGAGAAACACAGAGATGGAAATCATCTCAGAAAAAGCTCTGTTCTTGCTCTCTTGCTTCATCTCATCATGTTTCCTTATCTTAGCCACCTCAAGATTCCGACGCCGAGCTACTACGCTGCCTCCTGGACCTCCACGATTTCCGATCATCGGAAACATCCACCAAATCGGTAAAAACCCGCACCGCTCATTAGCCAACCTCTCAAAGACATATGGACCAATCATGAGTCTTAAGCTTGGATGTTTAGACTCGGTGGTCATAACTTCACCAGAAGCTGCAAGAGAGGTTTTAAAAACACACGATCAAACCTTGTCCGGTCGTAAGTCCAATGACTCGATACAGTGCTTTGGTCACCACGAAGTTTCCGTCATCTGGCTTCCTCCCTCGTCTCCTCGTTGGAGGTACAATTACTACCGATTTTCTTTTTCAAAAGATTCGATACCCGATTTTCAAAAGATTGTTTATAGTGAAACCTTGTCTCTTTGAAAGTATATAATTATTAACCTTCAGACATATATAAAGGCTAAAAGCAAACGCAACCCCTACTAATAATATACCGTAATGGATCGTTGTTATGTTATGTTTCAGGATGTTGAGAAAATTGTCGGTGACTCAGCTGTTCTCACCGGAGCGTATGGAAGCCACTAAAACTCTACGGATGAAGAAGGTGCAAGAGCTTGTGAGATTCATGACTGAATGTAGCGAGAGAGAAGAAGCTGTTGATATTTCTCATGCATCTTTCACCACAGTTCTTAATATCATATCAAACATTATGTTTTCGGTCGATCTCGGTAGCTACGACTCGGAAAAATCCAGTAGATTTCAGGACACGGTGGTTAGTGCCATGGAAGCTGCCGGGAAACCAGACGCTGCTAATTACTTCCCGTTTCTAGGGTTTCTTGATCTGCAAGGTAATAGGAGGGCTATGAAGGCTTCCACGGATAAGTTGTTTAGGGTTTTTCGTGGGTTCATCGATGCTAAAATAGCGGGAAAATCATTGTGGAACCACTCTAAAAATGTATTGACTAGCGATTTCCTGGATGCGCTTCTCCTCCTCGCCGAAGGAGATGAAGCAGAGCTTGACAATAACGATATTGAACACCTTCTCTTGGTAAGTCCCTACCATCTTGCAGATAATAAAGATTTATAAGATAGTGGAATAACCAAATTTCTATTCATCAGTTTTTGAGATAATTTTTTATCATATTCCAACAAATCTCAAGACGGAAATGTCAAAATTCTGACATTTTGGAAACTTTTACAACGACTTTGTGTTACATGTTCTATATATACTTGTTGATATGAAATGGCATGAATTTTGACATATGGATCTGAAATGTAGAGCTCATCGATATGTGATTATATGTCAGGATATGTTTACAGCCGGTACCGATACAAGCTCTAGTACCCTAGAGTGGGCAATGGCAGAGTTACTCAGTAACCCAAAAACGATGGCAAAAGCTCAGGAGGAGATCGATCGTGTGATAGGCCAAAACGGTGTCGTTCAAGAGCGTGATATATCAGTTTTGCCATATTTACAAGCTGTGGTGAAGGAAACGTTCCGGTTACACCCGTCCGCTCCGCTACTCGTCCCGAGAAATGCGGAATCCGATGTGGAGGTTCTTGGGTTCATGGTGCCTAAAGATACTCAGGTTTTGGTGAACGTGTGGGCTATAGGACGAGACCCGAGCGTGTGGGAGAATCCGACACGGTTCGAGCCAGAGAGGTTTTTGGGGAGAGAGATTGATGTGAAAGGTAGAGATTATGAGTTAACACCGTTTGGGGGCGGGCGGAGAATTTGTCCGGGATTGCCTTTAGCTGTGAAGACTGTGTCTCTCATGCTTGCTTCTCTTCTCTATTACTTTGACTGGAAGCTTCCAAACGGTGTCGTTTCTGAGGATTTGGACATGGACGAGACATTTGGTATCACATTACACAAGACCAACACGTTATATGCCGTTCCGGTCCAGAAACGAACCATTAATTAATTAGCCATTGTAACTACTTTTTTTTCTTTCAGTTTGTTTAAAATTTCGATCAAACTATATATACAAACTTATAAAAGATCATCTATTTTTTTAAAATTTTTTTTGTAACAAGGGTTCCTTAGCTTTACTCGAAAACGAAAATAGATCCCTTTCACAAGACTAACCTGTTACTTAGACGAGAAACGCGTTATAAATTAAGCTTTGTTTATATCTTTATCGTAGGATAGGAATATAAGATTTTACAAACGAACGATTTTTTGTATGATTAAAATAAATTAAAAGTCATCTCAAAAACACTGCTCTTGGTTGTAAGATTTTTTTTTTGGTTTTTAGAATTCTTTATCATTATAGGTGGCTAGGGCTTGAAGAAGTCGTCAAGGTATCCAAATTTATATTGGGCCTGGATTATATATTTAGTTCAATAGAATGCCCATAAAAATTTTCAAACAAAATTTCTTTTTGACGACTTTTTTTTTTTTTTTGACCAGAAGAATTTTCAAACCAATTAATGAGCTGAGTAGAAAGAGGATGATGTGTTAAACTTAAAATGGTGAAAGTTGGTTTAAGTGTAAACACCACACCATTGGCTTACAGCCTTACACCAAAACAAATATTATGACTAATGTATAGGTTAAGATTTGTTTTTTCCCTCTAATAATATCTGTTTAAGACTTAAAGTAAGATTTAGAAATGAATCACATGTACCAGGGAGATTGTTATTGTTATATAAGTATATAAAGAAATAAATTGTGTAGCATGAATGGCGAAATTCTTGAATCTTGATTGAAATCTATGTAAATTAAAGAGTTAATTGACTTTAATGTGTGCGAAGTTGCTAAATCCTAAATCAGTAAAAATCCACAATCTCTCTTTCTCTCTCTCTCTCTCCCGCGCGCCCAAGTCGCCTCCCTTTAGTCTTTCTCCGATCGTCTCCTCTCTCCTCTTAAGTTTCGTCGTCCTCTGAATCTTTCGCATTCTTCGTTTCGACAAGGTTTTCCCCCTTGCGCCGCCGGAGGATAGAGAATCTGTTCCGATTTGTTGGACTATCTCAGTTGCTTCCGATTCGCTTTCATTGGTTCATTTCTGAACACCTCCCCGCTCCGATCCGTGCGTATTCTCTTCAGGAATTGATTTATTTGAGCATTTTTTTCTTTTCGAAGTTCTCGAGAGAGGAATGTATATTTATTTTTCTAATAAGAATTTCAATTCGAATCTTCGTAATTAATCCTCTTTAAGATCTCCATATGTCCCCTGGATAGAGATCTCTGATTGAATGTTTGCTGAAGCTTTTCTGTGACTGAGCATATAATTATTAACTGCTATTTTTGTTTTTGTATGTATTAGTTTTAGTAGATCCAAGTGAGTATATCACGGTGCTTTGTTCTAAAATTTTGACCTCATCTCCATCAATGTCGAATCGTCGATGTATTTGTCTCTCAGGCTAAACTTACACTTAATTGGATGTTTAACAGGTGGCGAATGACTGTACTCTCTTTAATTTGATAGAATGGAAGACGATGACGAAAGAAAGCTCGCCGAAGCTTCTGGTCATCATCCTGATGTACTTAATCCTGTGCAGAATGAGATAGAGGCATTTGATATAGGGGATTCTGGTTTTGTTTCTAAGGATGACACAGCTTTACAAGGGATCACTTCAGCTGATGGAGTCTTCAAGGATGATATTTTTGAACAAGTTTCTCTGGGAGATCAGGAGAAGGCTACAAATGAATCACAGGGTGACCTTAGGGAGCCTGGAAGTACTTCAAATTCTGATCATGGGAGGTCCTCATTTGGTGGTACCCAAGGAGTTACGTATCACTTATCGGGGACTCAGGAGATATATGATTTGATGCCCATGGATGAAGTGCAAAGTGACAGACTTTCTAGCCCTGGACCAGAGAGAGAGGCAGCTTATTCCATGAAGCAGTCCCTGTCTGCTACTAGCCTGAATTCTGTCCCCCCTCCAGAATCTGGATATTCCCCAGTTCATTCCCCGCAGAAGCCTAAGCCAAAGGCTACAATTCCAAATGTTTCTCCAGAACTACTGCATCTAGTGGATTCAGCAATCATGGGGAAGCCTGAAAGCTTGGAAAAACTAAAGAATGTTGTTAGTGGTATTGAGAGTTTTGGCTCAGGAGAGGAGTCCGAGGCCACTGCTTTCCTTGTTATTGATTCACTTATTGCCACCATGGGTGGAGTTGAGAGTTTTGAAGAGGATGAAGATAGCAACCCTCCTAGTGTCATGTTAAATTCCCGTGCTGCAATTGTTTCTGGTGAGCTTATTCCTTGGCTACCTGCTTTAGGTGATAGCGTTAATTTTATGTCCCCGAGGACTCGCATGGTTCGGGGATTGCTTGTTATTTTACGATCATGCACGAGAAACAGAGCTATGTGTTCGACGGCAGGGTTATTAGGGGTTTTGTTGCGATCAGTGAGAGAGATAATTTCCAAGGACGTTGATATGAAATGGAATGCTGCTGCTGTTTTGCTCCAATGCATTCAACATCTTGCTGGGCACTCCCTTAGTGTCGATGATTTACACAGGTGGCTTGAGGTTATAAAAGCAACGCTTACAACAGCGTGGTCAAATCCGTTGATGCTTGCTTTGGAGAAGGCAATGAGTGGAAAGGAATCAAGGGGACCTGCTTGTACTTTTGAATTTGATGGTGAAAGCTCTGGCTTACTTGGTCCCGGAGAAAGTCGTTGGCCCTTTACCAACGGATACGCATTTGCAACATGGATCTATATCGAATCATTTGCTGACACATTAAATGCTGCAACTGCTGCAGCTGCAATTGCTGCTGCCGCAGCAGCCAAGTCAGGGAAAACATCTGCAATGTCAGCTGCAGCGGCTGCAAGTGCGCTCGCTGGTGAGGGTACTGCTCATATGCCACGCTTGTTCAGCTTTTTATCCGCTGATAATCAAGGAATAGAAGCATATTTTCATGCCCAATTTTTAGTGGTTGAGAGTGGTAGTGGGAAAGGAAGAAAGTCTTCCCTGCATTTTACTCATGCATTTAAGCCTCAATGTTGGTATTTTATTGGCCTCGAGCATAGCTGCAAGCAGGGACTACTGGGGAAAGCAGAGAGTGAATTACGGCTGTATATTGATGGATCCTTGTACGAAAGTCGTCCTTTTGATTTTCCTCGTATATCCAAGCCCCTCTCTTTTTGTTGCGTTGGTACAAATCCTCCTCCTACTATGGCTGGTCTACAACGTCGCCGTCGTCAGTGTCCTTTGTTTGCGGAAATGGGACCAGTTTATATATTTAAGGAACCGCTTGGTCCTGAAAGAATGGCGCGCTTGGCTTCTAGAGGTGGGGATGTTTTGCCTTGTTTTGGCAATGGGGCAGGCCTACCTTGGTTAGCTACAAATGAACATGTACATAAAATTGCAGAGGAAAGTAGTCTTTTGGACGCAGAGATCGGTGGATATACCCACCTTCTTTACCACCCTTGTCTGCTAAATGGGCGGTTTTGCCCAGATGCTTCACTTTCTGGAGCAACAGGTGCGTATATATATATATATATATAATTTCTTTTCAAAAAGTTTAAGATGAAATGCTCTTTGAAATTGAAAACGTGCACTTTTATATGTTTTATAATATGTTATCAGATTCTCATGGTTGATATGTTATGTACTTTGATTTGCTCATTCTCTCTGTCAATGATTTTGTTTTCCCTTCATAAATTCCTTCCGTCATTTTGCTTCTTCTCCATAATCGTACAAACTTTATTCTTCTTTCTTTCAGCTAGGAGACGGGAAATAATCATTTCTAATTTTTGCTGTAGCTTTTTGATTTGCTTTGTATTTTTTTCTTGGCTAAGGTACTCTAAGGCGACCAGCTGAGGTCCTTGGACAAGTCCATGTTGCAACGAGAATGAAGCCAGTGGAGTCCTTCTGGGCTCTAGCTTATGGAGGACCCATGTCACTCCTTCCTTTGACCGTAAGCAATGTGCATAAAGATAGTTTGGAGCCATGTCCAGGAAACCTTCCATTGTCTTTGTACACAGTTACTCTTGCTGCACCTGTATTTAGGATTATCTCAGTTGCTATTCAACATCCTGGGAACAATGAAGAGTTGTGTCGTACTCAGGGACCCGAGATTCTGGCCAGAATTTTGAGTTATCTTCTACACTCACTTGCATCCCTTGATACGAAGCATGACGGAGTAGGAGAAGAGGAACTAGTTGCTGCCATTGTTTTACTTTGCCAATCTCAGAAGATCAATCATGTTCTTAAAGTGCAGCTCTTTCGAACTCTGCTATTAGATTTGAAAATATGGAGCTTGTGCAATTATGGACTCCAAAAGAAGCTACTGTCATCTCTTCAAGATATGGTTTTCACTGAAGCAAAAGCTATGAGGGATGCCGATGCTATTCAGCTGCTTCTGGATGGCTGTCGAAGATGCTATTGGATGATTTCTGAGCAGGATTCTGAGACCACTTTTCCTCTTGACGGTAATACGCGTCAAATGGGGGAAGTCAACGCTCTGATTGATGAACTTCTGGTGATTATTGAACTTCTAATGGGAGCAGCATCTCCTTCTTTAGCTGCTGATGACCTCCGTCGATTACTTGGTTTCATAATTGACAGTCCACAGCCAAATCAGGTAACAAGTTGTTTTTCAATTATCACAATTAGACAACCAAAATAGGAAAGCAAAAAATTTCTTAGTTATGCAGTCCAGTCCTAGCATCTTAGCGTCTTTTGCAGTTTGCTTGCACACTCACTACTCATGAAAATAGATTCAGCTACAGTAGAATCTATATATTTAAATTCTGAAAAATCATCTTATAATGGTTTGCATGGTGAAATGAGGGTCATTTTAAGAGAGATTGTTCTAACAAAATTTCACTTTTTTGTGCTGTTATTTAGGAAAAAGTGGCAAGGACCACTTTAATTGACAAATACGTGCTGTCTGACACTGTTCAACTTTTTTCTTATTTCTAGGTTGCAAGGGTATTACACCTTATGTATAGGTTGGTCGTACAGCCAAATGCTGCAAGAGCACAAATGTTTGCGGAAGTATTTATAACATCCGGTGGGATAGAAACACTTCTTGTTCTGCTGCAGAGAGAAGCTAAAACTAGTGAGGGTAATGCTTTAGCTATGGGTAAGAGTGGAACAAGGTCATTGACTGATCAGAGTGAAAAGAGTCAGTGCAGTGGGTCTGGTTCGGTTAAAGAGTTGGAATCTAATCCCAATGAAAATGAGAATGGCGTTGACCCTCGTGGTCCTGATGGAAATTCTGGCGAGGATGATAATGGAGGCTCTCCGAATGAATCAGAGTCAGTTCGACAAGAAAAGGAGCATGGATCTGCACCTGTGATTTATGATAGTGACTCAGTTTCTATCTCCAATTCCATAAATACTGAGAGAATATCGTCTGAAATTGGTGGTATAAGTCTTTCTATAAGTGCTGATAATGCAAGAAATAATGTTTACAATGTTGACAATAGCGACGCTGTTGTGGTCGGGATCATCAGATTGATTGGTGCGTTAATTTCTAGTGGGCACTTAACAATTGATTTGGGTGCCCGTTCTGATGTGACAAGTAACATCTTGGGTAGTGGGCTCCATGAAAATGGTGGAACAATGTTTGATGACAAAGTTGCATTGCTTCTATTTGCTTTGCTGAAAGCATTTCAAGCTGCTCCAAACAGACTGATGACTGACAATGTCTATACAACTTTACTTGGGGCCTCGGTACGTTCTTGATATCCCATATGTTTAATTTTTTATGAACAATCTGATTGAAAATATATAAGGTTTCTTTTCTGATTGCAATGGTAGAAAGTGTTGTGTGTTGCTGCATGGTTTTTTCGCTTAAAACCTTGTGCTTGGTTTTTTGTATTGTTACAAAGGTGTGAAACTTGATGAAAGTTGGTTTCAAATCATGTTCTCTGAAATACTCTCTCATTTCTCATGATTTACTATGGCTTTTGTGATGTGCGGTTCTCATTCATATGTCAACAATATATTTGATCTATACTGATTAAATTTTGGCGTAAGGGTAAAATTATATTGCGCTCATGGGTGATTTCTTGCAGATTAATGCTTCATCAACAGAAGATGGCCTTAACTTTTATGATTCGGGACATCGGTTTGAACATTTCCAACTTTTGTTAGTTCTCTTGCGGTCTCTACCATTTGCGTCTAAGGCTCTTCAAAGCCGGGCACTTCAGGTATAAGTCATAGTTATAATACTTTCCGAATGTCAAGGAACAAATATCTTTGTAAAGGTGCTTGAGATATTTTTTCACCCTGGTTATGTATAAATATCAATCTACTACGAAACATTATGAGCATTTTTGTTCTCCACACATATGCCAGGAAAACTAATAAAGCTTCAGATTACTTGTATGGAACTTTATCTTGTGGACTGTTTTTTTACAAGCATTCAATATACTTTCTGAACTTTCTTTGTTTTGTCAGGATCTTCTTTTTTTGGCTTGCAGTCACCCGGAAAATAGGAACAGTCTGACAACAATGGAAGAGTGGCCTGAGTGGATCTTGGAGATACTGATCTCGAATTATGAGGTGTTACCTGAAAACCTAGTCATTTTCCTTCGTTATTTCTGTATTTTAGTTATGCGTTCAACTTTTATAGAGTGAATAATCAAAAACTTTAGCTGTTAAGTTGTAGAAGCATGTGCTAACAGTTCTGCCAATTTCGCTGACTATTGTGTATATACAGAAGGATGCGGGGAAGCAGTCTGCTTCAGCCGGTTCTTCTGAGGTAGAAGATCTGATTCACAACTTCTTGATCATAATGTTGGAACATTCAATGCGCCAGAAGGATGGTTGGAAGGTACATTTTTGTTTTAATTGTCTATTGGGTTACACCCTTTCTCTCTCAAGCTACATTGTTTTATATATTTTTACTTGCGGCATCTATTTCCTTCTTACAGGATATCGAGGCTACAATTCATTGTGCGGAGTGGCTTTCTATTGTCGGTGGTTCTAGCACTGGGGAGCAAAGAATTAGGTATTTCTATGTACCTCTTCATCATTTTTTTTCACATTTTTGTTTTTATATTGACTCTATTTTTCCTGAGCCACTTGTGAATTTTTCACATTTTCAAGCCTTTTGTACGGTCATCTATTTTGTTTTCGGAATACTGGTATGGTAATTTTGAGCCATACCTCTTGCTGATCATATTGTATCCTAGTGTCTGTTCCGTACAGTTTATATATATATATATATTTAAAAATTCCTACTCTTTGAAGGCGTGAGGAGTCATTACCAATTTTTAAAAGAAGACTTTTTGGTGGATTGCTAGACTTTGCTGCCAGAGAACTGCAGGCTCAGGTAACTCCGTTGTCCTCGCAGTTTGTTGTTTTTTCTTAGAATATATCGGTGACAACAAATTTAAAATTCTTTGATGCCTTCCGTAGTCCAATATTTAGACGTTCTTACATTGAGTTATTTAATGGCTGCATAAGTTCTTGATAAAGGATTTCGTAGCATTTATTTTTACAAATGCACAATATAGATAACATTCCAGGGAGTTTGCTTGCAAGAAAACAATGCTGTAAAGCTTTTCTAGTACTCTTATATTTACTCTTTCAAGCATGTGTACGTGCTCGCCTACTTGAATAGAACTAGACTTTTTATCTATACAATCTTTTTTTTTTCCCTCAACAGACTCAAGTTATTGCTGCAGCAGCTGCTGGTGTTGCTGCAGAGGGTTTGACACCAAAAGATGCAAAAGTAGGAGCAGAAAATGCTGCTCAGCTTTCTGTTTTTCTGGTGGAAAACGCTATCGTGATTTTGATGCTCGTCGAAGATCATCTGCGGTTACAAAGCAAACAAACTTGTGCAACAAATGCAGTTGATGCTTCTCCGTCTCCTCTTTCTTTTGTTAAAAATCGTACAAGCACACTGACAGCAATAGGGGAAACATCAGAGGTACCTAGCAGTCGCGCTTCACTGTCAAGTGATTCAGGGAAGGTCCCTTTAGATGTAAGTGGAAAACATTCTCAAACACCTAATTTCCCTAATTGGACTTTCCAATATCAAGCTTCTCATGTTCTCTTGATATAAAAAATCACGCTTATATTTCACATTTAAAAAAAATCACGCTCATAGTTTCATTATTTTTCTTACGCTATTGATCTGTTCTTGTTTCTCTTATGTCCTGATCAATCAGTCACCTTGTTAGTTGGGTTAATAGCTCTTTTAATTTTCATTATCTTTTACGAGCATGCTGCATGCCACTTTCAGTATCAAATTTAAAATTGTTATTTGGGATCCTTGACACATCACTTTTTTTATATCTTATAGACACTCAAGTTATTTTGCATTTTTTTCTTTACTTTCAGATACTCGCTTCAATGGCTGATGCAAGTGGACAGATTTCCGCAGTCGTAATGGAGCGCCTTACTGCTGCCGCTGCAGCTGAGCCCTATGAATCTGTTTCGTGTGCTTTTGTTTCATATGGCAGTTGTGCCATGGACTTGGCTGAGGGTTGGAAGTACAGGAGTCGATTGTGGTATGGTGTTGGTCTTCCCTCTAAAACTAGCTGTTTTAGTGGTGGTGGCAGTGGTTCGGACTCTTGGAAATCTACTTTAGAAAAAGATGCACATGGAAACTGGATTGAACTTCCTTTGGTTAAAAAATCTGTATCCATGCTTCAAGCTTTGCTGCTTGATGAGTCCGGGCTCGGAGGTGGCCTTGGAATAGGTGGAGGATCTGGTACTGGGATGGGAGGGATGACAGCCCTCTACCAGTTGCTGGACAGTGACCAGCCTTTTTTATGCATGCTTCGAATGGTGCTTCTGTCTATGAGGGAAGAAGATTATGGCGAAGATAATATGTTGATGAGAAATTTAAGTTCTGAGCGGTCTGCAGGAAATTCAATTTCATTAGATAGCGGTTCTCCGATGTCTATGCGACACTCACGATCAGCATTATTGTGGAGGTAAACTCAATGAAATATTTTGTTTCTCCCTTCATAACCAATATATATTCATCTGCTTAGATTCTTTGTGATTTTGGAGCCGACTCAATATGATGTCACTGAGTTCAATTGTGTTCCCAAGTCACTTGTCACTTGTGGGTCACTCAAGTAGCTGGCTACGTGCCGTATAGTATTTTTTTTTATGGGATTGTTTGCACAATAAATAAAAACATAGTATCATATACTTGATTTTTTTGATTTGGCCTGGTTCTGCTGTTTATCTAAAGAAGTTTGACTCTCTCCTTCTAATCTCACAGTGTGCTCTCTCCTATCCTAAACATGCCAATATCCGATTCAAAGAGGCAGAGAGTACTGGTTACTGCATGTGTTCTCTATTCTGAGGTTTGTTCTTCCTTTTAATGATGTTCTTTTTTTTCCGTCTTTTTTCACTGCCTGATATCACCACAAATCTGTGTAGGTATGGCATGCTATCAGCAGAGACAGAAGACCACTTCGTAAGCAGTATATAGAGGCTATTATACCACCATTTGTTGCAGTCCTTCGGAGATGGCGACCACTTTTGGCTGGCATTCATGAACTTGCAACTGCTGATGGTATGAATCCGCTTGTCGTTGATGATCGTGCCTTGGCTGCTGATGCTCTCCCCGTTGAGGTAGCGGAAAGATGTTTACATTCCCTTAGTCTCTATCATAGTTATATATTTCTAGAATGATCACTATTTGTTTCCAGTTGCTGAGATATGCCGCTGCAGCCGTTAAAATATTGCTTACTTTTTACCTTAAGGCTTATGTTAAGTTTAGTAATATTTTATTGCTTGAGTTATCGAATTAAGCTATCCAAATCCGTCTGTTTAGGGTGCTCTTTCCATGATTACTCCGGAGTGGGCTGCTGCGTTTGCATCACCGCCTGCGGCAATGGCTCTGGCGATGATAGCTGCAGGGGCAGCTGGTTGGGAAGCGCCGCCACCACCAACACCTTCACATCTCAGGCGAGACTCTTCTTTGCTTGAGCGTAAGACTGCCAAACTTCAGACCTTTTCAAGCTTCCAGAAACCGCTGGAGGCTCCAAACAATAATGCACCTCCTCGACCAAGAGATAAAGCTGCTGCAAAAGCGGCAGCTTTGGCAGCTGCACGAGATCTTGAACGGAATGCAAAGATTGGTTCAGGAAGAGGTCTAAGTGCTGTTGCAATGGCTACATCTGCGCAGCGAAGGAATATCAGTGACGTGGAGCGTTTACAGAGGTGGAATAGTTCTGAAGCTATGGGAGTGGCATGGATGGAATGTCTCCAACCCGTGGATACAAAATCAGTTTATGGAAAAGATTTTAACGCTTTGTCCTACAAGTTTATTGCTGTACTTGTTGCAAGCTTTGCTCTAGCACGTAACATGCAAAGATCAGAGGTTTGCGTTCCGCCTATGTCACAGTTTATTGGTTTTTTGAAGGGTGCATACTCTGATCCTCACCTTTTCGTTCTGCCTCGCACCAGATTGATAGACGTATGCAAGATGATGTCATAGCGGCAAATCGCGTATGCTTGGGAAGCCGTGGTTGGCGCAAACTAATTCGTTACTTGGCAGAGATGAGATGCTTTTTTGGGCCTTTTGGAGATGGGTTATGCAGTCCTGAACGCGTAAGCCATGTTTTTTATTTTTTTCGAAAAAAGAAAATTGGAACATGTTAAGAAGTTTCTTAGTGATGTGATATCATTAAACGTGCAGGTTTTCTGGAAACTTGATTCTATGGAAAGTTTTTCAAGGATGAGACAATGTATAAGGAGGAATTATTCTGGGACTGATCATCGCGGGGCAGCAGCAAACTATGATGATCAGACAGACACGAAAAGTGATAATGGTAACAAGGCTTCTCCATCAAATCCTCCTGTTCTTGCTGCTGAAGTAATATCGATGGAAGTAGCTTATGAAGAGGACGAACATGGAGAGGGTCATCATCTTGATGTCAAAGGCAATGTTGAAGAACATAGAAGGGAAAATGAAGAGAGGATGTCAGCCTCACATGAGCATGCATCCAGAATTTCAGCAGGAACTAATGATCTTCGATCTTCGAATGACCTTGAAATGGCCCGAGATTCTTCAGTAGTAGCAGCTGGCTTTGTTCCCAGTGAACTTGATGAAAGGATCCTTCTTGAGTTTCCCACATCTATGGTCCGGCCACTAAGGGTTGTGAAAGGAACCTTTCAAGTATGTTTGACTAACCTGGACGTTTTGGATTTTTAACAATAGTAAACACGAATAGAGTGGATACTAACCAACTAGAATAGTTAGATACAGTGCAGTCAAGAATTGTGGTCTGTAGAAAACGTGAAATTGTCTCATAATTCCCATATATGCTTTTCTTGTATGGATTTCTGGTTGCTGATCATAACTGCTGTGCCTTCTCAGATTACAACACGGAGAATAAATTTTATTGTTGACCACAGAGAAAACCAGCATTTGACTGATCATTTAGATGGGTCCCAATCAGGTGACCAAGAAAAGGATCGTAGTTGGCCAATGTCTTCTCTTCATCAGATTTATAGCCGGAGGTAAAGTTTCATCATCCAAATTCTTTCTAGCTCGTATATTCCTATCCACTACTTCAGTTTATTATCTTTCGGTTAAGTTTTCTATTTTTATTTTTCCAGGACTAGTGATTTAACTGATGATCTATATCTTTGATTATTTCTCAGATATCTACTGAGAAGGAGCGCGCTGGAACTCTTTATGGTTGACCGTTCAAACTTCTTCTTTGATTTTGGGGTCTGCATCTAAAACCCTTTCTATGTATGATATATGTATGTTTCCGAGCTTGTAAATCCCAGGTCTCCGCATACTGTAACCAATTGCTTGTCCCAATTTTCTTGTTAACACCATAGAATACCGAGGGAAGAAGAAATGCATATCGAGCTATCGTTCAAGCAAGGCCTCCTCACTTAAACAATATTTACTTAGCAACTCAGGTTTGTGGTTTTTCCTTACCATCTTATTTCGTTTTGCTTTTCAATTACTCGTGGTCCATATTATTCTTCAATGAGGGATTGATAAAGCATATGACTAGGCTGAGTCACTTTCTGTCGTCTGCTGCAAACTTACATATTTAGTTACCTTTTTAGAGGCCGGAACAGCTTTTGAGAAGGACTCAGTTAATGGAGCGCTGGGCTAGATGGGAGGTACCTATAAAATGCACATTCACACTTGTCATGCAATTTTTTGAATTCTTATCCGCGAATAACATCTAATACAGAAAGATCCCCATCTGGATAATTTCTGCAGATTAGCAATTTTGAATACTTAATGCAGCTTAACACGTTGGCTGGCCGTAGTTACAATGACATTACTCAGGTAGATCTTGTGCTCTCTAGCATTTTCTGGTGAACTTGTCAATGTCGTTTCTTCCTTGATAAAATATCTTATTCTTTGCAGTATCCTGTTTTCCCGTGGATTATTTCTGACAACAGTTCAGAAAGTTTGGACCTTTCAAATCCATCTACCTTCAGAGATCTTTCCAAGGTAGTATCCTTTGCAGTTTTCTTCCACTTTTTCGTTCTAATTCTGCATATGATGGTTCATAAATCTAGAGAATCTTGTTATGATGTGGGTCTGTATATGTTCAGCCAATTGGTGCATTGAACCCGGAGCGGCTCAAAAAATTTCAAGAACGATATTCTAGCTTTGAAGATCCAGTCATTCCCAAATTTCACTATGGCTCGCATTACTCAAGTGCTGGAGCAGTAAGTTCACTTCTCTATAATGTCCTTCAACAATTGCTGTCATTCCCAGTTTAAAGTTTGTTTTCCTCTGATTCGATGCTTCTGGATGGAATTTGTACACTTTTTGATATTTTATCATTATTATATCATGTGTGCAGGTGTTGTATTATCTTGCCAGAGTTGAACCTTTCACAACCCTGTCAATTCAACTTCAAGGTGGAAAGTTTGATCATGCAGACCGCATGTTTTCAGAAATTCCAGCCACTTGGAATGGAGTTCTAGAAGACATGAGTGATGTGAAGGAGTTGGTACGTATTCGATTATTTATCCGCCTCTTCCTCAGCAACTAGAGCCCATCCATATTTTCCCACTAAATTTTGCGTTACAGGTTCCAGAGTTGTTTTACCTCCCTGAGGTGCTGACCAACGAAAATTCTATCGACTTTGGTACAACACAGCTGGGAGAAAAGCTTGGTATTGTGGTTCTCTTCCTTGTCATAGCTAAAATTTATTCCTGGCATGGTGAAACTTTTCTATCATGGCATCTGATGCGTTTGTTTTTTTTTTTTATCTATCAGATGCTGTAAAACTTCCTCCTTGGGCCAAAAACCCAGTGGATTTTGTACACAAGCAGCGAAGGGCTCTTGAGAGCGAGCATGTATCTTCACATTTGCATGAATGGATTGATCTCATATTTGGGTTGGTTTTCTCCCTTGAACTGATGATATACTGTCAGCACGTTTTCCCATAACATAGCTTCCTCTTTTTATCGAGTGTCCAGGAAAATAATCATTACAATTTTCTTTGTAAGCCACTAAATTGTTTTTCTTCTTATTCATTTAGGTACAAGCAACGTGGCAAAGAAGCTATAATGGCAAATAACGTTTTCTTCTACATTACCTACGAGGGGACTGTTGATATTGATAAGATCACAGACCCAGTAAGGCAACTTTGCTATACTGTTGAAGTTGTTCAGTTTAGTATTTACATGTTTTCGTGACTTGCCTGTGAATATTTGATGAAGGTACAACAACGTGCTACGCAAGACCAAATAGCTTATTTTGGGCAAACACCGTCCCAGCTATTGACTATTCCTCACATGAAGAGGATGCCGCTGAAAGATGTCCTACATATGCAGGTAACTGCAAGTTTCAATCTGGTTTTGCAATTGCACTCTTAGCAAACACCTCGTTTGAACAGTACTATTCTTTGAGGGTGGATTTTTGAAGGGTTCCTTAAACAGCTTTTATCACTATCTATAGAGTTTTATTATAGGGGTCTGCGTCATAAGGTTTAACACAGTTTTCTTTGTCTACTGTATGCTATGTGAGTATAGGAGGTTCTACTATACAGTGTTTTTGGGCAAAATTAAAACAAAAAACTTCTTACGTACTATATTCCTCCGTGCTAAATTTGCTACCTGACGATGAATTTTTGTCAGACCATTTATCGAAATCCGAAAGAGATAAAACCGTACGCTGTTCAAGCTCCGGAACGCTGCAACTTACCGGCCTCAGCCATTCATGCATCTTCAGATAGTGTTGTAATTGTGGACATGAACGTGCCAGCAGCTCGTGTTGCACAACACAAGTGGCAACCAAACACCCCTGATGGCCAAGGTACGCCTTTCCTCTTTCATCACGGGAAGGCAACAGCAACATCGACTAGTGGATCATTGATGCGCATGTTCAAGGGTCCAGCTAGTACTGGAACTGGTGATTGGCAGTTTCCTCAGGCACAGGCATTTGCCTCATCCGGAATCAGAAGTTCGTCCATAGTTGCTATTACAAGTGATGGGGAAATAATCACAGGTAATGAGCAAGCAATTTTTTGGTCCCAATCTCTCAAGTGTGTTGGTAATATATTTACGGAAGTCTTTGTGTGTTTCTTATAGGTGGACATGCGGATAATAGTATCAAGCTGGTCTCATCTGATGGTGCAAAAACTCTGGAAACGGCTTTTGGGCACTGTGCCCCTGTTACATGTCTGGCTCTGTCTCCAGACAATAACTTCCTTGTGACGGGTTCACGTGACAGTACTGTTTTGCTGTGGAGAATCCACAAGGCGTTTGCTTCTCGAACAAGCGTGTCTGAGCAATCATCTGACTCGGGAGCGCCTTCCTCCGCAAACAACACGAATCTGGCCAACACATTGGCAAATAAAGGCAAAAAATGTCGCCTTGAAGGGCCAATACAAGTGCTCCGTGGCCACCGAAGAGAGATAGTTTGTTGTTGTGTCAGCTCAGATCAAGGAGTCGTTGTTTCGTCTTCTGAGACCTCAGATGTTCTATTGCATTCCATAAGAAAAGGAAGGCTGATCAGACGATTGGTTGGTGTGACGGCTAATTCTCTCTGCATTTCAGCTGATGGGGCTATAATGGCATGGAGTAGTTCGGAAGGTTCAATTAGCGTGTTCACCATTAACGGAGTTTTGATCGCCAAAGCAAAGCTTCCTTTCTTTTGTAGCATAAGTTGTATGGAAATATCCATGGATGGTCAAAATGCCTTGATTGGGATGAACTCATGTTCCAGCATGGATTTTGCGAGCAGTGACGATACATCAAAAGTTGACAAAGATATTGAGAGACTGGATGTTCCATCTCCGTCAATTTGCTTCCTCAACTTATACACACTACAGGTATTGTCAAAAATCACTTGAAGAGATAAACTAATTCATAGGCGCATATTATCTGGTCTAAACAATCTGAAATGCTTGTCTTGTAGGTATTCCATGTGCTTAAGCTTGGTCAAGAGCAGGATATAACCGCACTGGCTCTGAACGTAGACAACACAAACCTCTTAGTTTCCACGGAAGATAAACAGTTGATAATCTTCACAGATCCGGCTGTAAGTTTATTATTTATCTATTACCATTTGGCACTGTTTAAGTTTAGATTCATCAATTTCTCATCATTTACTAATAAGTCTGCATAAAATCATCATCCTTGATTGGTTCTACATCAGTTTATTAAAACACAAAAATTTCATAGTTCATGGTAAACGTTTTTTTTCTTTCTGTGGTTTGAATAAGTTCTTGTGTTTCGAATGTGAGTTGCAGTTAAGCTTAAAGGTGGTAGATCAGATGTTGAAGCTTGGGTGGGAATGAGAATAGAATCAAACATCAATGGTAAAAGTTACGGCAATGTACTTGCGGAAAATAAACGGAAGCACAAGGGTGAGATACTACGAAAGCCGAAGAAATGTTAAAATCAGATATGGGCGTGTTTGGGCGTCTAGTCGTCTGTAACATATGTAAGTATGGTTAGTCAGAGTAAACTGATCCTGTTTGTCTGTCTCGTGTCAATTGTGTTCTTCTGATTTCTTGCTCCATAGTTTTTTGTGGTGATCGTTTTGATCAAAGGCTTGTAGATTTGTACTTTTTTGCGTTTTTTACGTCTGTAAGAAAATGATGTTTTGCTGTTGATTTTATTATATTCATTTATTCAGAACAACTGTTTTCTAGTAAAATCATAATTTCATCAACCAAATCTTCAATTTATCTGGGTATAAATACCAAAAAAAAAAAAAAAATTAGGTGGATATCTTGTATTCGAAGCTTATTAGGACACTTGACAACATGAAGACACAAGTGATCAAATTATCTTACATGAACATCTTTGGGCTTTTAACAGATTTCGAATCGAATTTTCTCGGGCCCTCTCGACTTTCAAAAAATCTGAAACCTTTTCTATGGGCCTGGGCCCAGTTTGGTCACGGGGCAAGTTTCGACGGCAGCTTAACAAAACAAGTAGGGCTGCGTGCCTCTCAAATTGTTAGAGAGAAAGAGAGAAAGAGATGGGAGGGAAAGGAAAGAAGAGGAGAGAGAAAAACTACCTCGCTGCTCACGGCGGACCGGCGAGACTACCGCCGCCGCCTGATCGCTCGAAGCAAGATGCTCTTCCTTCCAAGCTCCGCGTTCTCATGAATTACACCTCACCGTCTCCTCACGGTACTTTCTTCTATCTATATTTCTTCGCTAGTAGAGATTTTTTTGTGATTTCTCTCTGTGACTGTTTGTTGTATTATATTCCTTCAGGTTCGACCAAACAAGCTTTAGAGAAGAAAGAAAAGAATACGAAAGCCGGAGTAAATGCTTCCAAGGTATAGTTTTCTTTCATTGTAATTGATGGAAATCAAATCTTAGAGATATCAATTTGAGGGGGATTCCATTGAATCCAGTGAAGACATGCTATGCAATTTGAATCTTCTGCTATATAACAGCTCAGTAATAGTGTTGTCTCGTTAATCGTTGTAGAAAATGTTGGATTGGGAGATAAATTCTGCAATCCTTTCATGTTTATGTTTTACTCTCCATCACTTCCTTTGCTTGAATGTGGTCTTTTTCGCCGCAAATGATTACTGTGAGGGAATTTAAACTCTTTGCTTTGGGAAAATATATGCACTCTCATGTGCTATTTTTTGGTTTTGTGGTGGATAATTATATAATTAGAAAGTCAAGCCTGGGAGTGAGATCAAGTCGGAAGCAAAGATGGTTGAGGAAAGAAAATCTGAGGGTTACACAACCTCTTCTGATCAGGAGAATGATGATGGAGATGATATAATGTTGAAGAAGGGAGACGAAAAGAAGAAGAATAAGAGGAAGAGGAATCAAATAAACGACCTTCGTTTCGAAAAGGAACTTGCGGAGTTGGATGGTCGGTCAAAAAGGAAAGAACGCAAGAAGAAGTAAGCTTTGTTCAGTTCTTTTTGCTCAATCAACTTCTGAAACTCACAATGCTGTTTTTTTGTTTCTGAGATGACTCTGTCCAACTTTTCAATCTCTTAATGGCCAATCTTTTTTCAAATCCTACTTTAATGCAGGTACTGGGAGGCCAAGAAGCAGAAAAAGAATCAAGGAAAGACAGAAGATACTCTCCGAGAAAACTTCCCAAAGCATGAACAGATCAGATTTGGCGATGTGGTGCAAGCTCCGCCAAAGCTAGCTGTTATACCAAAGGTATAGTCTCACAAATCAAAATAGTTAAAGAAAAACTCAGGTAAATAGGTTCGAATGATTTGTTTTTTTTTTATGTTTATTTGACAGGCACGAAAGTCTACTATGAGTGCTTCCCAGGAAAGGCAGCGATTAGAAGCCATTGAAGCCTACAGATCTCGAAATGGATGGACCTCAAGACCAGGTGTTCACATTCCTTCCATGGTCATGCAATAAGATGGCCCCACGAACTTATTTTTGTAGACTCGTCTGCCTTTTTTGTACTAGCTAGCTGGCTGTAAAATTAGTCCCCTTCTTCTTCGGATTCTAATTTGCTACTGGAAAAAAAATAGAAAGATCTCTTTCAATATGTAAAAGCGGATTATTTAGTACAATGTAAGGTTTTGGTGTCTGTTTCCATCTTTCTTGAGGATCTCTGACCAAAACTCACTCATTCATGCTTGGCTCAACTTTTCACACACCTACTTTGGTTTTGGGTAAACAATCGCTGGGTTACACTATGCTCTAGCTAAATGAATCAAGTGCTTGTCCTCGGGATTGCATAGAGATGGAGTCCTCCTTCGATGTGAAGTGTAAGCATTCTCTTGTAATGCACGTTGCTCTTCTCATCAGCCATTTTGAAGCGAAAGAAGTGAAGAAGGGCCATTGATACTATCTTCATTTGCCGGTATGCGAAATCCTTACCAAGACAGATTCTTGGACCAGCCTACATACACAGTCAAAGTTAGAACATCTCATGTATAAGAAAAGATTTGTCTTAATTAATAACTACGTAGCTTGTCTGCAAGAGAGTGTACAAACATGAAAACTTATGAATTTGAATGGTGATTCGTGTTGGAAAACGCCGTCCTTAAGCCATCTCTCTGGCTTGAAATCCTCAGCATCTTGGCCCCAAATGTAAGTCATCCTACCCATTGCATAGGCTATGTAGTAGAGATTATCCCCTTTGTTCACTTTATGTCCATCTGGAAGAATGTCATCATTTCCTGCACACCTCACGTCCTATGGATGGACCAAGAAAGATTAAGAAATTTTTAATTCCCCATTATCTGGTTCCATTAGCTCTTAAAATGTTCAATCACTGGTTACTTTACCACAGGCACAGCAGGGTAAAGCCTCAAGGTCTCAGACAAGGCTGCATGGAGATACTGCATCTGATCAAGAGCCTCTTCGGTTATACTTTCAACGAAACTATTTACATCAGTTGTTTTCTCGTGAGTTGATGTCACCTCTCTGATTTCTTGTACGATTTTCTCCTGAACAAGTGGGTTTTTGCAGAGCATATACAAGAACCAAGAGAGAGATGCAGCGGTTGTGTCCTTCCCAGCAATCATGAAGCTCAAAATTATATCCCTCAGGTACTTATCATTCATCTTCTCCGGATCTTTCTCACTTTCCACAAGAAATCTCGATAGTATGTCCTCTCTAACAGCCTAAGGACAAGCCAACCATTTTTCGAAAGTGTTGAAGTGGTAGAAATTCATTCAAAAGAGAGGGTAAAACTTAACTCACAGTGTTCTGTTCCTCGGCGAGCTCTTTCCTTTTAATGGTAATGAGTCTATAGACAAACTTGTCTATAGTAGCAATACTCTTCTTGAGCCTAGATTGTGATCCAATGTTGAGAAACCATTTCAGCTTCCAAAGCGGATCGATGAATCTGGAACTAGTTGCAACGTTACCTTCATCAAAAGCTTCCATGAACTCTTCCCCTTCTTTGCTAAACCCGTCCAGACATTTTAACTCCACACCAAACCCCACTTTAAAGATCGAGTCCAATGTACATCTCATCAACATATCCTAACCTCAAACCCAAACAAACCAAAAGTTACCCTTTTTGAGTTTCCAAATTTGGAAATCATGACTTTGTTTCTTCAAATTGAGTCTTTGTGAGAAATTTGAAACTTACTTGAGCATCAAAAGCGTTTCCAGTGAGAGCAAACTTCGTGACAAAAGCAACGACCTTCGATGCATTTCTCCTAAAAACAGAGCAGCTAAAATCTCTTAAAACTCTAGCAGAGAACTCAAAGCTCGCGAGCTTCCTCTGTTGTCTCCATTTCTCTCCATCAACTGCAAAGATCCCATGACCCAAAAGATCACCAAGATTCTGACGACTGTTGTGTCCTTTGCTATAGTTATCGAATCTTGTCTTGAGCATATGCTCCACGTTCCGAGGATCGGCAGTCAATATCTCGCTCTGTCCTGGACTCAAGAACCTGAAAGTTGGCTTTTTCCTTGCAATCTCTGTCTCGTAATCGTATAAATCGTCTTTGTGGAAGAAGAGATCGAAGATTGTCCCGTGTACCGGAGAGTATTCCTTGTCGTTTATGGATTTTCCGGTGAAGATTCTGACCGCTAGATAAACTGCGAAAGACAGAACGATGAAGATCGTGGTTACTACTACAATAGCTATGCTCGCCAAAATCTCCATTTTTTTGTTTTTTTTTTTCCTTCGAAGATTTGTTTACTTTTTCCTCTGTTTTGAGCCTGCTTCTTCTTACAATCTTTCGTTCTTTCCGCTGGGGAAGTCAACCTCAGGAGGTAGAAGACAAAACATCATAACTCTCTCATGATAAATTATTGGGCCGAAAAATTAGGCCCATAATAAATGTGTCGGCTTTCTGAAGCGAATTCGAACACTCTTTTCCAACTAGAGGGTTCATGACTTACCGTATAGTTCATCGTTTGCGGATTTTCTGGTTTCTTCCGATCATCAATTTTAATTCACTCTCGGGATTTTTGATTTTGATTTGATTCCTCTCGGACATGAATTCAGTTTCCGAGCAAAACGTGGTGAGTGAAACGAATTTTTGTCGTTTCGTTGCTTCTTCTTGTATTTTTTTTCACTGTTTGTTTAGATTAGGAAGTGATTGTCGTTTTTCTTTGTTTATTAGATATGAGTTTCCTCAGAGGTATAATTGATTCGTTTAGTTCGATTTTCACTGAAGAACACAATCGTTGCAAAGAATCTCAGCACGATCCTAGCGTATCAGCTTCTTCTTCTTCTGGTTCCATGGACGGTGTCGATGGAGTTCCGGTTTCTAACGAACGGATTGCGTATAAGCTCAAAGGATACTTCGATTTGGCGAAAGAGGAAATCGCTAAAGGTGTTAGGGCAGAAGAGTGGGGTTTACATGATGACGCTCTTCTCCATTACAGAAATGCTCAGAGGATCATGAGTGAAGCTAGCTCTACGCCTTCTCCTTCGTATATTAGTTCGAGGTATTCTGATCTCTCAGCTTTAGTTCTTGTTAAGTTTTCGTCAGAATTCGTTTGATTGGTTTGTTGACTTGTGTGGTAGCGAAAAGGAGAAGGTGAGATCGTACCGAGAGAAGATTTCCAAATGGCAAAATCAAGTATCGGAAAGATTGCAAGCTCTGGCTAAGCGTACAGGTGATAAATTCGATTTTGACTTTTTTTTGCTTATTGAATAATGTATTGAATTCGTTTTCATGTCACGAAGAGTCACAAGTTAATTCACATTGACGCTTGTTTGTTTTGCTTATTTTAGGTGTTGGAATGTCTGAGAATAAGGTATTGTCTTGCTTCTTTCTCTACTTTTTTTTTTGGTTCCTTAATGTCGGAAGGAGAATGTGATGTTTTATGATTTAATTGATATGTTTCTGTATTGGGACTGATCTAGATTATTCATCAAGGCACTAATTGTATAGTCAATACTCTTCCTGGTCCTTGATTATGCAGAGAACTGTGCCATTACCTTCTTCAGCTTCAGTTTCCTCTACAGCGTCAAATAGAAGAGTTTCATCACAAAAGACTTCACTTCCCAAAGGTGGCATTGGAATGGCAAGAAGCCCTAAAGATGCTACTGCAAACCCAAAACCTGCGAAAGAAACTGGAAATGGATACGATGATAAGTTAGTTGAGATGATAAACACAACAATAGTGGATAGAAGTCCATCTGTGAAGTGGGATGATGTCGGTGAGTGCCATTGTTACGTCTTTCTTCTTGTTTCGCCTATTCCAAGCAATATGTGAAAACACACTTATGTTAAATTACTGCAGCTGGACTTGATGGAGCTAAACAAGCTTTATTGGAGATGGTTATTTTACCAACAAAACGAAGAGATTTGTTCACTGGTCTCCGAAGACCAGCGAGAGGTAAAAAAATTGCAAGCTTTGTTTCTTATTGATCCTCTCCTGTGCCGTCCTTGGTAAAAATTTCCTCTTTGATAGGTTTGCTTCTCTTTGGGCCACCTGGCAATGGGAAAACAATGCTTGCCAAGGCAGTCGCTTCTGAGTCACAGGCAACTTTCTTCAATGTCTCAGCATCTTCTTTGACGTCAAAATGGGTGGGTGCTTAGTCTAGTTCTGTGTTACTCTTTGTTGTACTAAGGCCTGTTAAATAATTTTTTCCAATTTTCCATTAGACAAACTGACTTTACTGTACTGATTCAGGTGGGTGAGGCTGAAAAGCTAGTGAAAACGTTGTTCCAAGTTGCAATATCCAGACAACCTTCTGTGATTTTTATGGATGAGGTATGTACTCTTTTCCCTTTTCTGTCTTATATGTTAGACATTACCATATTAGTTGTATCTGATAAGAAAAATGGCGCCTTTAGTAAGATACAACTATTAGAATTAACCGTGCTTGTTTGGTTCTATATTAAAGATCGGTTTTATGATACATTGATAAACGTATTGTCACTTGGAGATCTGAATATGATTTCTCTGGTTATCAGATAGATAGTATAATGTCTACAAGATCGACCAATGAGAATGAAGCCAGCAGAAGGTTGAAATCAGAATTCCTTATCCAGTTTGATGGTGTGACTTCTAATCCTGATGATTTGGTGATTGTCATTGGTAAGCTTCCTGCTAATTCAGTCTTTCATCAAACCCAATCTTCACTCTGTTTAGCATCATTTCTGATGTCAGTTTAGATATGCTCTGTTTTCCATTGCCCGAATAAAATTTACTTGAATGTATTATTTTGCAGGAGCTACTAACAAGCCACAGGAGTTAGATGATGCAGTGCTTAGGAGATTGGTACGAATATTATCGTTATCCGGATTTTTCATGTCCTCCAATTCCTAGGAAAGTATCTGATTATATGCTTTGATTTTATCAATGTGTTAGGTAAAGAGAATATATGTTCCATTACCGGATTCGAACGTCAGAAAATTACTTTTCAAAACTAAATTGAAAAGCCAGCCTCATTCTTTATCCGGTGGCGACATTGATAAAATTGTCAGAGAAACCGAAGGCAAGCTTTACAGATCTTTTATAAGAAACACAAATTCCTTAATACCACCAGACATAATTACTGTTTCGGTGTCTAGTAACTAATAAGCATAAGCATCCTTATGTTACAGGATACTCAGGAAGCGATCTCCAAGCATTGTGTGAAGAAGCGGCAATGATGCCAATCAGAGAACTCGGTGCAAATATTCTTACCATCCAAGCAAATAAAGTAATAAACCAGAATCCTTTTGGAACCAAAAAAAAAAAAAAACTGTTTTTGATTTTGAAGTCATTCAAGATGAAACGGTTTGATTAATAGATGCGTAATGTAACAGGTGAGACCGCTAAGATATGATGATTTCCGGAGATCGATGGGAGTGATCAGAGCCAGCTTGAGTAAAAGCAAATGGGAAGAGCTTGAACGTTGGAACTCAGAGTTTGGCTCTAATTGAATTTCTTGTTGTGAGTAAGTGGTACAGGTGTTTCTCTTGTAAATTTGAGATGATTATATAATACTATGGTCTACAGTTAAAAAGAGAACAAAACAATCAAAATGGTTCACTCTTCAAAGAGGAAGATTGATATTAAGATGTGTAAGCGTTATTGTGAGAGCAAACTCCTACGCCTTAGGTCGGGTTGGTTTGAAAGCAAACTCATCGTTAATTCTATTTGGTTCTAGGAGAATGTTGTTAGATTTGACCACAACAACAAAAAATAAGGAATATAATGTTGTTAAATTACAATCAAAGTCTCGTTTTACGACAAAAAAAAAAACTAAAAACGATTTCAATGTATTGTACAGATTTATGTTCAGGATTCATTAATTAATATCCTTTTCTGTGAAATATTTTTTTATTTGTAAAAATTGTAGTTAATTATTATTTTTCCTACCTATCGATTTTTTTTGTTGGTCAAATAAAATGCTTAATGGCTTAATGCGCATGATTAGTTTCGAAATTTAAAGAGAGTGTGGAGGGTAAATTCGTCGTTATCAATAATAGGTCGGATTTGATTGAAGTATTACGAAACGCAACGTTTTGAGTTGGTTGTTTTTTTCAGGGAGCTTTTGAATTCAATCAAATTTCAAATTTTGCTTCTCCGCTCCCTTTCTCTCTCTATCGACAGGCTCTTGCTCTCTCGCCGTCTAGTCAACAGTACGGTGATCGGAAAAATGGATAAGATACCCACAGAGACTGACGCTCGCGACCCTGAGAAGCCATGGTCCCTAGCAGATTTCGAGATCGGGAGACCGTTAGGCAAAGGCAAATTTGGCAGAGTCTATCTCGCTCGAGAAGCCAAGGTACTCGTTTCCCTTCAATGTCATCGATCCTTCAATCAAATAGATTAGGTTGAATTTCTCTCTTGTATTGTTAGATTAGGATTGAGCTTTCTGTCAATTTGAGCTTTATCCTCATGGAAACCTAATTTTTGAATCAACCGTGATAGAGTCATTTCGTGGTGGCGTTGAAAGTGATATTCAAGGAGCAGATTGAGAAGTATAAGCTTCATCATCAGCTTAGGAGAGAGATGGAGATCCAAACGAGTCTAAGGCACCCCAATATCCTGCGTCTCTACGGTTGGTTCGACGACGATGAACGAATTTTCTTGATTCTCGAGTATGCTCATGGTGGTGAGCTCTATGGCCTTCTCAAAAAGAATGGACACCTTACCGAGCAACAAGCCGCCACAGTGAGTCTCTCCCCAATTTTACTCAATTTTGCCTGAATCATGATTTTTGTTTGCAATGTTGACTGTGTATTGCTTATCAAACGCTGTGAATCGTCGAGATTATTTGTTTCACGACTCTGGAAATATTATGGCTCGCTTCTTGCGGATTTCTCCGACGGATTTTTCTTAACGATTCACTGGATTTTCAGTACATTTCAAGTCTCAGTCAGGCACTGGCCTATTGTCATGGAAAATGTGTGATTCACAGAGACATCAAACCTGAAAACTTGTTGCTCGATCATGAGGTATGTTTGTATGGATTTAGTTATTGCATCGAAAACTCAGGATCTTCATCATCAGTATTGTCATATACATGCAGGGAAGATTGAAAATCGCCGACTTTGGGTGGTCAGTGCAGTCAAGTAACAAGAGGAAAACAATGTGTGGAACGTTAGATTACTTAGCACCTGAGATGGTAGAAAACAGAGATCATGATCACGCCGTTGATAACTGGACCTTAGGTATACTGTGTTATGAGTTTCTCTATGGCAACCCTCCATTCGAAGCCGAGAATCAAAGGGATACATTCAAGAGGTAAGAGAATAACTAAGACTTTTATCTTTTGTGGAAACTACTTAAACCTCAGCTCCTGATGACGTCTTTTATTTAATGGTATGCAGAATTGTTAAGATCGATCTGAGTTTTCCTCCTACACCAAATATTTCAGATGAAGCCAAAAATCTCATCTGTCAGGTACACCAAAGCAATAAGCATACTCTATTGCAGAACTAGTTGTAGAGCAATAACATATGGTTGTTTATAATCTTATGCAGCTCCTTGTTAAGGATCCCTCGAAACGGCTCTCTATTCAGAAGATCATGCAACATCCTTGGATCGTCAAGAACGCGGATCCTAAAGGTGTGTGCTTCACGTGATGCTATTCTCCAAATCTCAGGACAATTTGCTTATGGGAAGAAAGTTTTAGAAGTCAGAGGACGCACATCTTATATGTAATCTTAATAGTCCGAGAAGGAAGTCTAAAAGTTCAGAGATTGCACATCTTATCTGTAATCTATAGTTATGGGAAGATAATCTTAGAACTTCAGGGAACGTGCATTTCGTAGTGTATTATCACTCATTTCAGCACACAATATAATCTAACTAAAATTTGTGTCTTAATATTTTTCTGTGATCGATCTTCGATCTTCTTCTAAACACAGATAATTAAGAAGAATCCATAGATAGAAACTAAAAACTTCAAAACATTGTAACCTCAACAACTTTACTATGCTTCTAAACACCTGAAGAACACAATGACAAGACCTCCTCATTGTCTTCTTCACCCCTTAAAGCTGTATCCGTAATGGTGGTGTCGGTACTGCAACTACTAGTGCTCTTCTCATCAGAAACTCGGGGCAGTGGAATTCCCAGGACTGAAACAGACAACTTCTGGTCATCTCCATCTTTGCAAGACAAAGATCTGGCAGCTGTTTTCACGGTTAAAGGGGTAAAACCGGCATTATCATGTGAGTTAGTAGTATCCACCCGATGCTTCTTCTTGATACCTCTATGCATGTGCTTATCGCAGTACTTCTGACCAGACAGAGCAACTTTACTGCATCTCCACTTCTTCCCATCTGTTCTTCGACACCTTCCTGGTTCATTGTCTGTTTCAACTCTGTGTAAACGAAACCCACCACGACCTACAACAGAGAAGATACTCCATTAACATCATCGGTAAGCAGCAAGACACTTCTGAGAAAGCTTGAAAAGTATTACCTTGAAGAACAGTGTCTGGAGAAAAGTGGATACCAGGAAAGCCACCATTAACATTCATATTCTTCCACTCTCTGCTCCTTGCAATTATTTCATTCTTCCTGTTGCTTGAGAATTTTGCAGCTGCTGAGAAATTATCAGATGCCTCAGGAAAGAACTTTTGAACAGAAGGTAACCTCTCATCACCTGGTAATGAAACAATGGAATCTGGTCAAATCATGAAACAATGAAGAAAGGAACTTTATAGTTTTGTCATGAGTCTGATATCATGATACCTTGAACGGGAACAACTCTAACACAAGTACTTGAGTCTCTTTGTTTGATGAAGTCATCATAACTCATCTCCACGGTCCTTCTGCTCTTAACGCCATGACTCATACTTTTGTTTGTGGATTCAGTGATCACTAAAGATGGGCGAGTGGTGTTATCACAGACTCTGGCACTAGGCAATGAAGCAATGGTAACTACCTGAGCATTATTAGAAGCCGACATTGTCCCATGAAAAACATTCTGACTCTCATTACTACTATCCAAACCGTAAGTGTTGTCGTGTTTGGTTGAAGCCGGTGACGAAACGACAACATAAGAAGAAGATTCCACAAGCTTTCTTGAACGTTTCCGGCCTCTATGCATGTGCCGTTCACAGTACTTCTGAAACAGAAGGACCTTGTTGCTACACCGCCATTTTTTCCCATCTGTTCTCCTGCACCTTGTGGGTTCAGGTTCCACCTTAGCACTCAACACTGCAACTCAATCCCAAATAACCAAAAACATGTTTTCAGGGAACTAATCAAGTAAACCCCAAAACCGAATGCAGTCAAGAATCAATCAACTGTTAAAAACAGAACATAAGCTCTAATAGATTCAGAGGTAATTAAGATTTTTATGTATATGAATCTTTCTAACTCTTGCAAAGCCCAAGAACCAAAAACATGTTTCAAGAAATTAATAAAGGAAACCCAAAATTAAACTGAGACAAGTATCAGCTATTAGAAGCTGAACATAAACTATAACAGATTCCCCATTCTGAGATAACTAAAGACTATTCTGTATATGAATCTTGTAATTCATGGAACTCAAAACCTAAGAACCTAAAAACTGTTTTAGGAAATTAATCAAACACAAACCCATCAAGCTTTTCCACAATGAAGCCACAAAATTTCTATTTCAACAGAAAAGGTCCAAGGCTTGCTATAGAGAATGTAAAATCTTGTAAATGATTGTTTTTAAATCCCCTTGCACATAAATTACACAAATACTCCTGAGAATTTCTTGACAAGCACACCGAACTTCAAAATACTTACGAGAAGAGGAGTGATGGTTTTGGTGGATAAGGTAACTGGAGGAAGAAGAAGAGAGAGCAAGGCTGTTCCAAATAGGCACCACAAGATGATGAGGCACACGAAGACCAGCTTCTATGTATCTATAAACCAAAGCTTGCATCTGAAACTCAAGTAATTGCGCCGCCTTCATCCACGGCCACTTCTTCTTCCGCCTCTCCTCTTCCTCCTCCTCCATTTTAGGGCTCTGCATCTTCAAAACAAAATTTGGTATGTAAGCAATGCTTTTTTATTTAAGGAAAATTTTGCAGTTCCAACAAAAGGAGAGAGCTTTTGAAACAAGCGACCCAAAGAAACAAAACCCACCTCCTAAACAGAAAAGCTTTAACACAAATCAAAACAACAGATACTAAAATCTCTTGTTCTGTTCCTCACTGTTTTAATAGAGAGGGAGAGAGAGTCAGAGAAAAAAAACAGAGAAGAAAGACGAAGAGGTGAGTGTGAAGAGATTTAAAGGCAGTTGTCAGGTTTCTGACAAATGCGTCAGCGATTTTCAGCCTTTATTTGAATACTTTTCGGACAATAAAAAAGTTGTTTCCTTCCCTCTCTAAACAATGCCAACACAGACTGATAACTCTCTGTCCAGCTGCTCCACTACATCTCCACCTTCTTTTCCTCCATGGGCCCATATTATAATGACAGGCCCATTACTAATTCTCCATTAAGTTGGGCTCAATTTGTTTTTATTTTTTCTTTTGCTTTAATTATGGCATCGTCCAAAATTTTAAGTTATTTTGGAGAATTAAAGGATAATTTTTTCAATCTTCTTCACATTGGTAGTTGCTTTTTTCTGGTCGAAATTCACATTGGTAATGGTAGTCATAAAATATACTCCTATATTTTAAGTTAGTATAAAGTATTAACAAAGCAAATCAATTTATTTTTAGTACTGAAGAAAAAAATTGATGTAATGCTTAGCAGTGTGATTAGATGATAGTATCTAGATATAATCACAGTGATATTTTATATTGTTCGCACGTGGAAAGTAATGCTAAGAGCTAAAAATATCTTATAATGGGAAGCAGTGTGACTCAATATTGGTCCTCTCACCGACTTGTGGATATATATTTCTAAAATATATAGAAAGGTGTATGTTTTTCCTACATATATTTTATTTTACAATACGAAAAGACAGGTTTGAATAACCATAAATGCCTACAATACAGATTCGAATGGCGAAGCCAGTAACTCACAAAACTGTTTTTGTTATTCAAAACATATTTTCAGATATATCTTTTAACGAAAAAAAAAATCACATGACAACAATGAGAGCACGGGAAACGTAACTAAGCACAACTATTAAATCTCAACACAAACGTGAAACAAGCAATACAGAATTAGTTTAGCAAACAAAAATGAGAATCTATGTATTTTTCTATCACTGCAAAACAATGTAGAAAAGTTATCTAAGGTGTTGTATTTTTGCCAAAAAATATCAGGTGTAGAAAAAGAAGCCCAAAGCCCACTTTGGTAATTTAAGCAAAAAAACAATAAAATAGAATGGCCTCTTTCTTCTTCCAGCTATGTCCGAAAAATCACATGGCCCCAAGCCAACCCAACTTGCTTCTAAACAACACACATTCGAAGATAAAGGCAAATTAACTCTAGTCGGTTTTTCAACCTAACCATGGTTAATATGTAACCCTGGGTTCACACTTATTATTATTCTTCTCTTTTAACTTCACTCGTCTCTCTGTCTTCTCACTTCCTCTGCTCCACACTTGCACTGAAACTCAACCGTCTCGTCATGGCAGCGCCACAGACTTTCTCACTCCTCGCTTTTGTTTTCTCTCTCCTCGCCGTCGCTTTCACCGTACGCGGCCACAACATTACTCAGATACTCGCCGATTCCCCGGAATACTCCTCCTTCAACAGCTACCTTTCTCAGACGAAGCTCGCCGACGAAATCAACAGCCGGACGACGATCACCCTCCTCGTCCTCAACAATGGCGCAATGTCTTCTCTCGCCGGAAAACATCCACTCTCCGTCATTAAAAACGCTCTAAGTCTCCTCGTCCTCCTCGATTACTACGATCCCCAAAAACTCCACAAGATCTCAAAAGGCACAACTCTCTCCACCACGCTCTACCAAACCACCGGAAACGCTCCCGGAAACCTAGGATTCGTCAATATCACCGATCTTAAAGGAGGCAAAGTCGGATTTGGCTCCGCCGCTTCAGGTTCCAAACTCGATTCCTCTTACACAAAATCCGTCAAGCAAATCCCTTACAACATCTCCGTTCTCGAGATCGATGCTCCGATCATAGCTCCGGGAGTCTTAACGGCCCCTGCTCCTTCTTCCGCCGTGTCTAACATCACCGGATTGCTCGAGAAAGCCGGTTGCAAAACCTTCGCTAATTTGCTTGCCTCGAGTGGAGTGCTCAAGACTTACGAATCCGCCATTGAAAATGGGTTGACTGTTTTTGCACCGTCCGATGAAGCTTTTAAAGCCGAAGGTGTCCCAGATCTGACGAAGCTCACTCAAGCTGAGGTGGTCTCGCTTCTAGAGTATCATGCCCTCGCTGAGTACAAGCCTAAAGGCTCATTGAAGACTAACAAGAACAAAATCTCTACTTTAGCCACCAGCGGAGCCGGAAAATTCGATTTAACAACCTCAACTTCCGGCGACGAAGTTATTCTCCACACAGGCGTTGCTCCCTCAAGACTCGCCGACACGGTGCTCGACGCGACTCCGGTCGTGATATTCACAGTCGACAATGTCCTCCTCCCTACTGAGCTATTCGGAAAATCTCCTTCTCCGGCACCGGCGCCGGCGCCGGTTACAGCACCGACACCATCTCCGGCGGAAGGACCTTCACCCGCTGCGGCTTCACCGCCGGCTCCCCCGACGGACGAGTCACCGGGAAGTGCTCCTTCAGACTCGCCGGCAGGTTCTGCGAACAGCAAGTCGGCTAACGCGGCGGTTGCCGTGAGCTCACCGTCGTTGTTCACCGCATTGGTCACGCTTGCCGCCATAGCCGTTTCTGTGTCTCTCGGCTTTTGAAATTGAAACCTTTCGAATCTTCGTAATTACGCAGGCTGCCACTCCCTTTTGTTCATTTTTATTTATTTTCTTCTACTTTTGTGGTTCTGTTTGTTTAGTTGAAAGCTGGGATTAGTGAGTGAGGTTTACATCTTTTTTATTTAATCACATTTTCATTATCATTTTCAGTGTTAATCTGATTTTCATTGTTGAGATCTTCGGCCTCTTACATTACAACATTTTTTGAACCCAAAAACACACCAAACTAAAATATTAGCTAACGTGATAGTTAATATCTTTTTTCCTTTTACATCTTGTCGATAGTACTACTATATTACAACAATACAGTGTGCCACCAATTCAATCTTTGATATGGATTTCTAATGAAAATTGTAGGCACAAACAATTTTAATTTTAAATGTTTTCTCTCCTGTAGGTGTAACTTGCAATTGTTCGATTTATAGATGCTTTAGAGATTTTCAAATATTACTTAACTTTTTTCCATTAATCATGGGCCCATTTCTTATTTTAGTTCTCAGGCTTTTTTGTTTTTAAACTTCATTTAGGAAGCAAATGATACCCTATTCCCTTAGCCGACAAAACGCCAAGTTTTACCCTCGAAGCAACGAACAAAGCAAAATTTCCACTTTTAGACTGTACTTGATTTAGTTATTATGGTTATTTAGGGTGAGAAAATTCCAGAGGTTAGGGTTATTTAAACGGCGTCGTTTCGTACGTACAAATGAATGGGTCTACATTGTCTAGAGTTGGGATATGTGGCCCATTAATATTTATTAAGAGAGCGAAAAGCCCGATTTCCTGATTCTCTTTGGCACCGACATTTCTTTGGACAACGAGACGCTTCTTTATTCTGAGATCACAAACCCTATCGTTCATTACTCTATAAAACGACGTTCATAGTTCGCTTCCATTTAACAAACGGCAGGCGTTCAAACATATGACGTGGCGTTGAGTGTTGGCTACACACGCGCACCGCTTCTTTGATCAGTCTTCCTCGAGAAGCTTACAATAATAATTGAACAAAACTCGTGTGAGTCGAAACAACACAAACCCGCTTCACTCACTGAAAATCCCCGCCATTTTTCTCGCCTCCTTGAATCGGAATGGCGTCTACGGCGGCTGAACAAGATGAGAGAAAAATTGCATCGGAAACTTCGAAGACGAGTCCTGACATCAAGGCGGCTGCTGCGTCGCGGGTCAATAGCAAAAACGACGCTTCTCCAGCTCCGTCGATGAACTCTAAGGATTTCATCATCTCCGCCGCTGCTAACATCGCCTCTCAGCCGTTGCAGAACTACGATTCGAACGTCTGGGGAGTCCTCACCGCAATTTCAAACAATGCTCGCAAACGCCGGCAGGTTCGTTCTGCCTCTTTCCTTCTTTAAACCCTAGATTCTCAGTGTTTTGTAGCCCTAGGAGTCTGTAGTGTGATTCTATTCCAAAGTTTAATTCGATTCCTGATCACTGAATTTTAGGGCATAAATATACTTTTGACTTCTGATGAGCACTGTCTCGGACGGCTGCCGTGTCACGCCAGTTATCAGATAGAGTCAACTGCAATAAGTGGGAATCATTGTAACATATACCGTAAGAAGATAACATGCGGTGATGGGGCTGATGATGTATCTGTCTTTGTGGAAGACACTAGGTTAGTGAACCTCTCTCCTGTCTTACTTGTGCGATTTATCTTCTTGCTAAATTCATGCTTTGTTATGTGTCTCTCTCTCTTTGATTCAGCACGAACGGAACGTTTCTCAATTGGGAGAGGTTGAAAAAGAAAGGTCCTGAAGTCAGGGTTCAGCACGGTGACATCATATCTTTGGCTGTTCCTCCAGAGCACGGTAACATATGTTTTCCACCTCTGCATTGCGAAGTCATATTATCTCAACCATTTTGACAGATCAATCGATGTGTTAACACTTGACCCATGCAATATTTTTCCCCAGATAAGTCCTTTGCATTTGTATACCGCGAAGTACTTGGAAATAATCCTGAACTTCCCTGCATGAACAGAAAAAGAAAAGCAGGTATCACATTCAACATTTCTCATTTTTGCTTTCTGTCCTGACTTTCCATGCATATATGACTAAGGAATGGCAGCTCTTAGGGCGTTCTTTTCACCATAATGTAGTAGTGTTTTCTCATTTCTGATATGTGCTTTTGCTGCTGTGAAGAGGACATAACTTGTGAAATTAAGAGGTCGAAGGGCATAGGCATTGGTGGTCCTGATGGTCCAATATCTTTGGATGATTTTAAGAGCCTCCAGCGATCAAACACAGTATGTTCATCTTCAATTTTGGTGTCCATTATCAGATGTAATCGATTTTGTTGACCTAGATGTCATTCTAATCAACTTTTGTGTCAACAAAACAATTTTGTATGCAGGAACTGAGGAAGCAATTAGAAGCACAGGTGCTTACCGTTGACACTCTGCGTAACGAGTCCCGCGCTATTGTGGAGCACCATGAAAGTGTATGTTAAGTTTGTCTTTGGATCTTTGGTATGGTGGGTGGTGCTGTTGTTATGTTAAATGCTGTTGTAGAAACAAAAACAATGGTAATTATCTTTGAGTGATTGGTGGATTATTTAAGTACCTTTACTGATTTATCTTGTCATTCTGCAGGAAATAAAACTGATTAAAGAATCCACTGCAAAGTCATTTCAGAATCAACTGATTGAGCTGCGTGATCTAATAGATACTAAGCAGAAGGAACTGGCGCAGGTCAACAAAGTATCAGCTGAACAGAAGCATTCGATAGATGACCTTGGCGAGAGACTAAGCACTTCTTTGCAATCTCTCAGTGAAGCAAATGAAATAATTAAAAGGTAAGTAGATTGTTATTCCAGTGTTGATTGTCGTTCTTAGGATCATACTCTATGCAACTATTGTGACAAATTGTTAGAAACTCCGCCTTAGGACTTCCAATTAATTGTCCCAACAGTGATCTAACGAAAACATCTCTAAGCTAAGTTTCCCCATTAATCAATTCCATAAAATTCAAATGTTATAGCTAGACATCACAGGGGCTGAAAGCTATGACTCTATCCTTTGAAATGTGATGGAGAAGACACTTAGGGATGTTTTACTTTCGTCTTCTATGGCAACAACATAGCTAAAAAATTTGTATACACGGTTTCTTTCGGAAGTTATTTGGTCTGTGTGTATAAATTATAAACTGTTTTTCATGTTCAGATGGTTTTCCTTATATAAGTGGAATATCTTATGTGGCAATGTTTTCATAAGTCTGATCACTGAAAATTGTGATCCTAAGAATATTTTACTTACTGTTTTCAGTCAAAAGGCATCTATAGATGAACTGAAAACAGCGTTGGATGAAGAGAGAAATCAAAGAAGAGAGGAAAGAGAAACTGCCATTGGTGAACTAAAAGCTGCAATACATAGATGCCAAATTGAGGCTCAGGAAGAACTGGAAAAATTTTCTGCTGCTGCTATGAGAAACGAGAAGGAACAACAAGAAGTAATCAACAAAATGAAGGTATGACAAGAGTTAGTTGTCTATAAATTAACTCTTCGCCATTATTATGGCCTTTGAATAAGACGGTTTCCAAATATTTCAGGAGTCAGAGAAAGAAAAGTCCACGCAAGTGGAAACTTTGATATCAAAATTGGTATGTTCTTGTGATTCATTCTATAGAAATAATTAGCGTCTTGATCCAGATACCTTGAACTTTTTTTTGTGCTGTCATTTGTGAAGTTTGTTAATGTTTTATAGGAAGATACGAGGCAAAAGCTGGTCTACTCTGACAATAGAAACCGTCAGCTCGAAGCCCAAATTTCCGAGGAGCAGCTTGCTTCTGCCAATGCACTAAAAGTACCTGACCTGAATGCAAATTTCCCTCCTATTTGTATGGTTCGTTTCTCTTTTTTTTTTTTGTTCCTATCTGTACTAACGGGTGCATTTGTTTCAAAAACTTCTATTTGGAGCAGGAAATTGTAGAACGTGACCTTGAAATAAAACTACTGCGAAAGGATTTGGAGAGTGAAAAGGTAAGATGGAAATACTTGTGTGCCACTATACTTTTTTCACAGTTGTACAATAGTGACAAGCTTCTGTTTCCTACATCTGATTCCTGCTACAGAAATATGATAGTTCATTTGGGAGAGATTGTGTATAAGTAGCTAAGAAATCAGGTTGTCTCCATTAAGTTATATGTTTAAGCTGAGACTTTCTTTGTTATGTTAGCAGGCAGCCCGAGAAGAAGCATGGGCCAAAGTGTCTGCTTTAGAACTAGAGATAAGTGCTGCTGTTCGAGATCTTGATGTTGAAAGACAGAGACACCGTGGTGCAAGAGAAAGAATTATGCTCCGGTAAGACCTTTACACCCATGGTGGTACTTAGTTTAGGCTGCTATTTTTTCTGTATATGGTTGGTTGGCTAACCTAATAGTAGATCTACAAACGTCAATGGTGAAAATCTTAAGACAGGCATGCTTTTCTTTATTCTCGTGTATTTTGTGTTTAGTGCTTCTGTACAGCTCTTTTGCTGTCTAGATTTACAGATTGGGAGGTAGTTTCTTGTTGACTGTGATGCTTTAAACTATTAACATGCATTGTCACACAAGTTTGATTGGTCTAACTTATTGACAAACGGAATCTTCATGCAGTGAAACTCAGTTGCGGGCATTTTATTCTACGACTGAAGAGATCTCGGCTCTGTTTGCAAAGCAGCAGGAACAGCTCAAAAGCATGCAGAGAACTCTGGAAGATGAGGAAAATTGTGATAATACTTCATTAGATATTGATCTTAACAGAGGTAATACTCCGGAAAATGAACGAGCAAATTGCCATACGAATTGTGCTGCTAAGGCGAGCTCCTCCATTTCAGGGCAAAGGTCTAACCGGAATGAAGTTTTTGATACGTCCTGTGAAGATGCAGATGCTACTCAGAAGCATGATTGTGAAATAATGAGTCAGGAAGGCCAAAACACCCAAGAACCCGAATATACAAGCTCTGACAAAACCGCAAAGGGTGCTTTTGGCTCAGAGATAGAAGGTGTTGGTACAGCACCCACTTTCGGAACAGACCCCGTAGGAACAGAGCAAGTTAATGAAACCCAAAGTCCAGGAAATGATTATGAGAGAAATGATCATCTGAGGAAGGCAATCGTATTGGCTGGTGATACAATGCAAATAGATTGTGAAACTCAGGCAAATGAAAGTGTTGAGAATGATGGAGCTGTTGTTTTGTTAAGGAACCCCGTGAACGATGGAAAGGATACCCAAGACACAGAGGGAGTAGGCACTATAAGAACGTCAGATCTTCTAGCTTCTGAAGTTGCTGGGAGTTGGGCTTATAGCACAGGTCCTTCTGTCCATGGAGAAAACGAAACCGAAAGATGTAGAGAGGACGAAGAGAGTCAGACTCAAAAAATCAAGGAAGTGGTCATAGTACATGACTCTGCCGCTCAAGTTGGCGAAAGTCAAACTAAACCGACAGTTCCTGAGGTCCTGGTCACTGGAAGGAAAGATGATGCTGAGCATGGACTCGTTAACGAGTCATTGGGGACCATTGATCAGGGAAAAATAGAACATGGTAATGGTTCCAAATCTGATACAGAAAGTTGTTCTGATACAGATGATGACCATAGGGAGGAAAAACTCAGTCCTGTCTCAGACTCAGACACAGAGGGTTCTGATATGGATGATCACAACAGATCACACTCTTCGGATCCCGATAGTGAAGGAAGCCATGAAGCTGATGCTGATGGGGATCATAAACAGGTGGACACAATGGATGAAGACGATAAAGCTAGTTAGCAAGTAAGGTGTGTAGATAGCGCAGAGAAAATGGTACGGTTGTAACATGGGGAGTTGTAATTTACGTGTAATGCGAAGTAAACGATTTGATCCCAAAAAAAAAATGAAAGTTTTAGATGTCTACTTCAGGACAAAGTATCTCCATAATGTGATGCAATGATAGCAACGATAGAATTGAAGGGGAAAGGAGAGGGCTAAGCTAGAGATGGGAATAAAAATAGACAGGGGAAAGAGTAAGTCAGAGGAATCATCAATGGATGATGATCTGAAATTAAAAGGAGAGGTTTTTTTTATGGTGAGAAGAGGAGGAGAATCTCCTTTTTACAACAATTTCATTATTATGAAAGTAGTAACAACTCCAAAACTTACCCTACTAACTCTGGTTAATTTCTTGGCTTTTTTTATTCTCTCTTGTTTCTTTAGCTTGGGTGGTAAATTTCTCTTAGGTTTGATTGAGAAGAGAAGATGCAATATTTTTGTCTATGGGATACTCAAAACTCAAAAGGATGGCTGTAAATAATAGTAGAGATAATTCAATTCAAACAAAACAAAAAATAGTAAAGATAATAATAATAGAGTAGAACAAAATTATAACAAGTTTTGAACACTTTTTAGAGAAGCGTGGATGGGGTTTCATTTCGGTGTTGACTATCTCCTCCAATTCCATTGATGCCTCTTGTTACTTAGTTTGTCTTTGCATTTTGGTTTCAGTTGAAATATCAATACAAGAAATGAGTAGATTTTATATAGTGGTCCTAGTCCTTGGCCTCATCAATTTATTCTAAAATTTTTTTCTTTCTTTTTCTCCATATATATCATCAATTCATGTAATGAGTATGTAGATATTTTTTTGTCTGTGAGTAGCACGATATTCTTATCAAATGGTCATGAAGCTAACATATAGTAATAAGTAAGATGTTTCACGTGAAACTAGTTTGTTCTACTTGGTGTTTCCTTATTTCTTTTTACTGGGTTTTAGAGAAATTTATGATGGAAAGATATTAGTTAGGACTTAGGACGTTGGCAAAAAATAAATGAAAGTCCCTTCGGAGAAGAATAAGTATTGATTGGGCTATAGGAGAAGAAGAAAGAGGATCGGGCATATGCATGTGGAATTTGGGTTTGAGCATTGAAGAGAAAATAGCCCACAAAATTCATTACTGAAATGATGATGATGAATCTATCGTCGTCGAGTGGGGAATGGGGTTATTATGGCAAATGGGTATGATGATTGTGGGAAGAAGAAGCCAAATCGGTGGTTTCATTTTCCAAATTAAATGTGCTTTGGCTTTTGCTTCTCTTCCTACTCAAGTACTCCATGACTTTTTTCCACTACTACTACTACTACACACACATATTATATGTATAATTGTATATTTGTTAAAAGTCACTGCACCTGATTCGGTAGTATCCATTTCACACTTTTCCCTCTTCCTTCCAAGTTTCAGAACCATCCCTTCAACCAAAGCTCGATACCTCACGTGACCCATCACATGATTCCCTCTTTGTTACCTTTTTTTTTCCTTATGTCCCAAAATCAGATAAGTTTATTAAAAACAAAGTCATTTGGTTTGGATTTTAATTACAAAACCTACCCTTCTGATTATGGAGGATGAAACGTTCAAGAGAGTAGAGAGTTGACATAATATTCGAAGGGTGCAATACAACGAACAATAATGAATAGATATCATTAATATGGAGCCTAGAAGAGTTAAGGAAGATACGCAAAATATTGCTTAACACGTTTTGTAAACAAATATTATGTTTTATCGTATAAAGACAAAAAAAAAGAAACAAATGCTTAATTAGTAGTTGAAAATTTTAATTATTCCACATCCAAGATGTATAAAACTATTGGACGGGGAATGACGACAACAGATAGGTGTATGCAACTAAATTAAATCAACTTTAAAACTTAAGTTCTGTTGTGTGTATTTAACGGAATGATTAACCATCATTACATATGACTTCAACGAGTTGGAAAAGAATAGATTTACACTCTCTACTTAGGAGGCTCGTGTACGTAATCTTTTTCTTTCGTTACAAAGGGCAGAATGGGGATTAGGTTTCATAGAAGTCATATTAAACAGAAAACACAAAGAAAAAAGGCAAAGACTTGATGATTAAAAAAGCTAAGTAAGAAGAAACATTTGTACTTGTGAGGAAGATCGAGGCTTTGACGTACTCTTAACCTTTTTTGACTTATCTGCCTCACAGATAATCATGATTTGACCTTTTGCCAGTCAAAAAAATCTGCCAAATCGCTTCATTAAACTCGAGACAATTGTTAAACAGCAAAACAATATATATAAACCCTTATATATATATATATATATATATAATTGTGTGTGCAAAATTTAAGGTTAATCTCATAAACAACATAAAAAAAGGGGGACAGTAACATAGACGGTATGAAACCACTTTAACCATTTTATTGTTATTGTAAATGTGTAACAGTACTTAAGTACCAAAAAAAAAAATTCTGAAAATGTGTGTAACGGTAAACGTAATATGTATGAACTCACTTGGTAAAGATTAATTAATAGTAATCGTCAGGTCAACGATCTATGAATTCCCTTTACATCTAAAAAATATTGGAGCAGTAAATTCTTAAGTAGGAATTCGAAATATTATATTTATATATATTCACAGTTTGCCTAGCCTTATGGAGACTTAAAGCAAATTTTAAAATAGACTGTTATTTAATATGTTTAAATATGTATTTTTATTTATAATTTATTTAATGTTAATACTATTATAGTTTTTTAAACAAAACAAAATTTTAAACATTATAATATTTTTATTGTAGTTGTGTTTCAAACATTTATATATAATTACATAGTATTCTTACATATTTGATTAAAATTACAAAAAATATGACCTTTAAAACTAGAACAAATTTTGGTGGCTTAAGACAATTGTCTTTTTTTATACATGCAAAGGCACGACTCTATATATTTATAAAATGTAGTTTGTTGATGTATCAATATTAGCCAAATGTTAGATTTGACTAACTATCACCTAGCTTTAAGCTTCGTGACACCATCACCATGTAATTAAGTTGACAAACAAACAAATTTCGTATGAGTTAAAGCCAAAATTGAATAGTTTGTTTTGTCGTGTGTACCTCTTAACGGTGACTTGAGCTTTTTAGGGAAACTTCCTAAATTCTTCTAAATAGTACATTTAACTAATCAATCATGAGTCCAATAAAAAGAAGAGAGATATTATAGAGAGAGTTAGGCAGTGTTTTTGTGATACTGTTTTTTTTTTTGTGTAATGTTTTTATTATACTTGTTCTTCTTCCATCTTCAAAAATTCAACTTCATCTTCATCTTTCCCTGTCCCTTTGTAATCATGATTCCTCTTTTGCCATCATTACCTTCTAAAGGAGCCTCTCTCTCTCCCCTCTCTCTCTCTCTCTCTCTCTCTCTCTCTCTCTCTCTCTCTCTCTCTCTCTCTCTCTCTCTCTCTCTCTCTCTCTCTCTCTCTCTCTCTCTCTCTCTCTCTCTATAAAGAAAATGCAAACACAAATTACAACAAACTTTCATCTATATAACGCCTCTATATCTCTCCCATTAATCAAACGTCTAACTTCCTCTATTTCTCTCCATCTCCCTTCCTCTTAATTTCTGTTTTCAACCTTCAAAGATGTGTTTGAAATCTTCAGAACCATTTTCAGACACACCCACGAGATTAGTTTTGTACCTCAAAACACAAAGCCACGTTCGTATCCCTCGTCTCTCCAGGTTCAGTTTTCCATCATCATACACATCTCTGAAAGTATAATCAACTATCTAATTACGTTTTGAGTCATTATAACGAGTTAATACTCTGTTTTAATCTCTATTTCAGGAGGAGAAGGATGTGGCGGGAAGAAAAGGAAATGGAGATGAAGAATATAAGGCTTTACATGGAGAATCAAAACATCATTCAAGAAAACGAGAAACTCAGGAAGAAAGCTCTTCTTCTTCACCAAGAAAACAAAGCTCTCTTGTCTCTGCTTCAGACCAAAAATATATCCCCTGTTCCATAAACAAAGACCTTACCATCACCAATCATCAAGATCCGAGGGCTCTAAAGAACACCAGAGTCTTATTATCTAAGTAGGTCTTATAATTTACAAGCAAGGGTTTAGTATTACTGGGTATACATCTTTTTTTTTTGTTTTTTTTGTTTTTAAGTTTCATCTTTGATGTAATCTCTTTATTTGTGTTCTTTTGTTAATGGTTAATGTCAATTTTCAAATAAAGTTTTTTATTTTCTCTACTTAACAGACCACGATAAGTGACCATTTTTTCGATATTACATGTCAATTTTAACTTAGAACGTAGGGCCTAAATAATTTGTACCAATGGATAGAGGATTTTTACATGCGTGTCAAAAAACCATAAATCGATTTTACAAAAAATGTTGAAAACCAGTTTTTCCTACGGTTTTCAACTTTCGACCCAATATCTACCCGATTTTTTTTTTTTTTAACGGCTAAACAAATTTTATATATTAAGAATAAGGATTACAATCTGCAAATACAGCAGCATTAGACAACCATAAAGGTGGATACAATTTTGATGAATAAAAAACAGCATTTGGAGGTCCTTTTGTTGTTAGTAGGTGAGCTGGACTATTAAGATCCCTTGGAGTGTAAAGAAAGATGCAATGTGAAAATTTTTGATTCCAAAGAAGAATATCAGAACAAATATTTTCAATGTGATAATTTTCTGATTTTCTATTAAGGATGTCTATAACAATTTTGCAGTCTCCTTCAAAGTATAAACTTCTGAATCCTGAGCACCAAGCTTGTTGCATAGCTATAAGAAGAGCTTTTGCTTCCGCTTCAAGTGGAGACGCCGCTGCTCCGATGATTGATGAGCCCCATAAAACAGGAATTCCTTGGTAATTTCGAATGATCCAACCAGCTGAAGATCGATTGGTTTCCAAATTAAAACTTGCGTCAAAATTACATTTAAGCATATCAACTTCCGGCTTTTTCCATTGCATCAGGAATTGTTGTTGTGTATGATGGCCTTGAATGGGTCTTGAATCTATAGTGTTTTGCTGAAAGCCATTGAGCTACATCTATCTCAGCATCTTTAACTACCCGTTGAGGACACACTCTGATTTTACGGAAGATTAAGTTGCACCTTGATTTCCAAATTCTCCATAAAACCCAGTATAGCATAAGTTTTTGTGAATCAGTAAGTGATCTGTTTGAGTGTAGAGCAATGCTATTATGTAACAGATGATCTACGGAATCATTATGTGCTACATGGGGAGTCCAAGGGGAACTCGATAATCTCCAAATCATTTGAGATATTGGGCAAGTGAAGAAAGTATGAATAATTGTTTTTGGTGCCGAGCAACAACGTTGGCAAAGATTGTTCATATTTATTCCTCTTGTATTTAGCCTTGTGGCTACACTGATAGCTTGCGAAGATAAACGCCAAAGAAAGTGTTTTAGTTTCGGCATAATTGGCAATTTCCAAATTTGGGATTTTAGGTTTGGATCTCCATGAGGAATAACAATTTCTGCATTTTGTAATCTTGCTTCATTAAAAACGAGCCAGTAGGCGCTTTTAACAGAGTAATTACCATCTTCACTTTGGCTCCAAATAATACGATCAGGTTTCAACACTTGCGATAAATATGTGTTCTTTATGAGAGATCTGTCTTCTTCAACGATTAATTCATCAATCTTGTTGCTGTTCCATACTCGTCTGTTATTAATGGTAGTAATCAAATCTTTAACCATTATTTCCTCATTTGGTACCATTTTTCTGGTCGGTCGTGGATTTGGTGTGAAAAGCCAGTTGTCTTTTTGAACCTGTATCGTGCTTCCATCGCCAATGATGTGTGAGACTCCTTTCTTTAGCAACTCCAAACCATGAACAATAGATTTCCATCTATAGGATTCATTAGCTCTGTTTTTTGCATTGAGAATATTAGTATCTCGATAATATCTAGCTTTCATTAGTTTGGCAAAAAGCGTATTTGGGAATTTCAGTAGTCTCCAAGCTTGTTTCGCAAGCAAAGCATCCTTGAAGAGGGCTAGATCTTTGAAACCAATGCCACCATCTCTTTTAGAAAACTGTAAACGTTTCCAAGCTACCCATGGAATGCCTTTTTGTTGGTCTCCTTTCTCCCACCAGAAACGCATGAGGAGACTGCTAATTTCATCTGTAATATGAACCGGCAATTTGAAACATGACATTGAGAAAACAGGCATTGAGATGCCCACTGATTTAATCATTATTTCCTTTCCTGCTTGTGATAAAAATTTTGCACTCCAGGATGAAGTTCTTTGCCTCACTCTATCAATGATGTATTCAAACATCTCTTTCTTTTTACGCCCAAATTGCTCTGGTAGCCCAAGGTATTTACCACCTCCACCTTGTTGAAATATGCCAAGCATTGTTTTTAATCTCTCTTGTAAATCACCTGGGATTCTTGCACCAAACGTAATCGTTGATTTGGACGGATTTATTTTCTGACCAGACCATGCCTCATACGTTTGGAATATATCTTGTAGTGCTTTGCAGTTCTTATTATTTGCTTGACAGAAAAAAAGAGAATCATCTGCAAATAATAAATGAGTTATCGCCGGTACACCATTTCCGATTTTTATACCCCTGATTTTCCCAGTTCTTTGTTGATCTTGAATCATATGGCTGAGAACATCTGCACACAGAATGTAGAGATATGGTGACAGCGGGTCACCTTGTCTTAATCCTCGTTCCGGAATTATTTTACCTTCAGGGCTTCCATTGATTAGCACCGAATACTCAACTGTCGTAACTGTTGCCATTATCGAGTTGATCCAACGTTCATCAAAGCCAAAGGCATGAAGAGTTTTTTCAAAAAAATTCCATTCAATACGATCGTAGGCCTTGGTGATATCTGTTTTTATTGCCATGTATGTTTTGGAGACCCTTTTTCTAGATTTTAGAGAATGCATTAACTCATGGGCTATCAAGATATTGTCTGTTATCATCCGACCCGGTATAAACGCAGCTTGAGCTTCAGAAACAATCGAATTTAGAAACTCTTTCAAACGGTTCACCAAGATTTTTGATATGATTTTGTAAAGAACATTACATAAACCAATTGGACGATAGTCAGAAAGAGTGACAGGTTTGTCTATCTTGGGAATCATACAAATATTTGTATGATTTATACCGCGTTTCATATGTGCCATTGTAAAAAAATCTTTAACCTCAGCGATGACATCACAGCCTACAATATCCCAACAGGATTGATAAAAACGAGCTGTTAGTCCATCAGGTCCTGGACATTTATCTGAGCCAATGGAATTGATCGCATCTTTGATTTCTTTTTCTGAAATGTCTCTCGTTAAACTTGCATTCATGGTTTCCGAAACTGTTTTTTGAAAGTTAGAGAAGATATTAGTTTGGCATGAGCTTGTGTTGCTTTTATAGATATTTGAAAAGAACACTTCTGCGTGTTTTCCAATTTCAGTATCCCCTCTGTGCAGCCTTGAACGTCTTTGATCGACAAAATCTTATTCTTTGAAAATCTTGTTTTTGTGCAAGCTTGATAAAATTTTGTATTGCGATTTCCCTGAGTCAACCAAGTATTACGACTTTTAATTTTCCAATATGTTTCCTCATCCTGGTAAGCCTGAGCTAGTTCTTTTTGGATTTGAACAATATCCACATACTTTGTTCTTGAGTTTGACAAGGCTAGTTCAAATTCTATTTGCGACACTCACGTATTCTGTCCGTAATATTTGGTTGGCGAGTAATTTGAGAGTAATATCTACCCGATTATCAAAAAAATAAATATATAATCTAAATCGACGAGAACTTGACATAGCAGGCACGAACATCTCACGTGACGTGGCCACCCCTCGACGACGTAGAAAATCACTGTAATATTAAATTTCTGGATTTCGAGTATCCAACAAAATTAATGATTTTCACATGGCGATGAAAATCCAATACTAAAAGGCAGATCAAAATCAAGATCAGATACATTCATCAGCTACATAAAGCAAATACATAAAACCATCTCTTCATTGCAAAAATCGAGAAAGTATGCTAATAACGACCGATAAGGATAAAATCATCGTCATCAAGAGCCTGAACATCTTTCTCACCGACAAAATGCTCACGTCCAATCTCCTTCACCATCTTCACAAACTCAAGTCTCTTAGAAAGAGGCAATGGAACATACGGTAACCTAAAAACCGGCCTCGATACCCCAAGCTGAGCCAAAGCAGTGTTAACTCCAATCGGGTTTGGCTCGTGGAATAGCCAATCCATCAAAGGTAGAAGCTTTGAGTTCAACGACGAGTTCCTGCCTTCAAACATCAATTTCCTCATCAAACCCGGGACTAAGTTACTAGTAACAGATATAACTCCGGTTGCTCCATAATCCCATCTCGAATCATGACACTCATCATCATTCCCACTCCACACAACAATCCCACTCTCAGTGTACTCTTCAACACGCTTGTTACCAACACATTCTTTCACACCGGCTAAGTTAGGGCTCTGAGAAAGTTTGAAGATTGCACGAGGCGGTATATCCTGCCCTGTTCGACCTGGCACGTTGTATATGATCGTCGGTCCCATATGAAGAACGGACTGGAAATGAGCGATGAGACCCTCAATGGAGGTTTTGCCATAGTAAGGGTTAATGTGAAGAGCGGCGTGCATTCCAACAGCGAATCCTTGTTCAGTGGCGTGGATTGCTTCTCTTGTTGAGTTGCTTCCTGTGTTTCCAATGACTTTGATGCTTCCTCCAAAACAGTTAACAGTATGGCCAATGAGCATAATGTGTTCATCCCAGCTCATCAACTGTCCTTCACCAGTTGTACCACCAACAATGACACCTTCTGCGCCGTTTTGTATCTGAATGTTCACCAAGTCATCGTAGGCTTCAAGATCGAATCTTCCATCAGGTAGATACGGTGTTTTGATAGCTGTGATCACCCGCAGAGCTTTTATGTCGTCTGTGTTTGTCCTGGCAAGCACAAAACCAAAGATATCCGGGTTTGATATAAACTTGCACAACAGAGAGTATATACATACGAGATTTCACATTCATTTACATAATAACTTCAGACCTGTTTTTGACCTCTAAGCTGCGCATTGGGAGATGGAAATTCGGTACAACAGCTGCTTTTGGAGAGACATATTTCGAGCTCCTTCTGTGTTAAAAAGAAGCACATTAGCTTGACTCCATGGACAGATCAAGAAGTCTTAAGATCTCGGCTTGGGACACACAAGATCAGGAAACATAGATTTATTATCATCAAATTAGTCCGAGGAGGTCATAGGTTTCAGTTTTATAATTCAATTGAAAATTTGCAATTTCGACAAAGAATATTCAAGTCAATACCAGAAACCATCATGCCTAGTTTGGATTAAGCAAAGACACAAAAAGCTAAAGAAAAATGTTAAAATATCAGCAAATGTATTACATCGACATATAAGAGGAGAAGAGAAGGAACCTCTTGTAGCCCTCGAATCGCCTTGGACAGGGGAACTGTAGAGCAGAGTCCATAGAACACAAGCCATACCCTTTCAAAGCAGCCATCTTTGAAAACAATAGAAAATTTACCAAAACCCTAACTTTAAACGGAACCCAATTCTCAAATCAGCGACCTTAATTCAAACGTGGTAATCAGTTCGCGATGATGATAGCAACAGTGTGAGTACTTCCGATAGTAGTCGAAGCGATAATCGTGGAACGGAGAAGGGAAGCGATAGAGCTCTGATAATGGTGGGTTCTGAGCATAATGACGAAAGATTCCGATGAGAGCAATAGGATTTGTAAGGAGGAGGGAGCGGCGAGAGATGGACGGAGGAAGAAGAACGAAGAAGGTATAAAAAATACAAAGCCGTCTTAGGGTTTTTGTCTCTCTCTATCTCCTGATATCTTGCCACGTGGATAATGAGTCATCGGCACGAACAAAGATTTTAAGGACAATCTCAAAATGATGATACTGTTTTGCAAATGTATGGTCGAAATTTCCCAAGAATATCGGCAAAATTTCCCAAGAATATGGTCAAAATTTGATTTGAATTTTCTTTCTTTATTAGGGATTTTAGTTTTCTGGCAGCAGCCTTCCTTCTCGAAAACTTTTGAGCTCAAAAAAGTGGATTAATTAATGATTCAGAAATTAGGGCTCCATTTTGCATTTTTAATATTTTCATATAGTAGAGTAAGAATCGAGCATATCTGTAATATACTAACTCATGCAATGCACGTTCGTGTTCAAATGGTCGATCGTGACTGCTCATAGTATTGTTGTTTTATAAACTAATTGTGTTTTGGTCAATGCGTGTCTAATAATACACGTTAAGATTCTGGAATCAAAAACTCTCAAAGGTAAACTCTCCTTTGAAGCCCATTATAGGCCTAATTTGCGATGCCCAACGGCCAACGGAGAGTACTGTAAATCATAGAGGCCCAGCTTGAACTCTGGAAGCCCGAGTTCAATCAGGTCTAAGATTTTTTTTTTTCTTTGGTTTTAATTTATGATTATCCTAACATAAATTAAAAACGGAATACGTATATGAATGATAGGTTTTGTGTCTGCGACGGAAGCTTCGGAACTAGTCGAGGATGTGACCATATGTATGGCCAACTTTCTGATTACGATCTACGAAGCTCTTGAATGTATTCAGAGAATTGAAATCGTGAAGATGAAAAATAGAAATGCGGGTAACAAATAAAGGTGCGTTGCAAATTACTAAACAAAAAAAGCGAGAGAGGATCGAAACAATCTTATGTCACTTCCAAGGATCCAACATACTTGAAAGATATTTTTGTCTCGAAAATGCTATCTACCTCAATGTCAAATACTCAAATGGCTATTTGTTGTTTTGCTCTTATTGCTTTCATTTTGGTTATTAACTTTCGAATATGCTTGGTTTGGGTTGCTTCTGTTTTTTGGAGCGTATGTATACTGTGTTTCTCGTCTTCAATTAAGAACTATCTTCAGTTTTTAAGAAAAAATGGTTTGAATTTTTCGGCACATATATATACACACATGCACATACATGATTCAAGATTAAGCACTACTAACTTCGACCAGGTTTGTAAATAACAACAACATTGGGTATACAATTACAATTATGAATCCGAACTGCATATTGATGCACATAATGATCTTGTATATACATTTTAGTTATTATATTTGTCACTAAACACATGTCGAATTGTAGATAGACCCACTGGAATCTATTCTACAAAATCAGGTTACTATACGGCGGCAGAAGATCAAGCAGACCATCAAATACAGACTCTTACCGGGAACGTAGATTGGAAAGCTCAGGTCTGGAAGACTAAAACAGCCCCAAAGATTAAGATATTCCTCTGGAAAGCTCTGCAAGGCGCCTTACCTGTTGGAAATCAATTACAGATTAGGAACATCTCCTCTGACCCAAAGTGTAGAACATGTAATAATCAGGAGACGGTTCTCCACTTACTGTTCCACTGCCCAATCGCGGTTGATGTATGGAGGAGATCTCCCTTTAGTTCCGACTTTGATCCGTCCCAGATTATTGATGTTAATGCTGGATTGCATTTGGCTAAGTCCCTGGTATCTCCTCCACCAATTGGGATAGAAAAGGGACGTCTATACTCGTGGATCTGTTGGACCTTATGGACATCTAGAAATCAGAGGATCTTCAGCAATAGAATCTTCACAGTGGAAGAGATTATTTTAAAAGCAATCCTCGATGCAAAGGAGTGGTCGCTTGCTAATTCCTTGACTTCTTCTCCGCGAATCGAGAGATCTCCAAAATTACCAAAAAAACTCTCACTCCTCCTGAGGATGGGACTATCAATTGCTTCGTCGATGCAACTTGGAAGGCTGAATCAGAAGCGGCAGGGCTCGGGTGGACCTTTGGGATCGGTGATCGTCATACATCGGACCATTCATCTGCTCTGCAAAATGTTCCTTCTGCTCTTTGTGCAGAAGCGCTAGCCATGAGGATGGCAATTCTTCAAGCTTCATCAGTGAATATCAGAAAGTTGAGAATCTTCTCTGATTCACAAACGCTAATTCATGCGATCAACAGAAGCTCATCCATCTCTGGAATATTTGGTATCCTCGCGGACATCGCTACATGTGCTAAATTTTTCACTTCTATTCAGTTTAAGTTTTCCTCACGAGTGACGAGCAGACTCAATAGAGCATCTGCAATGGTAGTATTTAGGAGAGTTTCTCACTAATAAAATAATAAAAATATTAGAAAAAGTAAGAGAGATGGTGAGAACCGATTCTAGTTTTAGAGATTATAGAACTCTTATGAGAGACTCATTTGACATTTGTCCTTTTATAATTTGTCTACTCAAAAATATTTTTTAATTAAATTTGTGTTCATATTATAAATTGTGTTCACACTTAGAATGAGAAACTCATATTCAGATACTACCGTTAAAGATGGTCTTAGAGCATCATTACCTATAACTCTTAATGAGTTTCTTAACAAATTTTTATTATTAATTTTGGGTTAAAAACCTTTGTTAAGAAACTCATTGTTTTTAGTGCTCCATTGATAGAATCTGTGGGTTTCTTAAAAGAAATATGTTTTGTTTAGAAAAGAAGAATGAAAATGAGAGAAATGATTGTTTTTAAAGAATAAGCCAACTTTGAATGCAACAATAGAAAGAGATTGAGAGAAAAGAAGAGGATTTGATAAAATGAACAGATTTAATTTTTGAATCAAATGTTGCTTTTTGATTTGTTTCGGTTGGTTGGTAGTATTGTGATTTGTTCGTTTTTTTTTTCTTTCTTGAGTTTTTGATGTATTTGTCAATGATTTTGCTACATATATGTAGTATGTTTCCTATGTGTTCTTGCTCTTTATTTTGTTGCCTTCAAACTCATGAAGGCAAAGACAGAACTCAAGATAAAGATACTACTCTGATTGCTCTTGTGTGTTCAAGTGCTATAAGAAAAGTTGTAGTCCCTTCGTATACATACTCCATCTCCTCTTCTTCTTCTACTAAAATACAAAAGAAGTGAGTGATTTTCTTAACACTATCAGAAAACTATGCTCTTCTGCAACTACTTTTTGCAGCTTCAACTCTTCCGTGAGAAGATCCACACACTGCTTCTCAATCTCTTTTTTAAGCTCTGGATCACCGCTTCCACAATCTGTCACACAATGACACAACAATGACACATTCCGGTGTCCATGGACTCAAAACAGGGAAAGAAAAAGGGATAACTATAACAACTATCGCTTACAAGTGTTCCTAATGCAACAGATAGAAACTCTTATACTATTATGCAAGATCAAGAACCCAAATAGGTTCGTTACTGATTCACCAAATTCGAAGGATCTAAATTGAGAAATCATCAGTGATACATTTCTCATTCTTATAAAACCATTAGAGATACTAGAGCCTAGAAAATAGCTATCAACCATGTTTGAGGGCATAAAAAGGGTGCAGATAGAGACAAGAGCTTCAAAATCAAGTTTAAGCTCGGGGACGAGATCTAACCTGTATAGAGAGGTTCGCAAGCCTCCTCTATCATTCATCACTCTCTCTTCTCTACCAAATCTGTTCTATCAACGCTGTCACAATCAAATGCAGAAATCAAAAAATAAACACATTAGAGACGAACAACACAATACAGTATTAAAATTGAATACAACTCTTGTTCCAAATATGATCGACACATACTCAATGCAAACCACAAAACTTATCCATATCACGAAAACGAGAAAATGCTTTTAGAAAATCACTGGGAATCATAGAGAGGGATAGACGAAAATTCTTGAGATCTACCTAGTGTCGCCGGAGCTTAGGCGGCGACAAATGGCGTAATCAGGCGGAATTGATAAAGAATCGTCTGTTTTGTTACTCGGAAGACAAAGGCCATAGTTTAGCTGAAAGAGAATGTGAGAGCTTAGATTTGGGATGCAGAGAAGATGAGGTCGAGCTGCAAAGAGTTGATAGAGAAGAAGACGCCATTGATGCAGAGTGAAGGAAGAAGGTCGATGAACCGGTGGAGAATTGGAAAGAGAGAAGAATTGTCGTGAAAGTCAAAATTGGTCGAGAGATCAAAATTTTTTGTGGGCTAAAATTTTTCATCGGGTATAAATTTTCTCCACCTATCAGAAAGCCACACGCGTCCAACAAGGATCGATTCTTCAGGATTCCAAATAAGAAACGATTCTTTAAAATTTTGAGCTGTTTTCATTATTTTAATATTTATTTGGGCTAAAAAATCCTTCCTGTTACTTGCGATAATGATTGGGCCACATTAAAATTAATATAAGAAATGGTTGGACAAAAAAAAAAAAGTCAAAGAATCTATCCGATGTCTAATCACTTATAATGCCGACAAAATATTGAAATTTAAATTTTCAGATCAAACCATCTGGTGCAATAGGAGAGAAATAATCATAGAATTTATTTGTTGAGGTAGCCTTTGTATAACTTTCTATATAAAATAATAATAGAAAATAGTGATGGTATTTTCATAAACAATATCATCCAATAGTTCTTTGCCTATTTTGCCTAAAATTAGACTATCTCATAAAAATCTAAGCAAACATTCTACAATATCAAAATCCCTAACGGCAATCAACAGTCTAAGAAGTATTTTTCGAAAATCTTTATCGACTATATGGATCATACTTGTGATTGCTAATAAATCTTTTAGACAACAAAAATGACCGTTCGAGCATCATAGGTTATAGAAAAAGGTGGGTGGAGTGTGGTGTAAATGCAAAAAAGAGAGAGAGAAAGAAAGAATGATGGGGAAAGTGGAAGAGAGGAGGCTTTGGAAGTAAGGAACTCTCTCTCTTTCTTCTCACAACAAATTCACTCATCGCCTCGTAAAGGAACTTTTCTTCTTCTCACAGACACGCACGTGCGTCGTTGCTTCATCCAATGCGCTTCTTCTCTTAACACTGCTTTCTCTTCTCTCTCTCTCTCACTTAAACCCTACCCGCACAATCATTTTCTTCCTTAAAATGTATGTGATTGATAGGCAATGAAATGGCCAAGTGAGTTAGTCCATGTAATCATCATTTTCTTGTTCCAAGTTTTAGAATCTTGCTATCTCATTCGACCCTTTTCTTACTACCGAAATTTTTTATACCACACTCGTACATTTTAAAACATAATTTGAATTTTTATATTCGGATACCACTTTGACATATATATATATATAGAGAGAGAGAAAGATAGATGCATACACAAGGATTTTCGTGTAAATGAGCAAATACAAGTATCTGCCAAATGCAATCACCTTGTTCCCAAGTCTTGTTCTTGTCATTATGCCTCTTGCCTCACCATCTTCATACCAACCTCGGAACAATCATCTCTCCTTTTTTTTCTTAATTATTTATCTTCTAACTTAAATTTTTAATATTTTTCTTTGGTATTAAAATTATAATTATTTATTTATAGCCGTTAATATTGGATATAGGAATAACCGTTGTCAAATGTCTAAACAGGAATCTGACCCCCAAAAAAATGTTTAAACAGGAAAACAATGTGAACTTTTCGGAAAATGGGTTTAGAGTTTGATAAATTAGTAACGGACTAAAAACAAATATTTGACCCTATACAATTTTTTAGTTTATTTTTGACATTGTTAGTAAGTAACCTGTTTTAACTTTAAGTTGTAGCATTTTCTTGGTGTGTACTCGTTGCACGTTATAACCTTTCAAAGAAATCATAGCTTATGCAGTATAATTCATCAAATACGCAAAAGCTAATCTATCACCAACACAGGAAAGTAAAACTCGAAACTAACCAATTATAAGCTAGCTCCTAGTCAACGCAGCCACACAAAAATCCCTTCTCAAACCTAAAAGATCGATCGATCAAACTAAATCCCACGACCAAAACGGTTCTCTTGCGTACCACGAATCTTCGTTAAAGGCTACAATTATCTTTAGAAAAACAAAGAAAAAGAGAAATTTAAAACTTGACAGAAGAGAGAATATAAATTAAAAACGACTAACTTTTTTTTTTCCGAGATTTAGAAAGATGGTCTCGGAGTTCCCCAATAAGCTTCAGCTGGCAATTGAACAGAATTCATAAGATTCGGAGGCAGTCCTTGTATAAACGACGTAGGATCTTGCATCAACTGTTGCTGCTGCTGCGTCTGCGTCTGCGACTGAGTCTGCGTTTGCGTCCCACCGCCCATAGATGCGTTTCCATCGATATTATTAGCAACCGCTCCAGCCGTTTGCTGCTCTTCCTGATCATCTTCCTCTAACGGCAACCTCTCATACGCAGCGTTCCCAAACGAAGCAGCCATAATCACCACGGGTCCCGAAGCCATGAGTGGGCCCACCACGCTCCCTCCAACGACCTGTCCTTGACCACCGGCTAAGTAAATCGTTAGACCGGACGCAGCCGGTGGAGCCGGAGGAGGGAGAAAAGATCCTGAGAGAGAGAGAATCTCGAAACGTCCGTGTAAGTTAACGACCGATGAGCCACCACCAGGAACCGAAGCTGGTTGTCTTATGGTAACGTTCGTGACGGCGCCGTTTCCGCTCAAAACGCAGATGCCACGTTGGCGACGGCGAGCGAAGACGGTGACGCTTTCCATGACGTCACACCCGTTAGCCACCTCCATTACATGAGATTTGAGGGCGTTTGCGCTGTCTCGAGTGATGATGATTGGTGGTTTTGGTTTGTTTTTGGATCCTGCTGGTCTGCCACGTGGCCTTCTCGTGATATGATTATCTCCTCCTCCGCCGCCGCTTTCTCCGCCGGAGCCGGGAGTGTTTTGATCTTTTCCGGCCGAAGAGTGCTCGTTGGGATCGACCTCAGCGTCTCGGTCGCGTTTTAGCCCGCCAATTCGGTGCTGGTCGATTTCATGGCCATGATTCTGTTGCTGTTGCTGCTGATGATGCTGAAATTGATGATGTGGGTGAAGATGGAGATCTCTTGAGAGAAAAGGTGGAGGAAGAGTGCGAGAGACTTGATCCATATTCTCTTGATTGAAAAAAAAAAAGTAAAAACAGAAAGCCAACAATTGAAAACCCTAATTAATTGACTTCTGATCGTCTTATCATCCGTTCGAATCAAGAAAACCAGTAGCTTAGGTTGAGGATGAGGATGGATACACAATAGCTCAATTCAATTTTTCAAGGGGAAAAGAAAAAGGCTAATGTTTTTGAAGAGGATAAAAGAGAAAGAGGATACAAAGTCATATACATGTAAAATGAAACTGGAGCTGCACTAGTTAGTAATACATGAAGATGAATCTTGTAAGGAGAAGAGAGAGAGGAGAGAGATGGGTTTAGGGTTAGGTCTGAGAGGTTAAGGTTAAGAGAGTATTCAGATGGAAGATGGGTTTAGTTTTGGTTTAGTCTATAGACAGCGTGCCGCATGGGCGGTGTGTGGGTCCTACTTAATGTGTCATTTTGTGGGGTCTACATTTTTTTTTCTATTGTGTAATAATAATTTTCAGTTGTGTGTTTGTCTGCCTTGAATTGGAAAATAAATAAAAAGGTTTTTATTATATTAAAAATCACTGAAAATGTTGGATGAGCTTTACTAGATAGTCCATGGATGCGTGGGATTATATCAAACATTATAATGGACACACAAAGTGAAGCGCACGAGTCTACTTTGAATCTCCAAATTATTTTGTTCTTTCAAATTAAGCAGATAAATTAAACTGATGCATATATGTATGATCTCGTAGCCGGTACATGCCTTAATGTACGGAAATTACATAATTTATCAATTCACGAGTCTTATATTTTAGCCAACATTCACCAGTCTTTTTTCTTTTATATTATATACATATCCTCGATATGTAACGGTAGAACATTGAAACCAGAAAACCTATCTGTATGTATACACACATTCAAAACTTAAAGAGCAACGGAGAAAATTACGATCTGATCTCTATAATCAATACGATACATATAAGGTGTGTAGAAATATTCCATTTTTCCTTTTAAAAGCCATTAGTACAAACAAAACAAAAATATGTACGTCAGTACGTGTTGTGGAGATCAGTATTCATTTTGTGTTTACGTATAAGTTTTAAATTTGCGTTGACAGAGAAATATTAAACAAGCATTAACGAATATTACCACATTTCATATATATATATATATATATATATATATATATTATAGAGGGTTCCTATTGGGTTATTTGTATAAAAACCATATAATTGTTCTTTTGTCCTCGCATATATCTTTTTGAAAATATACTTGTGTTCGAATATATATGTACGTTAAGATTGATTAAGATGCATGAAAGTTAGTGACAAATAATTAAGAAGCTGAGAATGTGAAGAAGAGACGTTATTGTGGTTGAATAATGACAGAACCTGTTTTAAATATTTTCACTTAACATCTAGGAGAAGAGAGTCACTTATTATATATCCTGAGCGTTATGTTATTTTCATGAAATCTGATGCCGATTTTTTTACTCAATAAAATTTATATAGTCCTTATATATATGTATAAATAGATCCGTATAAGATTCAACGATTTATCATCAGTCAAATTATTCTCCACAAAATAACGGTGTTAGTCAGTCAATCATTTTTTTCTCATAATCGGTAATGCTTAGTTGGTTTTTTGTGTTAATAATCACATTATTCTTTTAGTTCTCACGATGCTAATATTACACGATATTATTAACCAAAGTGAAATATATACAAAATATACCGATTAGATAGTGAACACTTTACAGTACTGAAAAATTCCACCATTTCGAAAGTTACCAATTATTCAAGAAAAACTGAATTTAATGCCTTTACTTCCAGTCGATTTGTTTTGTTTTGTTTTCTTTTTTGGCTTTTTAGCATAAAGAAAATTAGTAGTAGTATTGGTAGTATTATTATATATTCAGAAGTTGCTGATGGATTAATTATGTATGTTCGCTCGATGAGGCAGATTCAAGCTCGTAATTCGCGAAGCTTGGGAAAGACTAAAGAGACAGGAAGTAGAGGGAAAGAGAAGATGACAGGCGCGTCAGACGCCGTTGGATGTTTGTCCCCGTCGGTTGCGATGCCTTAACGTAAGCGAAGACCAGCCAGCCAAAAACCAGCTCACACTCGCACGTGCTGCAGCTGACACGCGTGAAGGATTCATTTAATGTAAAAATCACTTAAAAACTATATTGACTCATTATTTCTGGATATGCCTTAAGATCGAAAGGGTGGCTTTCACGTCACGATGGGAATATTTCAGGTCACCAACGGGTGATTTGTGCAAAAATTCCCTACTCAAAATAATTACCTTAAATATGTCAAATTTGTCCCGAAATATGTAAAGTAACTTCAGTTCTTGTTCACCCCACCAAAGTAACATTCTCCGGACAAGACATGTCAAAAAGTGTTTGACAGTGCCACTTCTCGTTACTTTCTGTTCTCCATTTTATTTTTCTTAAATATTTACATGTTTTTTTTAACAAGGAAATATATACATGTTTATTACAATTGTTTTTTTTTTAAGAATGTAAAATTTATTCAATCAAAACAGTGTTACATCAAGTGCATCTGTTTTTTAACTTTAGAAGAAATAAAATTTTACAATAGAAATTAATCTCTCGTATCAAACTAAAAGAGGAGACCATCTTAATAGTCTTTATCTCCTTGAAGCTTGATGGAGCTTAAGCGATTCCTCACACTTTTGTCGATCATCTTTATAAGTTTCACCGGAGGTGAAGGGTCTTCTCCGTGTCGCCTTGAGTTTCTTTCTCGCTAGATGCCATATATTGTAGCTTGAATCGTATACCGTAGCACGAATCGAGACACAATTGTGAGAGATGCGGCTTGGGTGAGATGTATCAAGTCCTCCCAATTCGTGGTAAATTTCTCCTTGAGGATGCCTTTGGCCAGAACAGTCCATATCTGCGAGGAGTAGGAACATCCAAAAAACAGATGTTGTTTGGTTTCCATCGGATGCTGACAAAAATAACAAGCCGGATCAACATTTGCATTCCACTTTAACATTTTTTCTCCCGTAGACAATCTGTTCTGCATAACAACCCAGTGGAAGAAAGAGTATTTTGGTGTGGCGTGCTTGAACCAGACATCTTCCGCCCAAGTACACATCGTCTGTGGTTCTCTGATGAGTAACCGAGTTTCTTACAATTGTTTAGATACATGTACATATTATTTTTCAAAAATTGATGTTGTAATAAGCATGGAATCGCTGTTACATTCAGTACATATAAAGACAGCTCTTGGATCCTGTTATGATTCTACCATGCTTAATAAAGTGGATAAATGTTTTAACATAATAATCAATTTGTTTCATTTTGCGGACAGTATTTAGTTAATGTTGGATACTGGAAGTTTGAAGCTTGTTAAATGTTGTTCAGTTAGACCAGCATTATATTATTGATATCTTAATTATTGTATGTATATCTAGCTTTTACTATTTTAATGTGATTCATTAATTGTGTCGGAGTATTTAGTTATGATAATGCAGCGTTCACACATTAAATTATGTATACTACTATGCATCCCTTACAAGTTCATAATGTCTACCAAAAGGTCATTTGCTTTTGTTTTCTTCTTGATTCCATATTATATGCATGATATATTAAAAAAAAATATTCAACCAATACGATGAAAAAACAAGGAATTATAGATATGATGATTGGGGAACAACCTTGAGGAAAATCCTTAGTGTCTATACAACTATACATATATATATGTATATATGTGCGCGTGTGTTCTATATTTTACACATATATATATAGCTTGCACCTTTGTTCGATAATCATATACATTTTAAATTACAACGTTAAAAAAAAAAACGTTCATGAACATGTAAACCTACGGACGGTATCCTCTTTGAATTGCTTTACTTTTTAAGGTTAAAATTTGGAATATATTACCAAAAAGTGATTCTTACAAAGATTTCCGAGAGCAAACTTGATCGGATGGATGCAAGGAGTTTTTAAATCGAAAGACATTATAAAGGCAACATAGTTTTTCAATCGAAGTCGAATACGTATGCCAAGATCGAGATAAACATATATACGTCATAAACACTAGTAAACCACGAACAACCACCACAATTCGAAACGTCAAGATCCGATCCTCTTTTCATTGTTTCAACATGGTTCTTTACTCTTTTTTTATATATAACGACTCTTAACCTCTTTTCATCGATCCTACTCAAATTTCCATTTTCATTTTACCCAATGATCTATAATTCTATTTTACCTTCCGTGTATATTTTTAGTATGTCTTTCTTTAACTGTTAAACTTTTCCATGTAAAACATGTATTAATTGTACTCCGCACATGATGATACAGTGGTTTAAAACTTAAGGCTAAAGACGTAAAAATTTACTATTTTACTTGCGTGTAAAGCATTAGTAATTACAAAGAGAGAGAGAGAGAGAGAGAGAGAGAGAGAGAGAGAGAGAGAGAGAGAGAGAGAGAGAGAGAGAGAGAGCAGAATGTGTGTGTTGACCGCATGGGAAGAAGAGAGAGATGTAGGTTGAATCTGAAACCAGGACGTGTGGGCGTGATTCTCCCCTTTCCCACCCATCTCCCGCGGATCCCGCTGACACCCGACCCGAACCGGGTGGGTGGACATCGGACTAACCACTCGCATCTCGCTTCATTTGTCTTCACTTGAAATCCAATTAGGAGGGGGCATGTGGCTCTGAAACCCATATTACTATATTTATAACTAGGTAATTACTTTTTATTATTCTTTTTAATACCACCAAATCTGCAACCATTAATACACTTGGATCATTACTCACTAAAGCCTAATTAACATGTTATGTAACCATTTTCTTGCAGATATCGAGAAATTTGAGAATAACTAGATATTTGGACTGTTCTGTGTATAATCTCTTAGCTCAGTGATTCGCATATGCTCATTAATGTCGTATCTTACTTGGGTTTCCTCTTCCTTTTCTATGTCTAGAGATTTTTTATTTTTTAACTTGGGATAGCTAACTCTCTCTTTTTTTGAAAAAAAAACTTGTCATCTGTTTATCTTAAATCTTTCAAAATTTGGGAGGCAACATGTTCACTATAAATCGGTTAACTTAAGTTCATGAAGTATAAATAAACTCAAATTTAAATTAAGCATTAGTTATTGTTGTAAACTGTAATTATAAATTTTGAAGTGCCATAAAACCGAGGCTGAGATGTTTTAGATGTACGTAGTTTTTCAATTTTGAATGTAAACAAAAAGACTAACATATAGTCTCTGATCAGAACTTACAAACTTTCGATTTGTATTAATATCGTTGTATATGAATTATAGACGATTAAAGAAAGAGTTAACAACACAAAGAAATTTATGCTTTTATTGAATGATATATTTTGGTAACTTTTCATGTTGAAACTTTCATTTAAAACATCTAGTTTTCTCAGTCACAACCTCAAAATATGGAAAATATAGATTTCATACTAGTGGAAATTAAAAGCTAATGGTTGATTAAAGTTTGTTTAAAGTGAGAGGAAAGGACGGACGTGATAGTTTAGACAAAAAGAAAACATAGCTCGATGCATTTCTTTGGCATCCAATATATTTTTAGATCTGTGTAAATCCACGTCGGAATTTATCTTATATATAATTTGAAGGAAAAGGCACTCTAGCTTAAGGACATATAACGATCGGATTTGGAATATTAAACTCGCAATAGACAATTATATTTCTTTATTGTTTAGTGTTGAAGAGAGACAAAAGACATAGTCATCTATTTAATTAATTATAACAAGATATTACTAAATGTCATTTTCGAACCTATATTATACACTACCTAATCAATCAAGTTGGTGTTAGTGTCACCATAACATCGTTCGTTTAAATCGCTTGCACACCGTTCCATTTTTTCTCAAGACTTAACTCTTGGAAACTTCCCTTTTAATTTCTATCTACCTAAAATGTACCCGCTAAAATCAATATAATTGATCCACTATATATGCGACTCAAAAACCAAAAAGATACATGTTGAAAAATGGGGAAAATGAAAAATGGGAAATAAGAGTTCAAAATAATGGACCGAGACCGAGGTTGTCATGTGAGTGATAGCGATTTATTTAGAATTATCAATTATCTTTTATCTTCTTTTGAAACGAACATATGCCTTGAGAACTTGGTGCCAAAATGTCAACGATTCTCTAAACATCAACTTAAGCATCAAAGCACGACGTGTTTGAAGTATTTAAATTATATGTAATTACAATCCTAATCTGTTTATAAATATGTTTTTATTGAATTCATATATTTTTTTGTTGTGCTGATTATGGTTCTTCATTTCTTATTTAATCAATGATAGAAACAATAATATGTTTATAATGGATTATTAGTTCAAGGTTACTTTCAATTTTCAGAGTTGAAGAATGAGAAAAAGGGAAAAAGTACTTTCTCAAAAAAAAAAGGAGAAAAGTAACACTTATATATAAACCTTTGACAACTAGTTACTATTTCAAAGATGTAAAAGAAAAAGACGACTAGTCTTTCAAAATATAATTATTAAATGGCCTAATTCAGCTTTTTGTAAATCATATATAAACGGATGAACAAAAATGCGTTTATATTAGATCACATGCTAACTTTAAAATATTGTTGATAAATCATTATTACAGTAATAATCACGATTTTCTTTTTTGAAAAATCCTTTTATACTATTATAAATTTTTAAATTTTTGTACAAAAATTAAAAAATATTAAAAAATTGAATGTAAATGAGACAAAAAAAAACAGTATATACTCGAAAGATATTATTGCGATTATAGCCGTGAGATATACGTATATTATATATCTATCAGCTTAAGCAAACTTATTTTGGGTCTAATACCGTAGATAGAACTCCCAAACGTGTTTTATGCATAAAAATCAATATATTGACTTATTGAAGATTCTTATAGAAGAGTCTTATAAGAAGTAGATAAAAATTTCCCAGAGGATGAAAAATACCTATTATACTATTGTCGTAAAATTATATTTCCATAACTAAATTATTTAACAACTAACTATCACAATAACTATATAAAGAAAAATATCTTAAAAAAAAAGGAAGAAACACAATCACAATAACGATAAGAACTTACTTTTTATAGAGAGACAGTCAAATATATATGATAAAATCCAACCTATGCATATGGAGGTTGTAAAAAGAACATTTTTATAGTTAGAAATGTGATCCCAATTGATAGATAAAAAATAGTATACAGGAAGGAGCTCCGACATGTATGGAAGTGCAAGCTTTGTTATTCTAATCATGTAAGAGTTTGATAATATGCATATGCACCAAAATGATTGCGTTCGATGTAATAAGAAATTAAAAAGTGAGCTCGAAATTAAAATTTACAATAATATATAGACGAAGTTAAATGACTAGCTTTCCCAGTTTCCTATTATTTACATATATATTTGTATTTATAAAATACGTTATATCATTTCTTTGGCTTGTTCATATAGATTTATTAACGAATCTCACGTTCATGAGCGCCTTTAAATAGTTACATATATCTATGTACTTTTTAATTTTAAAAACAAAGATAGCATTTCTATGTTTATTTAAGTTCAAAATTTCACTTATTCATTAACTGATGACATTCCATTCCCAAAGCAAGACAATATATATGTCTGCGATTAATCATATTACCTACAATCGAGTATCTTCATACTTTTTGATGTTTTAATTTCTTTTAATCGTGAGATTGCCTGATTGGCTAATTAATCAGGTCTACATGTTGTATTTTATTTGTAAAACTGAATTTTTGATCGGTTACGCTTAAATTGTAAAAACCGAAATGTTTTCAAACACTTATCCAACAGCCTAAAACCTTACACACCCGGATTTCAGATGACCATCACAATCATCATATGACAATCGTATCTTTCGGATGATAATTTCGTAAAAAAAACATACCCTTTACAATATCAGCAACCACATCGATCGTATTAGGATTAATCCACTTATAACTCGAAATAACTATGTATAAAAATATTTACAAATTAAGAGATAGCTAAACCTAGCTGTCAAACAAGAAAAATTAAACCTAACTTATTCCCATGTCTAGAGAGCTTAAGCCTTAACAACTCTTGAAGTTTTACGGCATAAGCGTCATTAAGCTCATCAAGTCCATTAAAAAGTGTTATTTTTTTGTAAATAGGCTTCAATCTTAGCCCAGGCCCAATAATATGTAGGACAACCTAGACAAGTAAGCAACTAGTCACAAATTGATAAAAATGCATGAAGCATCAACAATGAAAGAGCAAGGCATCTTAGTACTCTCGAGATCGGACCTCTGTATTTTACATTTGCGGGGTTTTTGTTTTTGGTCGGAATTTACATTTGTGCTTTAATTTATGACAAGACAACCGAACCGACAAAAAAAAGTATATTGAAATGAACCTATTTGGAAATATTAATAGTCAAATATCCAAACATAAATTTAAACTAGTGAAAAGGTCCTTTAATATTTCCAAATAGTGATCAAAGATTCATAAATTTATGAAGATATATAATATAGACGGGAACTGATTATATGTATGTACTATGTATTAATACAATGTAAATGTATTAATACAAGAAGACAAAATACTGTATTGATACAAGGTAAATGTCAGAATTGTTTTGATCAAAAGTCTTTATAATAATCCAAGAAAATTAAATTTTATTGAGTAGTAATTTAATTTTCCTAATAACAAAGGGAGATATATCGATCAAAGCCAAACTCATCTAGACATGGACCGAGACGGCGAGTCGTCGGTGGCTGCCGGCGGAGGAGATCCTTGTCTATGTAGGAGCTCATGTGCTAATGCTTGGAGGTCACTGTTTCCACCACCGAGCCCCACGGCGGCGGGGGAAGATGACGATGATCCACCGTATTGTTGACGTGGATCAACAAATCTTCGTTGTTGTGTAGCCCACGACGAAGACGACGTCGTTTGATCAAAGATAGAGGCTAAATCGTACGTCGAGGGTAATGGTGAGACTGATGAAGGTAAATCGGTTATGGAAAGAGGTGGAGTAGGAGTGAAGAAGAGTGCTTGTTGTTGCGTTTGCGGTAGAGGCGCTGGTCGCGTTTGCGGTTGAGGTAGCTCTAGGGATGCCAAATGGGCTTGTAAGTAAGAAACTTCTGCCTGTAGATTCACCACCTACAAATTGTATGACATATGTAAATATATATATATATATATACTATGTACACTATGTACACTTGACGAGTAAAAAATTGGATGACATATGTAAATATATATAGGGTTAAAGACTAATCATGATTAGTCGGAAAATAGAAAGGGACTAATCATTAAAGTTTCTGAAAATTAGGTGAAGATGCAATTGATTGCCAACATAATACGGTTAATTTGATCAGTGAGATATCTTTCTCTTAGTTTTTACTTTTAATACGCTTAACGTGCATAGTCAAAATATCCCAAATTAGTTACTACGCGTTTTTTCAAAAAATTCCCGATTTCATGTAATTGTTAGTTACTTAAAACTCTGACTAGTTACCTTTTATTCACCTTGATTAGCTTATCGATTAGAAATGGAACTAATGCATGTTCGATTGTTAAGGTTGTTTATGTAAAATATTAACATAGAAAGTAAATAATAAAACTGACACGCATCATACAGATTCATCCTTTATTCTCTTTGTTGAAGGATCACATTTCACCCCCGTATTACATGGAATATAGGCATGAATTAAAGACTACCTGTGTGTCACAAATCATCGAAAATAAATAGAAAAAAATTAAACTTAAAGAACCTAATAATATCGAATTAAATAAAATGATTATTTTTTCTCATTAGAAATAAAACGATTTATAGTGAAAGTAGGAATATATGGGTATATATACGTATTAACACAGAAAATTGTACCCCGACCATTTCCCGAAAACCAGCAAAAAACTCTATATATTTGCAATGGGACTTGTCGACGACCATATCATTTTTATATAATTACCCAGTACATTATCTTATAATTTTCAATAATAAATTAACCAGACAACCATTCTTCTTTTTTTTTTTTTCCTTTATACTCAAGTAGAAGATTACAAAACCAAGAAAACTCAAGAAAATGACAAACTCTCGGAAATATCAGACGATCTCATTAACACACAAACAAATTTCATACCTAAACGAACTCTCATGAGTTTAAAATTATAGTACTATATTATTCCCAAACGAAACCGAAGTTTGCTACTTTGGAAAAGAAAAAAAAACGTAACGTTCATCAAAATATCGGGGTTATTAGTTTAATTCGATCAATTAGTATGTTTCACATAGTATTATTTTCAACACATTCTGATAATCCTTAACCAAAAAAAGGTCAATTAGTTACCTGTTGCTGAAGAGCAAAGATGTGAGCGACGCAACCATAGATAGGGTCCCTTATCCGAGCCTGAGCTTCATAGCAAATGGTTACAACTGCATCGGACCGTCGATGCACCGGTATGTGTAAGAGAAGCTTCGAGACGTTGCTGGCTCCAAACACTTTATGGACCGCCGCAAAATAAGCCGAGCCTTGCTCCGAGTCGAAGTATGGTGCGAATATGCAACCCGGAACACACTTTCTCCTTAGGAACTTGCAAGCACCACATGGCCCACCACCACCACCGCCACTACTTCCTCCTCCACCACCAACACTACTTCCTCCACCACAACCACCACCTCCCACGGCGGTGATTGTGTTTCCACCGCCGCTCATGACAACCCCCACGGACGATCAACAAATTGTTGTTCTCTCTCTCTCTTGCGTTTAGGTTTTTATTTTGATGGGAAAAATTGAGGAGTTTTTGTGTTTTTGTTGTTGAAGAAGAGAGGAGAATTTGAGAAAAAGGGATGAAGAGAGGAGAATTAGGGTTTGGTAAATAGGAGAGTATAGAGAAGAAAGTCTTTAAAGCCACGCGACGACAAAGCTAACAAAAAAAACGATCTTCCTCTCTCTCTTTTACTCTTTCCCTCTCACATTTAGTTGTTTGCGTGAAGCAAACATGCGATAAGTCTCTTCCATTATTCTTTCTCACAACCTTTAATTACTTAATTATATTATTTTATTTATAAATAAAGAGTAATAAAAAGAGAAAAATGTTTAATTGTCTATCTCTCTTGGAACATCTCGTGATTAATTTTTATTTTCCAAGAAAAATAAAGTTCTTGCTGCTTTCTTTATTGATGTGAATTTACATGTGAATTGTATTTTTTGGAGATATCTTACGACTCTTAGTTTATTCTTCTATGTTTAAGCTACGTACAAGATTTATAAAGAAAATGCATTTTATATCCTTAAATATGTTTTAAACTATGACTTGACGGCCTATTAAATTAGGCCATCAAATAATTTTAAGCTGTGGCTTGTAACCATAGTGAAAATAGTGCATTTCTCCCAAATTTGATAGCTATAGTGTTTGAATTCAAGCTGCGAGGTGGTTAAGACGCCAGCTATTAATTTATTTTCTTAAAGATTGATTTTCCCAAAATTGTATTATCTGAAAACAAATGCAAAAGCATACGTAACTAATCACATACCTTTCTAAGTAAAGGATAAATATTTTGATTAATTAAATGAATTAGTTACGCTTACTAGAGAATGACTCGATCGCCAACTTATCTTTCCAAATTTATAAAAAAGAGCTCTGTTAAATCATTCATTCCCATATATAGTAATATTTTTTCCCTCATATTTTCATTTTAGTAATTCACGTTTCCCATCGAGATGATTTCCGTAAAATTAATGTAGAATACGGTTGTGTTGGATTCGATTTCGGTTTAGAAACGAGATACGAGTGAACCAAATGAACCAGGAGTCACAATGTCTTAGTCTCTCGGTCATGAAGGAAACAAATACGTAGTTACGTGTACCAATAATATAAGTAGACGTGGTTATAATGATTGTAACTGCCTAGCGAGTGAAAGATCAAAACAAATGAATGACGTCATTCTTCACGTGGGTCCTACACGCCGTTCCCTTCGAAAATTAGTAACGCCCCCTTGCTTCCCTCATTGTCTCCCCCACGCGTATTTATACTTATCATATAGTATATAGATGTACTCTGTATAATTCATTTTATAAAGAAATATATAGTTATATGAAAAAAAAAATGAACCGAAAAAACCGAAGGTTACGTTGATAATATGTAACCTACAAGATGATATCAACCTAATAAATTAACGTGTGAAAAAAAAAATCAGCATATATATATATATACTAATATACATCATACATGCATGAACATTTAAAAGATATGCATGACCATACAATTTTGTTTGGGCATGAATTAATGCATGAGTCAAAAGACAATTCTTACTATCATAAATGCTATTCTGTTTTGATCATTGATTAGTCAAAAACATCGTCGAGTTCTATAATAGCGTACTAAATGAGAAATGAGATAGTGTAGGAGGTGGAAGTGACATGGTACCTCAAATCTTGGCGATGTACAAAAAGAGTCGAACATCGGATCAAACATTAATTAATTTAATTCGCTATGACTTTCCTCTTATATTGTTTCTTTGTAGCTCACTGTATAGTTAATTATAGACCCTTAATTCTATACAGTATTACATTGTCATTGATCGATGCGCTTTTGTTTGTTTTGCTGGTGAAACCTTTTCTTCCACTCGTGCAGTCAACCCCCAGTTTGCTTATCATAATATTCTCATCGAATCTGGTAAGGAAAATATATGGATTATACATCTTAATTATTTTCAAATTTAATTGACGTAATAAAATCTATCACATACATGCGTTATTTAGCTATTATTCCTTTGAACTCTAAGAACCACCGGTCAATATATACTAAAAAATAATAGTAGAAAATGATAATGTGTCCCCTAAAACCAAGGCAAAGCGGTTGATTCAAGAGTTTCAAATTAAATGGAAGCTGATGATACAAGAAGTACACCACTAATTAGTCTTCTATTTGTGATACTTAATTATTCTCTCCGTTTCAGAAAGAGTGTTATTCTGACATTTTTCATACAAATTAAAAAATAAGATAAAAGGTCTTTTATACCCTTATTAATTTGCAGAAAATGATTTTTAGAATTATATTTATAATTAATTTTCTGAATTTATTGAAGGTAAAAATGGTATTTTATATTAAAAATTACATTGGAATTTTAAAACGATATTTTAAAAAAAACAAAAAAAAGTGTTAGAACGACGCTATTTATGAAATAGAGAGAATAATATTTTAACTAATATCTAGCAGAGGGTAATTTTGAACCCGGTTGTTCACTTACTCGTAGCAACTATAAACTATTTTTCTTTAATAAAAAGGTGCAGCTTAAGACAACTTTTATTATCATTTGTTTATTATCTGGTATTCAACCCTTTCAACTGGAAAATTTGATGAGGGGAGACAGTAAGCAAATATTCTTGAGAATTTCTCTTACAAAAAATACGTATCGGAGTACTCAGTAATCGTAGATTTAGATCTAGCTAGCACTAATTGCAAAATTCTATAATATTAATCGGAATGAATTGTTAGTTTAAAATGTATATTAATGCCCATTGCCCAGCGACTTGTTTTTGTATTTCATAAACTGACAAATGATTCCTCAAAACTAGAAATGTGTGGCCTTGAACTATTATATTTTTAAATATTATATATGCTTAAGCTTAACTATATATATTATAAATTATTTATACTTTAAAACATAATCCCAAAATCCTTCTAAGTTGTTTATATAACCACAAACACTAAAACGCACGCACACGCATACATATGACTTCATTTTACGTCCAATTGATGAAAAACAATAAATGGCTAACTGGCAAGAATATATTCATGTATATTCATTCATGTATATTCAATGCACTATTTTCTTTTCTCAAAACAAAAACTTCCTTTGCTTTGATATAATAATGGGCCACTGGTCGGATAATTTTCAGACAGTGGTTGTATATCAGACGTAAGACGGTTTGATCCATAGTTCTGGTCGCATTGTTCAAATTCGACAATCTTTCGGTCGAATCTGAAATTCAGTTCCTCTACTTTTTCAAAGTACATCATCAAAATTTATGGGCCTTTATATAATGATAATGTAGAAAAATGAAAGTATACAACAGTAATATATTTTAAATCAAATGATCCTTTAAGTTTACTGATTAATGATATAAATATATTTTTTATTTAAAAAAAAAAAGAAAAAGGTGCAAGTTCGAATAATATAACTCATATAAAAAGCTCTATGGGGCATTAAACTAAAACATTTGAGAGTTCAGGGGCTGGAGATGGAGGCTAATGATGTAAAAATAGAGTAGAGAGACTTGTAATCAGCAGACAAGAAACCGAACGGCGCGATTATCTTCTCCAACGCCCCCGTTTCCTACTTACTCTTAATTAAAATCAAACTTATGAAGTATATAAATGAATGCTGAAGAATATTTTAGAATATGCAAAACCATTTAGATAGAAGCAATCAGATGGTTTGAAATGGTCTTGAGTCCAAGCAGAAGAACCCTGAGCTTCGGATCACTTATGTATAGAATACTGATTAATTCAAACCACACTGATGAGGTGTATTCTAGATCAATATTGTAAGAGCATTTTCATCCTTCATTCTTATAAGAGGTTGTTAAACATTGTTTAATATTAAATTTAACATCTTAAAAAAATATTAAACATTGCTTATTTCTCTCTATCTCTTTTTCTTCCAATTACATGGTGCCATATGTTATATACTCACTAAAATGAAATTCTTCCACAAGAGTTTATTAATCTGAGATATAAGTTTTTTTCTCTTTTTTATTTTTTTTAAAAATACTTAAAAACCCTTACAACCCCGCTATATCTTTGCAATGGAGATGGTCTAAGCTGATGAGGAGTTACAAATTCGATATCACAATTTAAATAACATATTTTTAGTTATCGCCATCTATATTTTATGTCAAAAGTTTATAAATTGATTATTCTCTTAATTTAGGAGTAAATTCACAAATGGAATACATCTTGAAAGTTTGTATTTGGTTTGTATGAATATAAAAATTTGGAACGAATCTCATGCTAATTTCTAGAATCTTTTGTATCAATTAAATTAAGTGGTTAAAAATAATACCTCTGATGTTTGGGGTTATTAAGTTATTAACATTAGTGTGATGAAGGCATTACAAACGTTAGACCATAGACGCAATAAATGGATTAATATAGGCTCACTATTAGAGAAGGGATGGTGAGGTAAGTGAATGAATGCTAGGTCGGTCTGACAGTGAAGTCATGTGAGTCATGCCACGTGTCTAGATCTTACGACGTGGGTTGTTTTGTTTAGTGATGATATGGAAACCGCGTGCTTTTCAGTGATTATTTTTACAACAAAGAAAAAAAGTTAATGGAGAAATGGATTATATTGGACATAATTTGTTGGTTTTGTGGAAAATTTAGTTGTAGTCATCGTATCTTAGAATCTAGAAAGTAAGTATAAGTTAGAATGGAAAGATTTAGTTATTTGAGTTTCGTTGAAACCTTTAACTAGTCCCACTTAATATTTATGATAACAAAATTATTGTAAATTAAATTATTTGCATGCATGATGTTCTGATTCGAAACCATTTCCCAAATTTTGATTTTTAGGTAAGAAATTTGGTCTAGTTCTTTAGGATTTAAAACCCTTATTTGTAAAACTGAATTCAGTTATTGAGAGTTTCCAGATTTGTTGAGTTACCATCAGTGGCTAAATGAATAAATTATCACGATAAAATTATTCTTTTAAGAAAAGTTAGTAATTTTGAAGAGTTTTCTTGAATAAATGATTATATGTTTTAGATAAACAAAATATGACATTTCATAATATAATATAAATGGAAACATTAAAAAGAGATGACTGGAACGAGTGTGAGCTAATAATGTCGGGTGAAACAGAAACAAAAAGGAAGAAGCAACAAAGAAGGTCAATACTCAAGAGATTGGGTTTTCAATCTCTCTGCACGTATAGTATCACTTTGACCGTGATCGTGACCGTGATTTTGATAGTGGAGAATGGAAAAGAGAGATATCATTATTAAGCTGTCTTGTCTCACTTACTTACAAAAGCTATAACTATTGATACTTGCATGGTTTTTGTGTTTGTGTGTGTTTCTGTGTCAATTGTGCATCCCTTCCTACGTTTGTCGCAGTCCAGTTTTTCTTAAAGTCTAAACCAACCCTCGTGATGATACGCTCTTATGTATAGGGTTATGGTCTGAATATCAGACATGGCCATGGCAAGATATCTCCTTCCTATATTTTCAATGTCTATGGGCTCATGTGGGGATATCTATACGTGTATACACTCAAATCCGCCCATAAGAGAGAGAGAGAGAGAGAGAGAGAGAGAGAGAGAGAGAGAGAGAGAGAGAGAGAGAGAGAGAGAGAGAGAGAGAGAGAGAGAGAGAGAGAGAGAGAGAGAGAGAGAGAGAGAGAGAGAGAGAGAGAGAGAGAGAGAGAGGTGACAAAAGATGTGAAAGCATGAAAAGAAATGTGCATGGGGAGGGGCCGCTAGGGCTAGAATTTATGTAATTCAATTCGCGCAAATAGGGTTTTAGGGGGTATGTACATTTGAGTTAAATAAATCGATTTTCATCATTTATGTATACTAAGATGTATTTCATTTGAGTCAATTTGTGAAATGTCGTTGATATATAGCGTTTGTTTGGTTTAACTGTCTCACTAAATATATCTTGAACATGTTACAAGAAGATAATTTACAACATTGAATTTTGGAACCCATATTAATTGTTCATACGAAGATATATTAGATTTATATACATGAGTAGCATTCACGTAAAGACTAAGAAAGAAAAAAAAAATATATATTTATATATAGCCGATCATTCAATAGTGTTAACAAACTTACATTGACTGTCAAAACCCAAACACTTTACATTTATTTATATAAATGACGATATAAGTTCATCGACTTGGCCTGATGTAAACAAATAACCCATCTCTTTCTCTCTCCCTCTGTCTATGATGACAGGAAACTTGAACGGCGGTGGGAGAGGAGGAGAAGGACCGTGCGGGGCATGTAAGTTCTTGAGGAAGAAGTGTGTGAGAGGATGCGTTTTTGCTCCTTATTTCGATGCAGAGCAAGGGACATCAAGGTTTGCAGCGGTTCACAAAGTGTTTGGAGCGAGCAATGCCTCTAAGATGTTACAGAGATTGCCTTTGAACAAGCGGCTTGATGCGGTTGTCACGCTCTGTTACGAGGCCTTGGCTAGGCTCCGTGACCCTGTTTATGGCTCTGTTGGCCATCTCTTCTATCTTCAACACCAGGTCCTTCGTTAACAATTGATTTTTAGAAACAAGAGTGATTATAACCTATATATTTTAACTTACCAGCAATACTCTGTGTGTATGTATATTTAGGTTATGAATTTACAAGCAGAGCTTGCTCATGTTCAAGCTCGTCTTTCAACGTTTCAGCGTTTTTCTCTAGAGCCGCCACAAGAAATGCAGGAGCCGCCTTTCGATCTCGCGCATAACAATGAATATCCGTTGGAAACAACTAACTTGGATTTTGTGTGGGAAGAGGGACAATTACCTCAAGCTGGAAATGAAGATGGGGAATTTCAAGAACTGGCGATGCAGTTCGTCTCCAAGTATTTACCCGCAACCAAACTTCCGTCTCGCACTTTCGGTTAGGGCAAACCACAAAAGATTCAGACTTATGTATTATAACAACGGAGAAGTGTCTGGAAGATAATGACGAGTCTTTGTTCGCAAAAGATCTTTCTAGGCTCATCCAAAACGATAGCTAATTCTTATTATTTATCATCTTAATGTTTTAATCAAGTGTACTTTTAGTTTTCAAAATAAATCTTAGATCTAGTTCAGTATTTTTTTTCGGTAGAATTATATTCGGATTCAGTTTTTAGTCTACATTGGAAAAAATAAAAATAATCTTTTTATTTATTTTAAAATAGAGTATCCGTACGATTGTATTAGTGTTGTTTGTACTGATGAAACACATTATTCTACGTTTTAAAATTTAATTATTCTTTTCGAAAATCAAAAGACAAGAAAAAAAACTAATTTATTATTGATATATAAATTTTGAGGTAGTTAAAATTTAAAAAGAGAGAGAGGATCAAACAAATAAGTAGATAAAGATTTGGTTCTCAAAACTGTAGAAACTTGATTTTCTGAAAATTGATTCCCATGAGTATTATAGACAACATATTATTATTATTATTATGAAAATTGATTTTCTATTAAAAAGCAAGTGGATTAAATATAGGCTGAATAGCAGCTAAGCAGCCTTTGACACCAAAAATGAAGAACCTAATTTGAACTTACAGTACAAACCTTGTCAGGAGTGGGCTTTTCATCAGTTATTTGGAAGGCCCATGGAAATCAAAATGGGAGTTGTACGGTTGAGGAAGCAGAACATCGATGAAATCGCTAGCAAAATCATTTGTAAATAACGCAATATCAAGTAGTCAACAATCCATTTATTTATTAAAATGGAAGATTACATCGCATTTCAAGATATTTACTGTATCATTTTGTACAATGATTTAGACGTTCCATACTGAAAAATATATAGTTTCAGTTAGAAGGACCATTTATAATATATCGGTGGAAATAGTAAAGTTTTCATATAATTCTTCTTCTTGTATGTAAATTTCCAAGGTTTTTCTTCTTATGACTAAAACTTTAGGTATCGATTTCTGATGAACATTATCCATATTAACAACAAAAGATTCATTCAAGAATTGTGTAACATCATTAATTCCCAACATTGATGAAATGACTACTTCTGTTGATCGAAAATAGCAAGAAAACAAGAAAATAGAGCCTTTTGTTTAAGCAAATAATATAACAACATTGCAGCGATAACAAAGTTAATGATGTACTTTTTTAAATACATATTAATTGTCGTGTATACATTCCTCTAATATTTGATTTGTCAGCTATTGTTTTGGACTATGGACCAAAAGAAACGTGATGTAAACAGTGCTTTTCTTCTAGACGGTTTTCGATTCATATCTAGATAGTGGAATTTGTTTGGTTTATGTTTTTTTTCCTTTTTTGTTCAAATGTTTTTGGTTGTGTAATTTTGTGGATTAATCATTCTTCCTTCCGTTGTTTAATGTATCAGATTTCAGTTCATAAAATTTCAAATGAAAAAAGTAAAGAAAAGTTATGTGAACGGTAAACCTAACCAAAAAATGAATTTGGATTAAAAACATCATGCGGCACGCGCATTCACTATTAGAATAATATTGTTAATATCTATATAGCTGTAATCGATTTGAATCATTAATTTATTTACAACTTTTAGTATAGCCATCTACGATCTATCCTTAGGAACGTAGGGATCATCGTTCCCCTAGTATAGGGTATCGTATAGTCATAGAGAGAGCTTCAGGATTAAATATATAAAGAATACAGAAAAATTGTTAACCCCAAATCACCGACGGCCACACAAAAAATTGTCCCTTAAGAAATGTATTATATTTTGTCCACTATTTATGTAGTAAAATCAAATTTTGATCGGTATGAAAGCTGTTAGCCTGTTACATTGAACAATCTCTATCGATTTTATCTGATTACATAGAATACAATATTTTGCTTTTTTTTTTGTACAAGGGAGTCGGCATTGATATATAAACTACAAGAGATTACAAAAAGAAAATTAATTAGAAAATAGTTTTTTTGTTATGTTAATTCAGAAGTTATGTTGTCTTTGCACCAAAAAAAGAAGAAGTGAAATTTCGGATCCAAAACTCGAACAGCTTTTTCATGCCGATATCAAAATTCACGACATATTTATTGATAAACGGTAATAAATATTTTAACAGCCAAAATATTCAATAACTGTTTTTGGTTTTTGACAAAAATGACAAGAGTGATATTATATATATAATACGTATATATATATATATATTTACTCAATAACTGTTAAATAACCCACCAAAAAACATCCATATACTGTTTGGGATAAGTCTTTAACAAAAATTAAAGTCTTCTCCTATGCTTCTATTTTTTTCTACGGGAAAAAACGAAAACTATCAAATCACATGATTGATTGAAGTTTTAGCTGTTTTTTTTTTCTTTTTCATTTGCTACTTTTTGTCTTTTGTTGTAATGGTTGGAAGTTGAACTCTTAACTAATTAGTTATATATATATATATATGTGTGTGGGATTAAACGAAACCGAGTAATTAATCACAATGATATCATTTTAAATGATGTGATATATATATATATATATATATATCTATTATATCAAACTCAATTGGTAGTTGTTTTCTATATCGCTAAGTTTAAATTTCGTAGCGGTAAATGGAAACCAGATTTTGGACTTCGACCAACAACATCTACCGATATAATTTGTTTCTTACTTAGTAATTTAATTACAAATTTACAATGACCGATCCAAAAAGTTAAATTAAATTATATAAAAAAGGAAGATAGCTCGCAACACCAACAAAGCAACGGCCCGAGAATAACGGTAGCTTTGTGTAGACACACAAATAAGATAGTTGCAGGATCATGTGCCACGCCTACGCTTTCTTTTCTATTCCATCTCATTCACGCGTTTTTTTCTTTCATTCTTTTAATTATATATAATCACAATCCAAATAATATCCCTTAATCTATGCCTAGAACATGCATAATATAATAATTAATACATTCCACCACTAAAAGCCAAAACTACGGTATATAGTAGTAAAAAAAGAAGAAGCTCATTTGTACATAGAGGATGAAAGAATGAAAAATAACGGAATCCAATAATAATGTTTGTAATAAACGGACATAGAATGTGAATTATTATATACTATAGCATAAATGATCTGTAAAATGTAGCATTTGATGTAACGGATATAGAAAAATATAATAAATCAAATATGTAATAAAGAGATAAGAGGGCAAAACGGGGAACATGTCACGCGGATAGGTGTGAGAGAGTTAATGACGTAGGTTCCGTTATTTAAGAACCCTCAAGAGGTTCCCACACCACCACCAAAGAGAGAGAGAGAGAAATGGGGAGAGAAGAAGAAGATGACAACAAAGGAGGAGGAGGAGAGAGAAAGCTGGGAGATGAAACGGCGACGTCTTTATTGGACGGAACGGGATTGGTTTGTGTAACGGGAGGGACTGGATTCATTGCTTCTTGGCTCATCATGCGTCTCTTACAACGTGGCTACTCCGTTCGAGCCACTGTTCGAACCAACACAGGTTCGAATCGGTTTTCATTATTGTTTTACCAAATGCGAGTAAAATTGCTGTTTATTTTAGGGTTGATTGTTCACATAAAGTTAAAAAGAGATATAAGACTATAGTTTATAATTTTAAATATAACATTTAAAGTTGATTTTTGGTTCCACGATTAAAATATGCTTTTTAAAAAAAATGGATGTGAAAAATTTATTGTACTTGGCTGGAATTATCTGTCAGTGTGTAGGATCTTGAAGCTCCATAGCTCCATGCATCTTCTGTATAGAATGTCAACCATTGATTATATGATAAATAATTAATAACCATATGATATTAATGATGTTAATATCTCACAATTTGCTTATTTATTAAACACAGAAGGGGATAAGAAAGATATATGCTACCTAACCGAACTCCCATTTGCATCGGAGAGGCTTAAAATATTCACCGCCGATCTCAACGAACCGGAAAGCTTTAAACCGGCGATCGAAGGATGCAAAGCCGTGTTCCACGTGGCTCATCCTATGGACCCGAACAGCAACGAAACCGAGGAGACCGTAACGAAACGCACCGTACAAGGTCTCATGGGGATACTAAATTCGTGTTTGGGCGCTAAAACCGTCAAACGCTTTTTCTACACGTCAAGCGCCGTAACTGTTTTCTACGGCGGCGGCGGAGAAAACGGAGGAGAAGTAGACGAGAGCGTTTGGAGCGACGTGGAAGTGTTTAGGAATCAAAAGGAGAAGAGAGTGAGTAGCTCTTACGTTGTGTCGAAAATGGCGGCGGAGACGGCGGCGCTTGAGTTCGGCGGGAAGAATGGATTGGAGGTTGTGACGCTCGTGATCCCTCTTGTCGTCGGACCTTTTATATCTCCGTCGTTGCCTTCCTCCGTCTTCATCTCCCTCGCCATGATCTTTGGTACTTAACTCTATATATTGTCTAGTAAATTTTATTTTATTCCTCCATAATTAATTTAAAGCTTACGAAGAGAGTAATAATTTCAATCAATATGACAACTTTAGTTACATATAGGTATAAAAAAAAAATACCTTCAAATTTTATAAATCGAATATGGTAAATTTAACCTTGGTGGTCGAATATTAGCTAAAAGTTTCATCGATCGGTATTGAAATTCTCACGTAACAATATCAATCTTAGCTTACAAATCTAAATGCTCTAAATGAAAAACATACTCAATAATAGGATTTGAAGATTAGTTTAGATTTCTGTCATGAATTTCCGGTAAAAAAAAAGAGTAATTAAAATACAACATGCAAATTTATAATTTTAACCAAAATTAAATATGTTTGTTTTTGATATGAAAGACTAAAATTCTACTTTTGACGGATAGAATATCTTTTTATGTTGTTAATATACGTATAATCATGTGTGTTTAGTAATAATCACTATTCACTATAATTGTATTTCACTTTATTTTTTTTTGTATGAAGGAAATTTCAAGGAGAAGTATTTGTTCG